CAAGACTGGCAGCAGAGACGGATGTCAGGGAATTTTCCGGAAGACCTAGGTGTCGCAGGAATCGCCATTTTGAAGGCGAGAGGACATCTGTGAGAAGATTTGTAGAACTTCCATTTCGATAGCCAAGAGATGCCTCGCTTGATTCGGAGCTTGCGGAGCCCGTGCGGCGAATTTGCCGAGACTGGCCTCGACGGTGGCCGTGCTTCGTGGTCGGCCGAGTCGGAGAGACACTTCCGGCCCTGGCGCGATTTTTAGCGCCATCTGAGCCACCTCGCATCATCGGGACAGATCTAGGACTACTGCTGGTTCCAAATGCTGTGTCCACGATAGGAGACCCGGGGGCTGAGAGAGAGCTGGCCTGGTCGGGGGTGTGAACAGGCTGACTGCTGGAACTGGTCCATCCCAGCGAAGGAGACTGCTGAGACTTGGCAGACCGCCGGCGGCGTTTATCAATGTCGTCCAAGACAATTCTCGTTAAAAGATCGGCTGGGTCATCCAAGTGGGCTCTCTTGATGGTCAAGGTGCGTAGTTGCTCAGATAATCTGTCCCAGCCATAGAAAGAACGGTAGTCTAAATCAATAATCTCTAAAGCGCTCAAATTTTTAAAGGAGTGCAGCGGCACAGCCGTATCGAAAGGGAATTCTTCATATCCAGAGATCAGCGGAGCGCGGTGGTCCGGGGCAAGACGAAGACACGGGATCTTGGTAAAGGCAGAGTATAGGTACTTCAGGTCCGTTTCCAAAGCGGCCTTGGCCCTGTCCGATTTGGTTGGGGTATCCTTGGATCCGAGGCGGAAAGATGACCAAAGGTCGGTCATACCAGACATCACACTACGAACACTGGATACCGAATGGATCGAGGCCCGGTCGCTTGACTGCTGGGGCTTGTTCAGAAATGAAACATAGGATTGCGAAACCTCGGTTTGAATATTCTCCAGCCGGATGTTCATGGGGCCAACGGCAATGCTCAATTCTTGGAAACGGGAGAGAAGATAGAAAAGGTGGTGAGGGGTCAGTGTCAGTTTTGCGGTTTTGACGTTCTGCGACATGAATTTCAATGCTGCGGATGAGAAGGCCGCAGCCAGTGTTGAAGAAGTCGAGGCGAAAGAGCTACCAGGGGTCAAAGGAACACTGGGTGATTGTGGGATGGCATTTTTGGTGGGTTGCCGACGAAGCTGTAGTGCATTGGCGAGTGCCTTCTCGTGAGTGCGAACATAGCTAGCGACATTCTATTGGCAAGCATGCGCGTTAGCTCTCTATAGGACCAAATATTCAGATGATCTCTCTGATCCTAATCATTAGGCGATTTCATAAAAACACAAACCTTTATGAAAAGTTGTCCATCCCCGGTGTTGATTTTCTCCATGGCGTCAACGGAGGTCGGGTGGTGGACGAGGAAACTCTGAAGATGGATAACTCAACAGATGTTACAAGATGTAGTCGACATCTTGCTTGTGCGACCCGACTGAGACCCGGGAAAAAAAAGATAGAGCAATCGAGGCTCTGAATGCGAGGGTTAGCGACAGTGTGCTGAAATTGATCAGTCTCATTGGGGGGGACTCCGGGAGATGGGTAAGTTGATGAGGGATGATACCTGAAGAATTAAATGTTCGAAGAGTCTCTTTCTCTGAGAGACCTCGAAAAGTGAGATAGGGATAGAGGAATGACAAAAGGTGAAGAGGGAAAAGGTGGTGGCACGGGGTAACCAATTATTTAGCTAAATAATTACGGGCTTATCCTGATAAGACCGTACACAGCCCATATACGCCGTAATACACATTTTACATTTTTATATATTCGATTTTTTCTTTTATCAGCTGAGTTTCAAAATGATAGTCGTCTGATATACCTCTTGATTGGTTTTTATTTCTCCTTGAATCTTGATAGTATTGATATATATATTCCCATACTTTCATCTATAAAGCTGAATGCAATTGTCCGATTTTACATGTACGCTGTCCTCTCAAAATTTGACCTATCCCAAGGTAATCTATAGGACACTATTTAGTCTAATACCGTATAGCCATCACTAATATAAATAAATATATGTGTACTAATGCTGCAGCTACTATACCCAGGTGGGAGTGGCGAGCCTATGGGGATAGCGCCTAGGGTTTTAGTTCGCCGACTTCTATCCCGCGTCTATCTTAAACCGATTGGAGTTAACGAGTACCCTGTTAACCCCCCTATTACTCCATATCCCATAAGGGGATAAGGAGAAAAAAAAAAGAAAATTTTCAGTTAGCGACGCTTAGTGGTTTGATCCCTCCATACTAAAACCCATAAAATTCCCACATAGCGTCAAAATTATGAGCCGATCGTGAGCAAGGAAACTCAGACCACTATCGGTGGGTCCTGTACCGAGGGGCTCTCTTTGATCGACAGTAAAGAAGAAAAAAATCTTAAACATCACATTCATGCATTTGAACCCCCTCTTGGGAAATGTTGAAACTTGTCATGAATCCCATCTTTTAGCGTGTTGATCAATCTCTGACGCAGCCACACGCAGGCAACCTGAGTCCATGCAGACCGGGTGGGAATGCCGAGGGCTTGGTTGCCCTGTGCTCATGTTGGCCCGCTTTTCTACTTTTTTTTTATCGGTTCATATGTATGGAGTATCATCTATTTTGTTTTAAACACCTGTGACGACTCTTTGCAGAACCCGAGAGTACTCATAGGCTGTGCCCTTACCGAATATGTAGTTGGTCATCCGTAGGCGCTGAAGGGGGGTGCAGACGATCAAATCAGGGTTTAGGAGGAAGCGAATGATCGCACGAGGCATACGATTGGCGGGGCACTGCATGAGAGGATATCTGCATGCTCCTAGGATGCCTGGCTCCCTAAAGGGGAATTAGTGGATGCAGTCATTCAGAAATTCAACGAGAATGAGTATAAACAGAGAACCTGGTTGGCGTTATACCTTAGTAAATCACCATGAAAGGACGAATCAGCATCATTCAGCTTGAATTCGCAATTACAATATCTGAGATCGTCCGAGTCCGTCAGCTCGCACTGACATATGACATTCCTCTACTTTATAGGTTATTGGACACACTAAGAATCGAGAATATGTGCCTTTTTTTTAGAAAAAAAAATCTCCAATATATACGAGCTCTTCTGATGACATCAACTGGTTTCTATAACTCACGAGACTCTAGTGATATTGATATCATCCCACCTGGGGCACTGATATCACACCGCTTCTACGGATAAGGGCGGCTTTCTAAAACCCATTCAATGTTACCCCTTCATCTCTCTTTTAATCTCTTTAATTGTACACATATACATTTTATATATTTAATTTATTGTCTGAAAGGGGTTTGACAATGAAATGTTTTTACCAAGGACATAAATTTATTATATTGCGAATGTTTCATATTCGACAAATGCGCCTCTAAACTTTGTACACATAATTCATCACCTTTTTATCCCTGCGACAGATCGCAGAGCGCGGGGTATAATTACGGTTAGATCAAAATATTGAGAGCTAACATTCCAGGACATTTATGTAAGTGCGCCGCAAACGCTCGGTTCAACTTCAGATCCCAGCCTCGCTGCATACGACAGTGCACTTTTGATGCTAGGAGTTTACAACATCCCTGCCGTTATTGAAGTGCTATGAAGCGCATATGTACGTACCATATGAATATACCCTGGTCTTTCCAGAAGTACTTCGTACTTCGTAAAGACAACTTTCCAGCCGATCAGGGCTGAATGCCCCCTCAAATCCCCAGGTATTTTCAGCACATGGAAATTACACCTTTTGACATAACCAAGGGGGAGGGGGAAAGCACATGATGTGCGATCGACCTTGATCTACATTTCCTCCCTCCGCTACTACAATGTTGTATTTATAACATATTCAGTAATCCATAGACACCATAGAATAATAACAAAGGCCAAGTTGGCTCGGAGTAACAAGTGTTGCCCGGCGTCGGAGATCCGAGGACAGTCTTCCCCACTCCTGGACGATCCCCGCCAAGTGCACAGTGCGATATGGGACATACATGGGTGTTAAGCCCGCTCATTGGTTGAGATATGGCACGGTCATTTGCAGACTCCCTCGCCAAGATTGTGGCTCGCTGAGCTTTCTCTTTGCTTTTGCCGCACGTTCGGGGAGTACTGGGAGTTAACTTCGTAAGCGGGGAGAAAGCTTTCTGGCTCCAACAACGCCACAATACTTCGCGAGGGAAGATCCGTGACCTGCATATGGCCAAATGGGGATGATTCGAATTCGGAATTATAATTGAAGATAGCGAAAATGCCAAGGCCTTCTTGACTTCGAAGAGCGGGGCATGGATAGAACATGGTAACCTTGACATAAGTCCGCGCCCTTAAAGTCGGCGCTCCCGGCACGTTCAGGGATGTCGCAAAAGGCTAAAGCAACAATAAAGTGAGCGGCTACCGCGCAACACAGGACAATAAATATTCTACTGCTGTAGCTACGAGAGAAACTGAATACAACGTATCGAAAATGATGGTTAAAACTCGGTGGTATAAGCATGTGTAGAATCGCAAAGTAGCAACGAAAAGCGATGACTTACAACATGTTTGCTTTTTTTAAACATTTAAGAAGTTAGCAGGTTGATCAACGTGATCAGCGTTGAGGACGAACATGACCCAAAGGAAAAAGTGCCCGGAGTATCTCCTAAACGAGTCTAATTATGGACGAATCCTGCAGCCTGTGACGGCGCTAAGGATATTTAGTCCGCTGCAAATCATCCTTGTCCTAGGTACTTTTTTTGTATCTAAATAAGGGGTTGTTTTTAAACGTCAGGTGACTGAAATAACGCTTCCCTGTCGTATAATATCAAAAGACCGTTATTCAATCTACTATTTCGTACTTTATGTCCGATATTGCGAGGACAAAGCACTTCCAGGTCCTTGGTGCATGTATCTAGAGTATGTAGTAATGTTGACCCCCCGCTGCCAACCCATAGGATGCTTTCCTGGGTTTCCAATTTGGCTGCGACAAACAAACTTTCCTGAGACGCCTACCAATCACAAGAGGCCACTGACAACTTTCTTGATATTCGCGCCGCCCAGCATGTAGCGGTGAGCTATAGTATGGTTCTTTGAGCCGGAACAAAAGAAGACTCGCATTTGGCCACGGGATGCGATCGCGATGACCCCGCTAATGGAGCTCGACCACACCATTGAATAAGAGATTGCATGAAGGGATGTCAATTGCTCCCGCAGATCGTGCATGGAGGGGTACATTCCAACGACTTTTCGATGCCGTCGTACGGCCTTGTCGTACTCAAATGCCGCAGTACGAGGTGGGATGATGCCCGTCATACTTTCTCAAAGTTAATTCACTCTCGATACAAAGAATGTTTGAGATAGAGAGTTGCGCCATCACAAATTTTCAATCCCGAATAGATTGATTCTGGTAGATCTACACAATTCTCTCATTTTTGTAAAAACAACAAATTTCTGAATTGGAATCAATTGCTGTTTAGCTACCGAGGTATCCATGGTTGAGCTCAACGGGTACGTTTTTTATTTCTTATCTGGCGGGGCAAGATATAGATGACTCAGCAAATAAAAAACAAGACTAGCCACCTCCGGCAATACACTAGCCGCAATGCGGAGATAAAATACACGTGATGTCAACGTCATCGTACAACGTAGCTCCCCCAACCAGATTTCCAGGTACCTCTATGATTCTCAACATCTATGTTGGTGTATTCAGAATGTGTTGAACATGACCACTGAGAAGAAACCTGCAGTGTACGACCCTTATGATCCGGCCTGTCTCCCTGACTACGACCGCGATTTCATTCAGCCCGATGAACTTGACCGATTCGAGAAGGCGCTGAATGCCCCAGAATCCTCCCCATTGACAGCCATCAACGACTGGCGTCCAATCAATCAAAGAGTTCGCAAGAGTCGTGGCCGTCGCAAAGCGCCAAAGCGGAGCAAGGATGAAACGAGAGAAGGTGTGCTATATTCTGTTTTGAAATGGCCCTTCCTCTTCATTGTATTCGCGTGGCTCATAGTACTTAGCTTTGGCTATGCTCTGGTACGCATCTATATATTAGTGTATGAGCAGTGGGTGACATGGCGGGGGAAGAGGCAAAGGCTCCGCCAAGAGCTATCTGCACAGAAAAACTACCCGGACTGGCTGAAAGCAGCTCGGGCGCTGGACGTCCATCTCGGAACCGAAAAGTGGAAAAAGACAGACGAATACGCCTATTACGACCACCTCACTGTCAACAAAGTGGTATCGCAACTGAAGCAGCTGAGGAAGGATGCGGAATGGGAAATGGAAAATGGTCGAATCGGCTCCAGCGAGGTCCCTGCCATTGAAGATCTCCGTGCGCTTTTGGAGGCTTGCGTCAAAAACAACTTTGCCGGTGTGGAAAATCCTCGGATATACAGCGAGACTTATTCGGGAACCAAGGATCTGGTTCAGGAATACATCGACGAGGTGCACGCATGCATACAGATCGTTTTGGACAATAAGCAGATTGACAAGGATGCCAAGTATCAACTTTTCAAACACCTCGATACAAACTTCGGCCGCACCGCTCTTTGTCTTTCTGGCGGGGCTACCTTCGCGTATTACCACTTCGGGGTTGTAAGAGCGCTGCTGGATAATGATGTCCTCCCAGAAATCATAACCGGCACGTCAGGCGGAGCACTGGTGGCGGGACTAGTCGCGACTCGGACAGATGATGAGCTGAAGCAGCTACTCGTTCCAGCTTTGGCACATCGGATTCGCGCGTGTCATGAAGGGCTGGCAACTTGGATCAATCGCTGGTGGCGGACCGGTGCTCGGTTCGATACTCTAGATTGGGCTCAGCAATGCGCTTGGTTCTGCAGGGGCTCAACGACCTTTCGCGAAGCTTACGAGCGAACCGGGCGCATTTTGAATGTCACCTGCGTGCCCTCGGATCCTCACTCACCGACTATCTTAGCCAATTATCTGACATGTCCCGATTGCGTCATATGGAGTGCCGTGCTTGCTTCTGCGGCTGTTCCGGGTATTTTAAACCCTGTTGTATTAATGACTAAAAAGCGTGATGGGACTCTTGCACCTTATTCATTTGGGCACAAATGGAAAGATGGTAGCCTGCGGACTGACATACCTATCAAAGCGTTGAACCTGCATTTCAACGTCAACTTTACGATCGTGTCCCAGGTAAGATTAAATTTCGCTCCCTTGTACCCTTTTGCCACTAACTTTACCCTAGGTTAATCCCCACATCAACCTCTTCTTCTTTAGTTCTAGGGGGACAGTAGGGCGACCAGTCACACACCGCAAGGGCCGTGGTTGGCGCGGGGGCTTCCTCGGCACTGCAATCGAGCAGTACATCAAATTAGACCTCAACAAATGGCTTCGAGTCCTTCGGCATTTAGAGCTCCTCCCACGACCTATGGGCCAAGACTGGAGCGAGATCTGGTTGCAAAAGTTTAGTGGCACTGTGACTATTTGGCCCAAATCCATTCCATCCGATTTCATCCACATTCTTTCCGACCCAACACCTGAAAGGCTCGCCCGCATGATACATGTCGGCCAGCAAAGCACTTTCTCGAAGATCCAATTCATCCGAAACCGACTTAAGATCGAGAATGCGATCATGAAAGGACTCCAGGATTCCAGAGCAGGTGGACGTGCGCTCTCCCCGATCCTCTCTCGCCGAATGCGCAGGCGAGAAAATGAAAATCCAGACTCTATGGTCGAGCGTTTAGATGATAATCTCCCCGAGCGCGACGGGTCTAGTTACCAGAGCGAGTCGCGCTTCGTTGACTTATCGGATAGCATGTCCCAGTCCACTGGGTCATCGCGTCCTCAGACCCCGAGTTCCCGAAGGGGAAGCGTGATCGAGGAAATAAGACGCCAGTCTGCCGTTTTCTTTGACGATGCAGACTACTACCGGGACGAAGACGCCGTGGTCATCTGAGAAGAAAAAATACGGGCGGCTCGAGCGGTTCCATTAAAGTTTTATGGCTCAGACTATTGTCTTTCTGCTTTGGGGCGCCCGCAGCTTGACCTTCCGTCATGACACTCCCTCCCGCTATTTTGGATATCAAATCTGACAAGCAGCTCATGTCGGTATTTGCAGGCACTTTCGGATAATACACCCGTGTCTCTACTACCTTCTTTGTTTCTCACCCATATGACCCCCTCCTTCATCAGCATAGCAAGGTGTCTTGTGTCGTATTAATATGCATTTGATTGTTTTTTTGACTTTGCCTGTTATTACACGTCTGTTGTTATTGATTAGATGACTTCGTTTATTCTTCTCTTTCTTGTCAAGACGCGCTATGTGTGTATAGATAGCTTTAACTGTAATATTAAAGTTCCGGGATGTATTCTAATCGGGATGCCTGCAAATTACCTCATTGTACATATGCCAAAATAATAAAACAATATGCAAAGTATCAAAAACCATCATCTGCTGGAACTCGGCTTGGCTGAGCGGGGAGTATCACAAGTGACATCAGTCACTGCATGGTTTCACCTCAGATGCACAGTGGTCTTCCGGCATTGGATATTGAGATATTTCCATTTTGAAACTAAAGCTGTTTTGGTATTGGTCATTTGCAAATAATGATTAACCTAAGGTACTTGCACCGACGATCTTTGTTTTTAGTCCACGTAATATATGTCATATACATGTAGATCATCTATATTTATGTTAAACCTAACCCTCCTACCCCGAACTCTTCTGCATCGTTATAACTTGAAGCACTTGCAGACAGAATAGTGTTATAGATTGAGCTGCCATCATAGTTGCTTTGAAGTATCATATCATGCCGGTGGACGCAGTAATAGAGATCTAAGTACTTCCGTACATGTATTTAGATTGTGCTGTTGATATTCCAAATGGCTTACAGACAATATATCTCCACTGCATCAGTGGTCTAGTGGTTATGATTCTAGTCTTCCATGATAGGAAATTCCTTCCTTATCTCATAGCAAACTGGAGAGGGGGGTTCGATTCCCTCCTGATGCATTCTTTTTTATTAAAATTCGAAAGCGGTCTTTCACTGATCCACCCTCTTTTTGTATATTTTTTTCTTTATTTACTTAGTCTAGTGATTATTTATTAGTTTGAAACGGCGGGAATTGACAGCAACAACAAGGTTGATACCCACGCGCATAACTATGGGCATAGTACATATGCTACGTTATATCTAGCTGCAATTTTAAAAGCCAGGGAGAGATAGGCAGATATCGGATTTATTCCCTAACTGATACACCCATTTCCTTTCAATGTAACGTTGTTAGATTAGCCTGCAAGCCCCAAATTGAGAATCGAACCGGCCAACGTCATTGTACACGAGCATAGATACATCCATAGGCGCTCATCGAATTCGGTTAGGAGTAAAAGAAGCAACTCCAGGCGGCAGTTTCGGGTACACGCGCGAGAAACATATATGTTGTAGGGTTATATTTCGTATCCCATAAACTCAATGGCTGCACCCAGATAAACTATATAGCTATGGTAGTTCTCCTATACGAGTCTGCTATTAAAGTGCACTGGTGATCATTAAATCTCAAATGAAATTGGTATACTCTGCTGTTGAAGAGGACTGGTACTTTTCAGGGTTCTATAGTTCGAATCATTTTATCAGGAAAGAATTCCCGTAGAGAAAGCCAAAAGATCAAACATCCGTTCGTCGGATGCGAATGCCACCATGCCATCCAACCCATCCCTGCTCAGCTGGCCCACGAAGAAGACAAATAACCAGTGATATCCCAATGAACGCTAGATTGACACTTCCCGACAGAATCCAACCCCCTTGACTGTAGAGACGGTTTCCAACAGAGGTACCCATGAGCTGACCACAGAACACGCCCATCATATATCCCGTGTTAAGCCGATTGCGCGCCTTGGGCGCAACAGCGTAGATCGTAATGCGATTAGCAATTTGCGTCATCTGCAGACCGAAATCCTGCAGCGCAGCCTGGATAATTGGGCCAGCGACAGTCCACGTGCCTGTATAGGTACCGATACTGACGCCGATGATCAGGATGCCGAGACTGACGAGAACGGAGAACTGCGGCACGAATTTATCGATCATGTAGCGTGAGAAGAGTGGGCCTAGGAACATGGGCGTAAGACCTGCCAGGGAGAATAGTCCGATTGTCAAGGTTGGGTAGTTGTAGGGATCACCGGCTAGGAGGAAGGTGAGTGTTGTCCAGTAGCTGGTGAATGTGGCCGAGAGGAAGAATGACATGAGTGTTGCCTGAACAAGCTCCGGGGATGTCCAGTAGTATCCGATAATGGAATATAGGATCTTAAAGTAGGAGATGTTGGTGTTTGTTGATGGATAATCGGGCATGAATAACCATAGAAGGCCAAAAATGAGGAATTGGAGTCCTAGTGATAGCCAATATATATTTCGCCAGTGTGAATATTCTGCAACTATACCGGAGAGCAGACGGGCAAAGAGAAGGCCCAGGACAAGTCCCGAAGACACGACTGATAGAGCAGTTGCACGACGAGCCGGGGGGACGAGGTCTCCGACAAGAGGAAGCATGATTTGCTGCATAGATAGTAAGATTCGTGTGCTCAGGCCAGAGCTCGGATAAGCTTGATTGTACGCCTGGGACCACTTACTGGAGTAACAGTCGTGACCGAAGACAGATAACTCAGAACAAGGAATGTCTCGAATGAGTTGGTGATGCAAATCCCAATCCACAATGCGGCAGTAACAAATGTTAACGCCAAAACGAAGTGCCTTCTCCGAACTAAGTCCCCAAGAGGACAAAGGAGGATCAATCCCGTCGCATATCCAGCCTGACTGCAGGTTGGGATCAACGAGACTCGCTCATGCGAGACATCGAAGAATTGGGCAAGAACGTCAAGAATGGGATGTGAATAGTATAGATTGGCAACCTTCATGACAATATTAGCGATGGCTATAAAATATTTTGATATTTTCCTATCCCATACCGTGAAAGTTCCCGAGAATGCGAATAGGAGGTTCAGAGGCAAGCCGAATTTACTCGGGTTCTCTGGATTCCATCGACATCGTCGCGGTGTCCATGAAACGATATCGATAAAGCGTTTCCAATACCTGCGTTTTCCAATTGGATATTCTGTCGTGCTTTCCACATTGGTATCATGGCCTTTTTCATCCTCCCCGAACTCCTGGACCGTCGGGGAATTGCAGCGTGCGGAGGAAATTGGTAATAGGTCTGCCGGAGCTTCAGTTTGAGAGCTGGAATGGGATCCCACTCTTTGAGTGATTTCTGCAGTCATTTGCTAGAGCTTGAAATCTTTTACAGCCGTATGCTCTTCTCTATTTCGATGACATCAACGAAGCCGAAAGACATGAGATGAGCATCAGGCTCTAGTGGGATTTTTGCGAGATAAGGCCCAAGCGGATCGGAAAAGATTATCACCTCCCTGCAGATTCGGACTTTTTACGCCAGTAATAAGCCAAATTCGTAAGGCGTATATGTATTTCCCGGTGTGAGATGTTGATTATAAAGAATCTCAATGTAACCCCATTTTCATTTGGCCCCCACATTCGGGCAGATCCGCATTGCCAAGTTTACCCTATCTTGATATATACATTCATATAAAAGTTAGTTTGGATATAATGTCTTGTAGATCAGCGTGATAGTCTTGATTTTGAAGTTTGAAATTCATATAATACATATCGTAGAACGAAGGCACATTAGGGTTTGTAATAGATACCCCGGAAAGTAGGCCGATGTCATAGAAGCATGAACTGATATTAGATGACAAGCCATTTTTCTGTAATAGCCTTTGCCATCTTTGTATTGCCACTGAGAACATGAATACACTGTAGTGCATAAGCGGCCTCGCGGGAGAAATCCTCAACAAAACGCTGGCCGCTGGGGGATGAAGTCTTCTGGGGTTGGCCATCATCGCCCATAACCACATCAGCGTCATCCGTTATAGATGTCGGTTCATGGAGAGACTTTTGCTTGGCCTCTTGCTGAATCTGCTCGCCGATTTTCAACACCCTGTTGTACCCATCGATCGCAAGGTGGGCCAGACCAAGCGAGTGCCAGACACGAGCGAAATTGAATTCCATCTCCTGTTTTTCGGCTAGGAGGGTCCCCGGCTTCTCGCGAACCAGCCGGTATTCATGCATAAAGGAAAGGCCTTGCATGATGAGGTAATGACGATTCTCAGATTGCCGTTTGAGGGAGTGATGGATGAATGAGAGTGCGATGGAGAGGAGAACAGCGGGATTTTGGTCATCTAGGGCGTATGCTCGGAAGAAATAGTTCAGGGCCGGGTAGAAACTGTTTCCGGAGTACAGCATGTGGCCATAGAGCACGAGAAGAGCAATGTCTAACTCTTTCGCAGTGATGGGTTCACCGGCTTCGTCTCGTGTGGATAGAGTGGCACGCTCTTTCCAGACAGAGTGCCGGATGGGTCGAGGGGTATCTTGTGGCATTGTAAAGTCTATCGCCTTGATTTGGCGAAGCATGAATTTCATGTTTCCAGACGAATGGAAAAGCGATCGGTGAGGGTCGCCACATAGGTGGCCCAGCATAGAGAAGAGTCGATAAGTGTCCGTGACAAACTGATATTCTTTGATGAACCAGCGGGCTTCATTGGCCAGGGTCTCTTCATCTCGTGCGCGAAGAGCGCAAGCTATATAGGTGTTAATAGGTAATCAATTAGTAGTGAATTGAATGAACTCACTAAACCAGCAAACATGAATCAATCGCGACTTAGGCTTAGAGTGTAACCAGATGCTTGCAAGCGCCGCAGAATCAAGGATTTCATAAGCTTCTTCTTGCTCGCCTTGTTCTGTTACAAGTAGAGCGTACTGCAGGAAGATGTCAAGCCACTCATCAAATGGTATTCCATGGTAGTCGGTGGGAACGGCGCCCTGCAAGGGCTCCTCCGTGACATCTCCTAAATATGACATTAGCATGGTGTGTATGGTTGAATTGACTGAAGTGATATATACCCATGGTTTCCTGAAGACGGCTCGCCATTTGCTGCATTTCATCCATCATTGCGCCGTTTTTGGTCTGGTTCTTGGCGTTTACACCAGTGGAATAACCCCTAAAGGCAATACTTCGATCCATCGGATAGAATGCTCGATTGTTCCGGAAATCTCGCAACAGAGCATCAGCAATGTCTAGCCAATCTTCAATGGCTGTAGGAACACCGTCTTTGACTTGGGGATTCAACTCTAACAACTTGGCATACAAGAATTGAATATCGTCAGTCCTAGTACCTTCGCCAGGTTGTGCCCGTCCCTTGCCAGCGGTCGAGGGAGCTGCGTTCATGAGTGTTGCTGTTTGTGTCGGTTTGGGTGCAATTGATCGGAGGGGTTCCGATCCACCCATCTTGAACTCTATGGCAAGCTGTTCAAGCCTGGTGTCCTTTCTTCTTCCTCGGCTGCGATTTTCCTGTCGACCGATCAGGACTGCCTCGCTGGCATACTTCATAGCCTGTTCGCTCATCCCAAGACTCTCATATAGCTTCGCTAGCAGAACTCGCGACTCCATATGACTAGCATCATGTTCAGCGACGAGGAGATAACAGCTTTCAGCATCTTCCACCTTGCCCAACTGCATGAAGCAATCAGCCATGGCCATGAAGAAGCTAATATCAGCATGTTCAGCGGTCTGCTGGATAGGTGTGTAGTACCGGAGTGCTTCCTCCAAGGCACCGGCTTGTTTTAGAGCATCTGCTACTTCTCTGAAAAGATCACCGTAGTCGAAAATGCGGGCACCTTCGGCATCATCTTCTGGGCTAAGCCATTCAAAGTGATGCTGGTTGTAGTCTGTCAGTACTTGAATTCAATCATTAACCTTATCCAGGATTAAACTTACCAATGCCTCGCTGTGATGCTTGTCGCCCAATTTCAGGCGGAAGATACCCATTTTTATCCGGAGCTCCAGCGGAAGACCAAGCCCATACGACTCTCGAGGCCACTGACCGGGCAGAAAACCATCAGTTTTGATACGCCGAGGCGAATCATCAGCGTCCCATTCTCTGTCGTCATCGTCGATGTTGTCCCACACTGTGTCTTCTCCACGACCTAGAAGCCAGCGTGCAAGTAGTTTCAAAGAGATGAGTCCTTCTTCTGGTTGATTGAGATAGCCAAAGAGTTCAACATAGATATTGAGATCCGACCAGGTGAAATCAGCAGCCTCAGGGTCAAGAGATAGGTAGTGATCAATGCTGTCCGCATAATAATCTGCCGCTTTTTGTACATCATTGAGATCAATGTACGTCTCTGCAAGATGGCGGAGTGCTCTGACACTGTGTGGGCAGTCCTTGAGTAGTCTCTCATATTCGGCTGCGGCTCGGCCATTGTGACCTAGCTCACGATAGATCGCTGCTCTCTGGAACCGAATGTTGGTGTTGCTAGGACTGACCTCGAGGATTCGGCTGTAACAATAAGCAACATCATGCAATGCGGACTGCCGATTCTCTCCGGCGCGATCTAAGATGAGCCGAGCAACTTTGACCCAGACCCCGGGATCTTTCGGCCTTGTATGAGCTCCGTTGAATAGAGCCGCAAGGGCTTTATCATTTTCCCCTTGTGCGAGGAAGATCTCTGAAAGCAAAGAATGGGCAGCAAACATCTCGGGATTGATTTGGATCGCCTGCATCACCAGATCAATGGCCAGTTCGTAGTCTCCATCAATGAAGGCAGAGGTAGCTCCTGAATGGAGATGTTTGAATTCCGGACTGGGCTCCACTGGTTTGCGTGGTCCTCTTTTGATGCCCTTTCCACCGCGAGCGCCATATCTTCCAGAAAAGCGTCCACCTCCACGACGGCGGCGCCTGCTGGCGGCTGAATCATCATCGTCATCCTCCTCCGCTAGTTCATCTTCATCAGACTCACTAGTATCATGTTAACTAAAGTCGGATACGTGGTGTCTCAGCATACATACCTCTCGCTTTCGTCTCCGGATAAGGCAAAGTCCTCGTCTGACATGGCTCCGTCGCCAGGCACGGGAGGATACGACATTTGGGGATACTCCGGGCCATCGTATTCATCCTGGTAGATTTCATCAACCTCTTGTTCTTCTTCGACTTCGCCTTGGCCTTCGCCTGGGCCTTTGCCTTGACCTTCGTTGGGATCTTGATGATATTGATTGATGCTGTGGGGTTGAGTTTGTGGGATTTGGTCCCCGAACAAACGAGGATCAAGCACCGAGGCAAGCATCTCTCCAACGTCAAAAGATTGATCATTTTGCCATGGATAGTGGACAGTTTCATCGATATCTGGATATGCTGACTCTCCCTCCTGCATTTCCTCATCTAGAGGAATACCGTCCGGGTAATGCTTGGAACTCATGGCCACTGACGTTTCAAAGTTCAATAGAAAGTGTTTGTCACTGTTGATGAAAGCTATAGCTTGAGACAATCATCAATTATGTGGATCATCAAGTGAGTTCATTATCAATCCAGTCTAGTTGGGTGTGCACTGAATCTAAGAACGTTTCAGGTCTGGGGCTCGGCAGATATTCATAGTAACTGTCTCCACCAGGCTGTAAAATATTCAAATTTGAACAATAACAGAATTTCCAAACAAAAGAAAACAGAAAAAGTCCCTAAAGACTAAAAAAAAGCAGAGATATGGAGAAGTCTAGGAAGAATGTTGAGGTCTCTCGGTGAACCCGTGATCTCGCGGCCTGAAACAGAAAAGCCTCTTCCAAACTTCTTCATCCCCAACTTTCCTCCTCTTTCTCTTCCTCCCTCTCTCTCTCCAGCTCTTCTCTCCCCCTTTCTTTCCTTTTCCTCTTTCTTTGGGACTCGGTGGCTTGACTGTGTTTGACACACTATTGCTTCAAGTCTCAATTTTCTTTCGTTCCAGGTCTTAATTTTTCCATCTCAAATTTCGAGGTGCAGCCCACTGGACTGGTCTGTGCCATCGTTTTAACGAGATCTGGATCTTTTCAGCGCCATCTGACAACCTTAAGATTTTGGCCTGGATCCTGGTTATAAGGATTTTTTGATTCTATTTTTCACGCAAACTCAGCAGGTGCTGCAGGTGTTTTGCAGTAATCATTTCCCCCACTGTATTTACTAGTCATCCTCTCAACACGTCGCCTCAAATCATGGCCAGTCATATCATTGGCAATCGCAACAGCACCCCTGAAGCCTCGAATTCATCTCTCCGTCCTCCATCCTCATCGCGAAATCTCGGATCGCACCAGCTGCGGGCGTCGGCAGACATGTCCGGATTTCCTTCGCCGCTGTCCGCCCGAAGCATCCGTCCAGCATCGGAGGTCTTTTTCAACCAACAAACTCAAGGTCAGAATGCGACAGAAGATGCTTTGGACCGTGCCGCTCAACAATGGCTCGCGGACATTGATCAGTATGAAACTACATTGGAAGAAATGGCAGCTGCCACGCTTGATCAGGACTTTAAGGATGAGCTCAGTGCTATCGAGCAATGGTTCCGTGTTTTGAGCGAAGCTGAGAGAACTGCGGCTCTATATGCTTTGCTGCAGCAGACCACTCAAGTGCAGATCCGGTTTTTCATCCAAGTCCTGCAGCAGATGTCTCAGGGTCTCCCGATGTCCGGCCTGCTCTCTCCTGCCAATTTTGGCGAAAAGGGTATGCTAAAATTGTGCACATCACCTTTTGGATGTAACTAACCTACTTTTCGTCGTGTAGATGCTATGTCCAGCCGTCTAAGTGATGCTATGTCCAAGCTTAATATGGACACTTCCTCCCGGAACTCTCTCGGGCGACCTCCGCCATCCCCTGGCGCGAAACGAAACTCTGTCCTCGACCCTTCCACCATCAATGCGATGTTCCCGGATGCTGCTGCGGCCATTGCAAAGAAGAAGGCCGAATTCACCCAGCAAACTGGCAACGCACCTCCTTCCAACCGCAATAGCGCAGTCTTCGATCGTGCCTCTTTCGTGGCCCCCACCATCTCGGCACCTGACAACACTTCGGACGGCCTGGGTCAACAGCCTGGCTCTCCGTGGGCTCAGCGTGGTGTTTCAGACACGCAACCTCCTATTGCTCGGCCCAAGTCATCCTCCGGCCACCAGCCTATGGGTCAGTTCAGCCAGCCCTCTGGCATGCGCTCGCCTCTCCCCCAGACTGCCAATATTCCCGCTCCCGACATCGAACCCCCGCTGCTTTCGCCATATAATGTCGGCAACCACAGCTGGGCGTCAATGACCAACACCCCGATGACCGCGACTTTCGGCCAAGCTCACCAGAACTCCAACACCCACGCGGATATGGTGGCCAATGCCACGGCAATGAAGCTGGCAGCTTTGTCGACAGTGAACAACCGCATTGCTCTGGATGACGCTCGCAAGTACCGCCGTGCTCGCTCTAATGATGGCCAGAACAAGAACTCGCATGGAAACCAGATGCTCTCCCAGGGCTTGGCTAGCCCAGGTCTAGGTGGACAGCACTTGGTGGCCGGTCAGCTTCTCAACACCCAGCAGCTGGCGGCTCTGCAGGCTCAGCAACAGGCGGCTATGGCCGGTAGACGGTCTCGCCCAACATCGCCCGGCATTGCTATGCACGGTGGTGGCCTGACCCCCATGGGCTTCACCTCACCTCAGAACAACGGATTCCTGGCTGCATATGATCCCAACAATCCTCTTATGGGCAATGGATTGGGCTCTTTGAACATTGGACAGTTTGGTCTGGGTAATGAAGGCTACCTGTCAGACCACTCAGAGGTTACACGAGGTCGCTCTCCACGGGGTCGTCGTGGCAGCTCGAAGCCGCCCGAGGACCCCACAGACCCGGCGCTTCTGAAGGATATCCCCAGCTGGCTGCGATCCCTCAGGCTGCACAAGTATACCGATAACCTGAAGGACCTGCAGTGGACGGATCTGGTTGACCTGGATGATAAGGCCCTGGAAGATCGCGGTGTCAACGCTTTGGGTGCACGCAACAAAATGCTGAAGGTAAGCAAGCGTTGCTTGATATTTGATTCTGATCATATACTAACATTTTGCACCAGGTCTTTGAGCAGGTCAAGGAGGCCCGTGTCGATGGCAAATTCGAAAATCTTGTTTAATGTGATATTTGAATTTAAAGTCAGCGACATCATGGAAATGCCATTTTCTTTCTACTATGTTTTGCAGCATAATCGAGGACATAGGGAGTTGAAGTGTATCAAACGCTGTGATGTGAACGGATTCATGAGAAAGGCTCGGGATTATTGAACATTGGATTCGGGTTAATAGTAGATATGAACATGATTGATTTGATTTACGTTAAATACTCTCCTAAATAGTGTACTTTTACTCCGTAGATGTAGTTGTAATATACCAGTTGTCCGAAACATCATTCTGGAGAAAGACCATGTGGCCCGTGCACTTCTAGAAACTCGCTGCCACATCCGACCTCCATCTGTTCAAGCCGAAAGCTGTTGTGACTACCCCTCCATGAGAATATCTCCTGGTTGCAACAATTTCATCGCCATTGAAGAGCAAAAGCACCACAATATCAGTCAATCTCAGCAAAGTTCCGTTCGAGACTTGATCACTACCAACGAACGCCGAGAGCCATAGCTCGACCTCTGAAATCAACCATCAGCTACAACAAATCAGCAGAGAAGAAAAAGACAAAACAGCCAAAATGGCACCAACTAAGCAGGAACTCTCCCTGCTAATCACCCCTCTCGTACCTGAGGCCGTCCAGCACAACAACCGCGTATGACTTGCCCACATCCCGCATGCCACCCAAACCACCCCTATCCCACATCCATATCCTTTACACTATCAGATCTGCATCCGCATCTAAATTCCCTACTCTAAATACAACCAACTAACACGAAAAACAGGTCCTCTCCTCCCTCCACAGCTTAACCTCCTTCCTCCTCGGCCTGTCCGCCGGAATCCTAGCCCTCCAATCAACCTACGGCTTCGCCTTCTACTTCCTCGGCACGATCCTAGTATCAGGACTCTTCCACGCAGTGCTGCTCCACCGCTCCGGTGGTGCAGGTGCCGGCTCTTTCTTCCCTGGCAGTAACACCGGTGAAATCGAGGGTGTTATTGAGATGGACGAGAAGAGCAAGACTGTGCGCATGCAGCTCGGTGGGAAGGCTGGCCCGAGGAAGATTCTCCGCAAGGGCGCTTGGAGGGATGTTTGGTTTGGTGGTGGTGTTATGAGTGAGGCGCTTAGTGGATTTGTTCTTGGGTGGGCTGGTGTTGGTGGTGTTTTGAGGTGAATAGAGTGTCAGCTGGTGGGATCTTGGATTCTATCCAAAAAGCTACCGGTGGATTTGTTGGATGATGTTCTAGGAGATTGTATATGCTATGTACGAATTGAATTGTTGCATGCTTTTAATGGGCTTGGGATATATTACGTTGCTATTGCGTCTGGTGGGCAGATAACAAAGGTCAAGACTATGACCTAGTGCCTTCAGCATATATACAGATTTTTCTTAAAATGCAGTTCAAGTTCCCAAAATAGCCACCCAAAAGACAACCCCACACATATTGCTTGATTTATGACTCCTCACTCGCAACCTCATCAACAACCTTCTCAAACTCCTCCAACACCTCCTTAGAAACAGGATAAGTATACTCCGCCGAAGGGAAAGCCCTACTCTTAACCTCCTCCCTATAGGCCTCAATCCCCCTCCTCGCCTCCCCCCAAGCATCCGCATAAGTCTTAACAAACTTAGGCAAAAACCTCCCCCTCGGGGAAATTCCCCAACATATCAACCTGCACAAGCACCTGTCCAGAACACCCATTCCCAGAGCCAATGCCAATAGTCGGCACGCTCAACCGCTGCGTAACAATAGCCGCAATCTCAGGCGGTACAGCCTCAATAAGAACCATACAAGCACCGGCTTTCTGCACCGCCAATGCATCCCGCAGCAGCTTCACAGCGCCCGCAGCAGACTTACCCTGCACGCGGAACCCGCCGAGAGAGTGCTGCCGCTGCGGCGTTAGCCCGATATGCGCCATGACTGGGATTCCGGCTTGCGAGATCTTGCGGATAGTAGATGCCATCTCTGCGCCGCCTTCGAGTTTCACACCCTTCATTCCGCCTTCTTTTACCATGCGGATTGCGGATGTTAGTGCTTTTTCTGGGGTGGTTTCGTAGGACCCCATGGGTAGGTCTGCGATCTATTGCGGTTGTGAGCATGTTGATGCATATGCATGTGCGTTTTGGTGGGGTGGGGCGGGGTGAGGTGTATATTGTATTGGAATGTATGCATGTGTATACTTACTGTGAAGGCGCTCTTGACGGCGCGTTTTACGCTGCGGCAGTGGAGGAGCATCTCGTCCATTGTTACTTCGTTTGTATCTTCCATGCCCATTGCGACCATGGCGAGGCTGTCGCCTACGAGCACGATCTCCATCCCGGCTGTGTCGGCGACATGGCCGCTGGGGAAATCGGATGCTGTGAGGACTGTGATGGGCTCGTTCTTTTTGTAGAGGTTCTGGATGGTTTGAATTGTTACTTGTTTGCGTGTGCTGGTGGTTGTCGAGCCCATTGGTGAATGGGAGCTATATTGCGCGATGCATGTTTTGATTGGTGATACTCGTGTAGGAACAGGAATATTGGCCAGACTTCTGAGGTGCAGTGCTGGGCGCTTCAGGCAGTTGACTGCTTTTAGAGACATTTTGAATCGAATAGCTGATATATTTTGAAGAAGGGAAAAAGCCGACTTAAAGAAAAGACTGTCGTTCTGGTGGATGCGGCGTAGTCCGCAGTACTTGAACTATGGGTCCTATTTACCTCGGCCATCTACATGCCTCGCTTGCTGTGGACTCCTCTTTTCTCTATTGTCTCTATTTAATATGTTTTCTCTATTTAAATTCGATTATTCTAATATACCACATGCAAAACATCATACATAATGGGTTTCTCCGACCTACCCGCCTGGTTTAGAGCTTCTTGAGTAGTTGTTTATCAGTCTTTAGTCGAATAGAAAGCCCGATCATAGCAGCAACAAGAGCCATTGCACCAGCATAAAAAATAGCCGGACGGTAACCCATAATCCCATGATTCTCCCCGCCAGCAGCATCGAGGATGAACCCCGCAATGGGGGCGCCCTAAAAAAATAGTCAGTATTGCAAGCTTATTGTATATAAAACTACAGTAACTACAAGCCAGTCACTTACAAGCAGATACCCCCCAGCCCATCCTGTTACAACCATTCCCATAACAACAGACACCCTCGCCGAGCCAAAAGTATTCCCAACAACAGTAGGCATAGTTGAAAAGAAGCCCCCGTTCGCCATACCATTGACAATAACGAAGACGACCAACGGTCCCAGCGAAGTAGAGATAGGCCAGATAATCAGCATGCTTAGCGCGCTTAGCAGAAGAGAAATAAATAGCGTATTTAGCGGCCCGACCATATCACTGCATAGCCCGCAAAGCAATCTCCCCAGAGCAGAGGAGAAATTAAATGCTGCGACGATACCCGCTCCCGTGCCGGATGACATACCCAGCGAGGCCGTGAAGAGAGGCAGGAAGAAGGGTGGGACTAGAAGGGGGAATGTGGCGATTGCACCCATTGCGAAGAGGAGGACAAAGCGAATGTCGCGGAATAGACGCCTGTAGCAGGTGTGAGTTAGTGATTAACAACGACAGCATAGCAAAAAGAAAGCAATATAGTTCTATGGTTATAGAACGTACCAATCCACAACAGCCGACGGCGGAATCGGAACCCGCTGCTTGATCAAATACGCAGCTGGCAAGCCTGTACCCCAAGTAGCAAACCCGATAATCCGGAACGTCCACTGCACGCCCACGCGATCAAGAAGCGCATTCATTACGAAGCTGATTACAGCACCGCCGAGTCCACCAGCCGCATAGACGATGCCATTTGCGATCCCGCGTTTCGCTCGGAAATACTGCGCCGGCGTGACAGAGACAACCATAAAGCAGAGACTAACAATGCTGGTCAGTAACAGCGCACTACAGTCTCCCAAGCATGTACTCTAATATACCCCGCATCCACGTATACTATGTATACACAGAAACAAAAACTTCCAGACAGATTCAATGCTCACCTAATACCAATTCCCATAACAACACCAGCCGTAGCAAACAAGCCCCCAATATTCATAGCTGAGAATCCACTCAGCACCTCCCCAAGACCCAAAAAGAAGACGCCCGTCATGGCGGACGCCCGCGTCCCGAGTTTGCGGATAATACGCGCGTTCAGAATTCCCAGGAAGGAGATACATGCTGTCGCAAGGGAGCCGACGAATGCCAGCGTCGACGATGATGATACGCCTTCTTTCACGAGTGCGGCTTGCAGAATACCCCAGCAGTAGGATGTTCCGATGAACCACCATGTTACCACTGCGCAACCTGATATCACGACCCAGGCTTCGCCGCCGTCGGGGACTTGCGAGTCTGCTATCAGGGATTGCTGCATTATGTCGGTTTCGGAGGGGGTTATTGAGTGGTCATTTTGGTTTGTTCGTGCGGGCCTTTCTTCTAGGTTTTTTGTGTTGAGGGCTTGGAGGGAGATACCCGTGCTTGTTGATTGGGGATTGACCATTTTGGTTGCTGTGAATCGTATCTTCTTGGTGTAGGAGGGAGAAGAGATGGTCTTACTAGATTTGTAATGTTATGGGATCTACCTGAGAAACCCTTTAGCTGAAGAAACTTCAAGTTGAAAATTATATAGATGTTCGCGGAAGGCGCTAGTTTGAAATAGGAAATCAGCTTGACTCATCATTTTCACATTTTAACAATTTTAGCCTTGAAAGCCCTTATCCTCATATCTTGGGATTTGTAAATTATTAAAACTTTCGCTAAGCGTGAGTAGCCCTTGGGAATATTGAGAACGACAAGGTACTGAATTGTGGCTTCATATGGGGTGCGGTTAGACTCGGAGGAAGTGGAGATGGTTAGTGACAGGGCGTGGTCGAGGATGATTATCAATCAGATATCTGCAATGCACCTGCAAGCTGTTGTTTTACTAAGGATTGGTTCAAGTATTCGACTACACAGGCCATGTTCAAGCACTAAGAATATAATATATTCACCAAGCGGTTTATCAAGGACATGTGCAACAAAGTATGTATCTCCCCAGGAAGAAATCAAGTAGGAGCAAAGTCCATTTCAAACAACTTTTCTTCCCAGATCCAAAAGATGACCAACAAACAAGACCCAAATCAATTAAATCAACACAAATCAAGGGGATAGTACCAAAAAAATACCACAACGACAAGATGTCTATGGTCAATACCATGGAATACATTCAATATCGACAGAGCTAAGTGACAAAAGTATAGGGGACATGAAAATGTGCAAATACAAACATGCCAAAGGCGAACATGATATTAACAGGTCATAATCGGGGTATATCAGATCAAACTCCAAGCCAGGGAGGAACAACTGATCCATGCAGACAAGAAATGAAACGCAGAAAAAAACAATCAATCAGTGTGCGGGATCTCGTTCGAGGAATTAGCAACAGCGCTTTGAAGAGCGCTGGTCAAGTCGATATGGAAGAAAGGCCGGTTCATGCCCTGCACGAGCGCAACCTTACGACGGCTCTGGTACGCCTTGCTGTCTGTGATATCACGCTGGAACTTGTCCTCGCGGATGACCTCCGAGTTCTCGGATGCGGTCTCGATGCCGTCGGTCTCGAAGGCAGTGGTGTTGGAATGGGACTTAAGGCCGGATTCGATATCTGCGGTCTTGTGCTGCGACTGCTCACGCTGGTTGGCGACGATTTCGGCGTGGGCGGCGGCTGAGGCGCTGCCTTCGATCTCGGCTACGCTGAAGATGGGCTTCCACCGGTGGAAGCCATCGCTGGCGACGGGTGTCGGGTAGCCGAAGCCTGCGGCAGCCAGGCCGCGCTTTGTCCAGCGGTTGTTGATGTGTGCGAAGTGCCATTGGACGGTGCGGGGGGAGGCGTATAGGTCAAGCTGGTTGCGGACATCGATCAGGTTCTGGATTGAGGTTACGTCGACATTGTTCACGGATGAGAAGTCTAGAATGACAGCCTGGAGAAGGGGCAAGTGCGAGTCATCGACCCTCTTGCCGCGGCGGGCACCAGTGTCATTCCAGGGATAGTCACCGCGTCTGGCGTAGGCGTGCGGGTTCGTTCGGCGGGTATTCTTGAAAATGGTTGAAACCAGGAAATCGGTATAGTGGTTGGCGTTGGGATAGTTGAAGCCTTCGGAAAAGCGGTAGATGAAGATACCTGGAAGGGGCTGCTCCACTTCGATATCGGGGTTGGAGCCATCGGTATGGTTGATAGGAAGGAAGATAGTTCGGTTGTGGTGCTCCTCGTCATCGGAGGGAGTCTTGTTAGTTCCGAATGATCCGTACTTTCCATCGTTGTCCAACAGATGGTCTCCAACAACGGAGTGAATAGTAACACGGCCTAGGAACTGTCCGCGGGCCTTGGCCACACGGAAAAGCAGGACGGCAGCCGAGACAGAGACTGTGCAGTAGATACCAATTTCAATGGAAGTGAAAACAGTGACAATGACACCAATGAAGAAAATAATGGCATCAAGGGGGGACACGCGCCAGAACTGATAAACAGTGTTAGGGGGAGTGATCAGATCACCGACAGCGTGGATAATGATACCAGCCAGAGAAGCCTTGGGGATGTAGAAGAAGACGGCAGGCAGGGCATAGATAGCCAAGAGCACCACGATCGCGGTAATAACACCAGCAAGGGGTGTGCGCACTCCAGCTTTAGACTTGATGGCTGTCCGGGAGAAAGACCCAGTGGCGGGGTAGCCACCGAGGAAAGGACCAAGCAGGTTACTCACGCCAATGGCCACGAATTCCTGAGAAGGATCGATAGTGTAGTTGTTAACACGGCCGAAGGACTTGGAAATGGCAATGTGCTCAATCAGAAGAACGATGACCGCAGCTGGAAGCTCGCTAGAATAGGCCGAAATGATCTTAGCATCCATAGTGGGCACGGCGGCATGCTGGAATCCTCGAGGGACCGTCCCGAGGATCGAGAATGCTGGGTCATCCCTTCGGTGCAAGTTCACGGCGGCACTGATCATAGTGTAGAACAAGATCACAAATACGGTCCGAAGAGTCGAGATAAAGAACCAAGTCTTGGCCTGAGAAGGCTGCTTTTTCGCGGCGAATGTGCATCCCGAACGGATCATGTACAGCATTGCACAGGCAGTGACACCCATAGCAGCATCCAGCGTGGAACTGGGGAGGTATTTGAGGGTATTGATAATCACCTGGTAGGTGGCACCACGCGTGCTAAATTTGGCCTTCTCACCCAACATGGTTGGAACCTGCCCTGCGCAAATATTTATCGCAGAGCCCGTCATGAAGGCCGAGATAGCGGGGAGAGGGATGAAGTCGACAATGAATCCGATGCGCAGGATACCCATCATGAAAACAATAGCACCGCAAATGATAGCAAGAGAGGATGCAATCAAATGCGCAGGGTAATCTGGGTATTTGTCTTGGACATCGGCCACAATAGTTCCGGTCAGAGTTGACATGACAGCCACGGGCTATGATATGAGGTTAGTACTATAATTTTTGGTTTCAACCGGTCGCAGTAGTCACTCACCCCGATGGTAATATCCTTTGACGTGGCAAAGAACCAATAGATCAAAACTCCCATGAACGAGGAGTACAGACCGTACTGTACCTCCAGTCCAGCCAGGTTCGCGTAAGCCATACCTTGTGGAACAACGACAGCTCCAACGGTGATACCGGCAACTAGATCACCGTAGAGCCATTGTAGGTTATAGTTGCCAATCCATGTGATGAAAGGGAACAGATTGATTAAATATCTGCCAATTTGGGCACCGGATGGGGTGACCTCGCGGATCCAGTCGACACTTGTCGGCTCGGGCTCGTTGTATGAGTATGTGTCGACGGTGCCCATGGAGAAAGTTGATTCTCCTCTTGTAACGGGCTCAGCGGTAGCACCCAGAGGGTCTCTGTATGCGAGCTTGATACCAAGGACCTTGGCCAGGGAATGGCCCAGATTGGAATTGGCCGAGGCCATTTTGTTGACCATGTTTTCCCACCACTACTTGTGTAGACCGGAGTTGACTAATATCAAAAGCCGGGAATGGACACGAAAGGACCAATATGTGAGAGTTGTAACTTTGAAAGACAAGAGTCTCCAATGTGCTGACGATGAATATAAAAAGAATGTCAAACCGGATGATCACGCACTTTGCATGGACCGAAAAAAAAGGCAAAGAATGTCGGTGCGTGATTCGATCCCGAATGGCGCAATATCTCCCCAGATTCGAAATAAGATTTGAAAAAATATCCGGCTAACTCGCTTGGGCTAAATTCCAGACCAGGGGATATAAAGGTCAGACTATAAGAATTTTGAGATTAGAATGTAACCACAAATAAACTGGTTCTTCGAAGCGAGCCTTGTTAAATCCAGGAGGGATTTCACGCGGCACCCGGGTCCACTGACGATCTAAAGCCGATCACTGAAGCAAATCCGCAAGTTCCACAACAGTCTGGAAGAATGACGACGGGTCGTGGAGTATATCCGCTCTTTATATGGAGTCTATCGTCAAGATGAGACGGGGGATACTTGGTTTTATGTTTTAAGCTCTGTCTCTCACAAATCTGTTAAAACTAGGTAATGTATTCATTGTTCTCATGACAATTCACCTCACCTGATAGCCATTATGAATGTATAAATTCCACAAATGGTCAACGTTGATGACTAAACCGGAGACTACCTGGATAAGCCGGCGTAGTGCCAAGATAATGTGGACGTCGTGGATGACGAATGGCAACGCGCCTCGATGAGATTTGCCTCAAGAAGATCAACAAGTGGGACCACGAGACCAATCACGGACCTTGCAGAACACGCAATCTGAAGGTGAGATGGTGAAAAAGAAAGAGGTTCCACTTTCTGAGCTGTTTGTGTTCTGCTTCTGTTCCTGTCCTTTTTTCTTTTTGTTAAGATTGTTTCTGATCAACTTTAATCCAGACCGCTTTTGTTTACATAATTAATCAACGGGAAGGAGCAATATACTCTGTACCTCCACACTGACGGATCTCCTACCTAGTATTTGTAAATTGTATTGATCATCTGCCATTACGGGATTATATCAATTTGCATTTAACAGTCTTGTGGTCCGTGTGGGCTTGGCGCTACTTTATCTGTTAGGTGCATATACGGAGTACCCGTGGACGAATATGCACCTTCTCCCAACAGTTACGGACTCCGTGGACAGTTGCCTTTTTACATATCGGCCTTCAACCTCGGCTATCCCGAGCCAAGAGAGAAAAAGCTACAATTGCGATACTCTTATACTATATCGCTCCAACGGTCAAGGTTTGAGGACACATATACGGGGTACGGAGTGTCTCTGATATGCCGCTTAGAATATATAGAATATACACATCCCGAAAAATCTTTCCCCTGCATTGTTTGTAAAGACGCAATCAAGATCTAAATCACGTCATTGAGCTTGATTGTTGACCTGCATGCGGGATATTCAGACCAAAGTACTAAAGTAGTGCTACCTCGCAGCCCTTAACTTAAAATGTGGTGCCACGATGCTATACCCATGTCGTTCTTGGCCCCTTTTACAAACGTATCAGCTATGTCTGAGTGTTTCTTCTTAGTCACTTGGTAGCCTTCCTAGTGCATTCCTCGGCCCTGTTGACCATATCACGGAAGACATTCCTGCTACTTAGGTTACATAGGTACATATTCACGTTCAGCATACTGTCTTACTATACTTGATTTTACAGCACATAAGAGGGAAACTAGCCGACGCGAAGAAGCAAAAAAAAAGTAAAGGAAAAAAAAAAAAAGAAATAATGTGGCGCCCTTCAGCTCAAGCAGCTGACGCTAAGCCATGGCCCGGATCTACAGCTGGTTGTGGTTGCATACCCGTACTCATGGCACAAGCATCCCCGCTATACGGAGTACATACAGGGTACAGAGTACATTGTGTTTCTCCTCGGAGACGATCTTGAGTTTCAGCCTCGTCTTGCTTAGACGGGATGGCGTATGGCTTGTATACGAGAAGATTGTCATACCGACAAGTAATTTAGTTAGATATATTATTGGTTTCTTTTCTTTCTTGCTCGCTATTCTCGCTACACACTTGCCACTAATATAACATAGCGTCGTTATCCTCGCTCGGGATTCCGTATTCTTGATCCCCGAGTCTCCTTTTCGCCATTCCTACATATGAATACGGGATCTTGTATTCGTTCTAGAGATTTTAAACCTCTAGCACGCCATAAATCAGTTTCCATCCTACGTCTTATGTTTGTGTGGCTGGTGTCGTGATGCAATCTCGGTGCTCCGTATTCCTGTGCATGCGTACATATGCAGGGGGTGACCCGATCGCAAAGTCGCTTTTGTGGGGAACATTTATTCTATAACTCATTATCACAGTCTTAATTTTATTCCCGGTGAGCCTAGAGCTTTTGGGCGTGATATATAGATGCCCTCAAAGCTTGAGATGAGGGTAGGTACTTGGTACATGAACAATACTGATCTCTCGCAATCGACATGATCCTTGTAGTATGATGTGATCGGACACTTCTATTCACTAACCTGAAGTCGGTATATCTAGTGCCGGTTCAAGTATTATTGTGTTGTGGCACAATCACGCTCTTTTTATCGTCATCCAGGAAAGCGACTTATATTAAGGAGGCGTATATTATTTACTTTCGTTTGACGTTAGAGCTTTTTTTTTTGTGAAATAGGAGAGCGTTATTTTCACTATTAAGTTGGGCTTGGTAGCAATTTCCAAGTTTTAGCCTCACAGTGAAGCTCGTTTATTGTAACAAACAGCCAACTTTGAGAGTTTATTTTAGTCTTATAAATTTTGAGATTGAAAAATCTGTGATGGAGTTCGGCTCGCGATATGACGGCTCAAAAACGCCGAACCATACTATGTTTAATGTTGAAGTGGCTCAACCGGGATTACCAAACGGTGTGCTCGATTCAAAAAGCAGGTCAAAATCATGTAGCATATGGCCTGGTGTCAAGTAATTTGCCAAGAAGTCATACTCGTTGGTAATAGGAATGCAATCCTCCTTGCTTGCCGCCGTGCTGTTCTTGAGTAATTGCCGTTGAGTTTCTGGACGTGAGGGTGACAAGGTTTGGTCATGAACATTCCGAATGGCTGATTCGCTGGATTTGAAAGCGGCTTTGAAGTATGCGCGTGCGAAATGGGCACCCCAGTATCTGTCTCCAATTTCATTCAAGACAGCCAAAGAGAGATCTAGCTTCTGTTGGGCCATTTCTTTGGCCAGTCCGTTGGTCCAGAGCCCTTCAAGGAAATTTATTGCAGTTATTGATGTGAGAGCGGTTGTACTAATGGAAGATCTATTAGCTTTTGAATTAAGTGGTTTTTCTTTTTGCCCCAAGAGCTTACCTTTCAGGAGGGAGATATCAGATTAGATCTGCGGAGACGAGTCGTCTTAATGAATCGGTAGCAGATGAAGCCGCAAAGACTGATTTTAATCTAGCATTGGCTTGAAGGGGGCCGGCTTCGCTGGAAGCGGCACCATCATACTCTTTAAACATGTGCGGACAATGAATGGCGATGATAGAGAGTCTGTGTTTAAATGTCAATTCCGGTCACAAGTAAACAGGACAAGATACTTACTGGAAGAATATGTAAAGTATGTGTTTGTGCAACGTAAATGTTTGATCAGGATCATTAAGCACCGTCACGGTATCAAGCTTTAGCTTCCGGTCGAGACTATTGTACCATGTAGTCAATGATGCCTCACAGGAGTCAACCTGCTTCGAGGGATCTTCAGGCTCCCCAGGCCTGTATTGACATAGCAGAACCGAGCCTAGATGCACACTCCACTGGGCTAATTCGACAAAAACGGGCGCCATATCTACAGCCCGAGTGAGGATTTTTTCATCCTTTTCACTTAGGATAGCAGAAGAAGCCTGGCCAACAACATCATCAAGAGTCACCATACCTAGATCACAATCTTCCAGCCAAATGCGCTGAGGGTGACATAACCCAAAAGCTAGCCATCGATCTCGGTAGACACAACACCACCACAGCCGCCTCCAAAGGCTAATTTGGGAGCGAGGGATGTTCAAGGCACGGGGTCTCCGATTCAAACCAATGGACTGACCAAGGCTGATGGCGACACCGACCCAATGCCAACTGTCAAGCCGATCATTGCTATCAACATACCAATACCCCAAGAGAAGTACGGCTTGTATGAGCGATATTTTGTTCTTCTCGTAATCCATGTCATAGAGAGCCTGCAAATAATAAGCTACCTGATTAGGGAATGGCCTACTTGCTGTACTCACTTTTGCTCGCTGATAAAGGTCTTTTTTCAGGTCCTTGATTGAGGGATATTTGGAACGTGCCAGAATTTCTAGAGATACGAACTTTTTCAATTTAGTTGTGATATATTGAGGGAGGAAGTATACTCACATTACTAGCAGCAAAGAACATACTTTGGAGGAGAAGCAGACTCTGTGAGGCCATCTCTCCTGCACGGTAGCTTTTCAAGAAATTTGTCACTTGAACAACAGGTAGGAGAGGGTGTACAAACTCGAAATAGCATCTTATGAGCTCTTCGCACATTTCTGGGGATGGAAGCAAGAATGCCCCTTTTGCCTCGAGGTAAGACAATTCCTCTGCTGCTAGGGGTATTTTTGATGATTCTGGGATTCGGCAAGCAAGTAAATCGGCCTCGGAGACACTAAAAAATCGGGCCAAGCTTGGAGACTCTCCTATCAAAATGACCCTTTGTTAAACAAGACCCTCAAAAGCATCAGGTTATCAAAACATATAGAATGATTGCTCACCAACAAAAAAGGGAACCAAAGGGGTGTGGTCCTTAGGCGTCGGGAAATTATTAGTGCTGGCTTCAGTATTGCCACAAAGGTCTGATTCATTACAGCCAGAAATATGTTGAAGTGGAGAAGTGAAAGAGATAGCGTGGCTGGTTGGCTCTGAGGCTTCTCTGGTCTCAGAAGGATTTGACGAGCCCAAGATCCCTACAGTGCGAGTACTCGCCCCGGTACCAACACTCTTTCTGTCGTTGATTTTATGACTTTGGGCCCTTTTCCTTCGTGAAATGTGTGGAATACAAGGAACCTTGTCAAGCTCACAATTCGCGCACGGTGGCCCCGCGATTTGGAGATTACATCGCACTTTGCGCGTATGGCAGACATTGCAGGCGCTCTGCAACCGAGACCTTTTGTGTGTAGTATTGGCGGTCATAATGGCTTTTATCGAGAGGGGTCAACTTCGCCAGTTCGAGAATGTTGCAGTGAAGGCGGTGCCTCCACCTCAATGATTTTCTGGGGTGTGGGGAATGGCGGGGAAGTTACTTAATTTACCTCGGAAGAGCCGGTTGCGACGGTCGCCACTGTAATATGAGATTTTGTTCTTGTTTTGATTAGTTGAAGTAATTATATCAGTGGTTATTGATTTGTCGGATTATAGACTGCGGTAGGAACCTGAGGCAATGTCAGACCCCAAGTCCTGCAGGGTTACAGTATATAGAAACCTAAGCAAGCACGGGCGGCATACGCCACATCGGAGATATGCACACTACTGTACAAGTATAGTATAAGTGCACATGTGTTATATCTAATTCAATGTCATGTAAAGATCTTAGAAATGCAACACTGGACTCGCGTGGATGTACTACTTGCATTAGACGCACTAATGCAACGCTAATGTAGAGACGGAAGACCCCAGTTCTCGCCGAGCTTGCTCATTATTTTTCATAGGACCTTTTTAGGCGATGATCGACTAGCAAATGGTATATCCAGTTCGTGACGAGCAAAAGAGGAAAAGACATGAGATATTTACTATTAATAATATAAATACGAACTATGCAGAACTATGACAAGTATACGACTCCTAGGAACCGTTACTAACACTCTATATACATCTTCAAAATAAACCAACGAGGATCAATTCAAGATATCTCTAACACTTCTCGTTGAGGTACTGGATAACTGCGTCCCATCCCTGTCTGGTGATTTTGACTTTGCTACCATCAAACGTCATAAAGCCATGGCAAGCTCCAGGGATGAATTTGACGATAGCCTCATTGCCTGCTATCTGCCACTTTGTTGCCATAAGGAGAGTATCATCTAAACAGCCATCTTCGGTACCCACGACAAACAAAGCCGACGTAAGACCATCAAGTTTATTGTATACCGGAGACATAGCAGGGCTCTTTCGTTCGGTACGTCCGATGGTAGGGAGATAAGCGTTGCTAAATTGTTTGCAGTCTTCATAGGTCAACAACGCACTATTTTCCGGATCCAAGGTAGTCATAGATGGCAATATCGAGAGATCATAATTGCCATAATTCAATACAGCTCCAGCAATATTGTCTAATCTTGAGGCCTCCCGCAGATAAAGAAGAACCGAAGCGGATAGCGTTGCACCTGCAGACTTTTGTGTTGCGTATAATCAGCAAATGAGTGACCACTAGAGTCTGCTATATTTTGACCTACCTCGCCACCGATAAATCTGAAGTCGCAGTGCCACTACGTTAGGTTGTATCTCGTTAATTCACGAAAATTAATTTTAAAAGAAGGGAGTAATACTTTCTCTCTTGAGTTCTCGATTAGCCAGTCTGCTACTGTGCGACAATCATCTAGGCCAACAGGGAACGGATGCTCAGGTGCTAGACGATAGTCTATCGAAACAATCACGAGGTTTGTTGCCTGTGACACTGCGCTGAGGAGAAGGTCTTGCCTGCGCATGTTATTTGTATGACATCCTTGACAGCTACGCAAAGATATTGGACTGCAGCTTACCCTGCGGAGGATCCCAATACATAGCCTCCTCCATGGATATGATAGAAAACCCCTTTAGGGTTTGGATGATCATGGCCGAAGACCCGACAGTGGATTTCATGCCCTTCAGGGGACGGGACAAGAATATCGGATGTGTTATCGACCTTTGGGGCTTGAGGAAAGGGGGTTTCGCCAGCTACACGACGCCTTCTGTATTCTGCTGCTCCACACTTGGTTTTGTTAGCTGTGAATTCTGGATGGACTTGGTAAATTAGGGTGCTCTCGCAGTAGACATACCTGCCACCATTTGACATCTGCTTTACAGAGCTTGACCAAGGCTTTATTAAGCTCACTTGTACTTGGGTCGATGTTTTCCGGCTGGAATGGGCCAATGTCTAGGCTTAAATCGGATTTCATGGCGACGGTTAGGTTGTTTCGTCTCACTTTTCTTTTTGAAGTGCGTTTTGTATCAGAAATGATATTTTTTTATGTCGAGTACAATATCTTAGCATAAACATGTTGCATCGAAGCACAGTATTTATACAGCACACTGGGGTAGTTTATGGGGTAGTTTGTGGGGTATTTTATGGCATGGTTGCCCCAGTTGGCGTCCACTCGGCGATGCCACCATCGCCTCGGAAGTTGAACCCCTCGGCGTTCAAGCCCTCTCACTCACACCTCGGCGGGTCTTGACTAGAACGTCCGAGGATGGTGAATACTATCCTAACGAGAACAATACATTACACCTAACCATTCTCTACTTAATCTGCATTGTTCTCCATTTATCTTGTATTGTTCATCATTCTTCTCATCAGTTGATTTCGCTCTTAAATCTCAGAAAAGATGAGTTCTACCAACGATTTCCTACGTGACAACAGTCTTCCACTTGCTGAGAAGCATGGATGGGTTCGGGAGGATGAAAGGGGCTACAGCATCCTTGAAAGACCGCACGGTACCCTTCGCCCGTTCCGTATCATTCACGTAGGTGCTGGAGCTTCTGGAATCATCTTCTCCAAGTTCATGGAAAACTATTCGAAGAATATCAGTCTCCAGATTTATGAGAAGAATCCTGATATTGGTGGCACATGGCTGGAAAACAGGTTCGTCATCCATTGCTCTCTTATAGCTGCTGTGATACATCAAGCATGGGACTAATCATGCCTATATATAACCAGATATCCTGGTTGCGCTTGTGATATTCCATCCGCATGCTACCAGTTTTCATGGGCAAGAACCCCAAATTGGTCCCATTACTACTCCTCTTCTCAAGAAATTTGGTCGTACTTCAACGATGTTGTGGAAAACAATGGGCTCCGGAAGTATATGAAGCTCAGCCATACCGTTGTAGGAGCCAACTGGAATGAGGAGGAAGGTCTTTGGCATGTCAAGATTCGCACTCCCGAAGGGACGGAAATCGAGGACACTTGCAATATCCTAGTCAATGGTGGTGGCGTCCTCAAGTAAGTGAAGCGGCAACCATCCATCAAAAAATAATGTGAACGATTAATAATAACTCATTTCACAGCAATTGGAAGTGGCCAGATATTGAAGGCCTACACTCATTCAAGGGACTGTTGCAGCACAGTGCTCATTATGACGAGTCTATTGACCTCACGGGAAAACGAGTTGCTGTTATCGGCATTGGCAGCAGCGGTGTCCAGCTCATCTCCTCCATCGCCCCTACTGTGGAAAAGCTGTATACTTGGATCCGGAGCCCGACTTGGATCACTGCTGGCTTTGCCCAGAAATTTGCTGGCCCCAATGGTGGTAATTTTGAATGTGAGTGAATATCAACCCTGTCACACTAATAGAATCTAATCAGAATTTTTTTCTCCTGAAGACACCGAGGAGCAGAAGAAAGCTTTCCGAGATGATCCTGAGTCGTATCTCAGGTACTCTAAAATGATCGAGTCAGAACTAAACCAGAGGTTCAAATTCATTCTTAATGGCACTCCCGAAGCAGAAGGTGCAAAGGAAGTAAGTCAATACTCCCTCCAGCTCTTAACGTGTATATTTCAACAGGGCAACTTATAATATGATGCTAATTTCGTTTTGTTCAGTTTGCAATTAATGAGATGAAAACAAAGTTGGGTGGCGATAAAGAGCTTTGTGAGGCCATGATCCCCAAGGATTTCGGTATTGGCTGCAGAAGACCAACAGTAAGTTCCAGTGTGTTTCCAAGTATATTTCTCAGCCTTGCAATGGAGAGCTGATTGAACATTAAATAGCCTGGAAATGGATTCCTTGAGGCTTTGAATCTTGACAATGTCCATGCCTTTACGAAGCAGTTGCAGCGAATCACCCCCGCAGGATTTGTTGATGCCGATGGTGTCGAGCATGAGGTAGACGCTATCCTGTGTGCAACTGGGTAAGTCCAACCGGATATTTTGGGTGTTTCTTTTCCTTTCATTCAATTCATTCAGACTGATATTCAAAACTATAGGTTCGACACAAGCTGGATTCCGCGTTTCCCTATCGTGGCGGGAAACTATAATGTTCAAGACCTCTTCGCAAAGAGCACAAGCTCTTGGATATCTATTGGAGTCCCCCACAGTAAGTGCATTCATTTCAACAGATTTGATCCGAACACCCCCGCCTGCTGACATTATATAGTTCCCAACTACTACATGCAAGGAGGGCCATATGGCCCACTTGGTCACGGATCCACCCTTGCAATCTTTGAGGCAACCTCTCGATTGGTCCTTCAAATCGCTGAAAAGATGCAGACAGAAAACATCAAGAGTGTTACCCCTAAGATTGAAGTTTGCGAAGAGTTTGCGGAGCATGCAAAGTTGTTCCTAAACCGCACCGCTTGGACTGGCCCTTGCAGCAGTTGGTTCAAGCAGGGAAAGATCGATGGACCTCTCGCCATGTTCCCTGGTTCGAGATTGAGCTTCCTTGCTCTTCTTGAAAAGCCCCGTCTCGAAGATTGCGATCTCAAGTACTTCAATCGGCTGAATAGGTATGAGTTCCTTGGAAATGGATTCCATACGAGGGAGTTTGATGGAAGGGATCTTTCTCATTATCTAGGCCTATTGGGCGGCAAAGATGTGCAACCAGATCTGAGCTAAGTAGCCAGTGAGACTGAGTGTCGGTGACAAAGCCTGTCATAGTCAGCTAGAGATAGACATCGCCAGGCTTTTCAATCCATCATTCTTCGGAGTGTTATATTGCTCACCAAGTTGTAGATTTCACTCTTGTCTACTCTGTCTTGACAAGATTGACTGACTCAATATTACCTGTTTACCTCCTTACTTAGAAAGGGACATCCTCAGCTCCCTGCTGCATATTAACTCAGTTGTAAATGAAGTGAACAACCTCGATATTTACCTCGTCGGCCTCATTCTTCCTCATAGAAAACCAAAGTTTGGGCAGTGAAACTGATTTAATCCACAAGATTGATGCCTTTCTATTTTTGAATAACTTGACAGATGAATGGGTAGAAGAATAGCACTAAAAAGGATAGTGCAAACTCTTGTATTGAAATTATGGAGTTATGTTCTTAGCGAGTCTCAGTATCAACTAGTATCGCTGTCTGATAATCCCCGATAAATATAATTTCCTAGAAGGCATATCGTGTGGATTGCCCTGCATTCTTATGGGACCTTGAATGAGACGTTTTGATTGAATTTGTGGTCAAATACTCTCTCTCTCACCCAGAACGGATTCTAGCACATCTCATCTTCGGAAGCTGTCGGTGTCCCGCCAGAACACTATATGATCATATCTAAAGAGATTATTATGCACACAATTCCAGCTATTTCATAGCCACACAGATTAGATGACTCACGTCAGTCAGCCTTGGCTCAATTACATCCATATTTTCGTGCCAGGCGCCCAATACGGACAGGGGTGTTGTGTTGGGAGGCTGAGCCTAACCGTGTTGTATAAAATAGACCATCTTGCTACTCTTTCGAATTTTCCTTCCCCCAATATCTGCTTAGACAAACTCGAAACACTATTTCAGCAAACAGCTATCCCACTCTGAAATATGGATAATGATTTCAATACCCGCTGCCTTAAATGTGACGGACCTACCAAAAGAACTCACTGTGTGTCATCCAATAACAACGGCAATGCATACCGTCCATACTACAAATGCTCTCACTGCGGAGCATTTGCTTGCTTCGGAGACAGACGAGGCATTTTGGATGAAAACCCCACATGTGACTGTGGACATGGACACAGAAGGCAGTTGAGCAGACGGATCATAGCAGGTCGGGATGCGGCATATCCCAGATCGATATCCTACCAGTGTGCTACGGGAAAATGTAGATTCTTCGAATACAAGACAGACGATCATGGCTGGATTTTGTTTTACTCTGGTCCTCGGTCCCCTAGCTACTTGGCATCTATTGGGTACTAGGGGAATCCGTCTCAGAATAGGGTACAGCCAGTTGATATCCTGTGCCCCAACGATTGCTGGAAGTTATCTGACTAATTTATTTATTCCTAGGACCATGATGCAAACCGATAACACCAATACAGAACACATTACTCTTCTTTCTCTCATCTACTCGGGGCTATATGGAATGTTATACATATCATACTCGGACTCCGCATCTCAAGCCTAGGCCGCTGCTAGATAAAGAAATCTACGGCAGGACTAGAAAGCTGCAAGTTGGATACAACGTTCCATATTCGCCACTGTGACATGGAAGACTAGCAACAGGGAAGAGCGCAGGTGGAAGGCGGGAACTATCGGGCTATTGAGGAGCATCAACCAGAAAGCGAGGATGAGGACGAAATGTATTCGCTAGCACAATAACCCCTTGCGAATATCTATTCAATATCATTTTAGGTATAAAATGCACTAGCCGTCCCCTCCCCTTACTCCCCAGACAAGATAGTATGTACATAAGTTCCAGCGCGCTATGGGCAATTATTCCCATGTAGAAACATCCTACTTTTTTCAATCACCATCTGATGTTCAGATTCCCGTTGAAGATCGAGACTCTTAGTATTGTTGCCGAGGTAAGGATCAACGGTCGTGTCACGCCACGCGCGTAGTATATCTTCCGATTTTTACCTGAATAGCCCACACCTACCCATCACTCTATGATATATGCTTGAGACACTCTTCCCTATTACCTATCGTGCACTGATCAACATACCAACCACTGAAGTAACAGGATGACCTTGAGATTCCCACAACAGCACAGAGGACCTTGAGGACTTCTAGAAAAGCTATCTTACCGCACTCCCTCCTTCTCTTCGCTCTTACGACTACCAACAACAATACGTCTCATATAAAAAAAATCATCAATATAGATGAGCAAATACATTGAAATGAAAACACACAATGTCTATTCAAACGTCATCATCAAAGTGCAGGCTAACAGAAAAAAGAAACACGAATCCATCATGATCACGCCACGACGCCCTTCCAGAGCTTCGTCCTAGAACAAAGCCAGCGCGAGCAACAGAAATATTTTTAGATCGTTTGCAAGAGCCAGGCTCGCAATCGTGGTCTTGTCTCATCCATCTTCGATTCATGACTCTTTCAAATTGTCAGCACAACTCCATCACCACACAAACCCCCGTTCCCATGGAAAACATAAAATGGGCGACCAACGTTAAAAAAGCAAGGGTCAAAAGCAAGGATCAAGGACCCGAAACTGGTATGCGAAAGAAGAAAAAGTAGAGCTCGACAAGGCGAGGAAGGATTCAAGAGGATTACAGAAGAAATTGAGAAATGGAAACCGAGAAGACAAAGAGAAAAAAGAGAAAATGATATCTTCCAGGTCTTCGGAGGAAACGCCATTGCAAAGCATAAAGAAAACAAACAGGTCCCCCGCGTCAAATCGGGGTTAAGGAGATGGCCCCCTTCACATGGTATCATAAGCGAAGTCTTCATCATTGGCCCAACATCAACCCCCATTTACGGCATGGAAATTGTCTCCGAAATCCTTTTACTGGGAAGCACACTGCACACGCTCGGCACCGCCGGGCACTTCATCATCATCCTCGTCCATGCCGGTCGCCGCGCCGTGGGCGCGGGCCTGGTCTTGCTCGTTATCGGGGTCCTCGAGCTCGAAGTCCTCGACCATGGCATCGGCCGGGGGCACGATCTTCTCAGAGCGAGGAGGAAGGACCTTCTCGAGGAGATCCAGGTTCTGGAGCTCCTCCTTCTTGGGGAACTTGACATCGAACTTGATGTACAGGTTGCCGTGGTCGTGGTGGCGGAATGAGGGCATACCCTGGCCGTGGATGACCTTAATGGCATCTGAAAAGAATTGTTAGTAACAAGTCTCAGAAGGCTTATGGGGAGAAACAAAGCAAGTCACATACCAGGAACGATAACCTCGCCAGGGGCGATGTTGACAGTCATCCACCGATCATCGAGGTGCTCAATGTGGACAGCACCGCCGGCAAGAGCGGTAAGCAGATCGATCTCAGCCTGGTAGAACAGGTCGTCGCCCTTGCGCTGGAAGCGGGCGTGGGGCTTCTGCTCAATCTCGAACACGACATCACCGGGCATGACACCAGGCATCTGATCACCCTCGCCGCGGAACTCAATCTTGTGACCATCACGCACACCTTTATCGACGTGAACGTGAAGAACCTTACGCTCAACGACGGTCTTCTTGCCATTGCACTTCTTGCAGCGATCCTTATCACGGACAATCTCACCCTCGCCGTTGCAGTCGGGGCAGACGGTCTGGAAGCGCTGGATCATGGGACCCATCTGGCGCATCATAGTCTTCATACCACTGCCGTTACAGCCTGTGCACTCCTTGACAGCACCCTCCTTTCCGCCGCGGCCATCACAGCCACCGCAGATGACGGACTTCTGGAGCGCCAACTTGGACACCTTGCCCTTGTAAATATCCTCGAGGTTAACCTTGTGCACGTGGTGAATTGTGCGGGCCTTCTTGGGGCCTTGTTCACGCATGCCACCGCCGAACATTCCGCCGAAGGGGCCGCCGCCGCCGCCGCCGGAGAAGAATTGAGAGAACAAATCCTCGGCGTTCATGCCGCCGCCACCGCCGCCATGCTCCAGGCCCTCCTCACCGAGCTGATCATACAGTTGACGCTTCTCGGGGTCGGAAAGACACTCGTAGGCGTGCGACAGTTCCTTGAACTTCTCTGCGGCATCGGGGTTGTTGGTGTTCTTGTCTTGATGTGACGAAGCAATGTCAGCTGAGTGTTTCCCATATATATACTATTCGGAGTCTCCGGGTTGTCACATACCAGGGTGGTACTTGAGAGCGCCCTTCTTGTAGGCAGTCTTAAGCTGAGCCTCGGTAGCAGTGGGAGAGACCTAAATGAAAGAAACTCCAAGTCAGGATTTGAAGCACGTATCAAACAGGGTTCAGAACCAGCCAGGGATAGTCTAACATACCCCGAGGGTGTCGTAGAACTTCGTTTCCTTGACCATTGTGAAATATGCGGGGAATCAGAGGCGTGGGAAAGTATCGATATTAGGGTATTCTGGTGGAATCCAGAAATGGAGCGGGAGAATGGAGGGGAGATAAAGGCGAAAACTTTAAGGCTGCTTTGATAGTGGAATGCCGAACAGACAACAATTGCGGATATTTTTGAAGTCCTGGCTAGAGGGGATGAAAAAAGTGGAGGGGGAAGAGAAAGGGCGAGATGGTTTATCTGAACAATAATAATCGGAAGCCTGAAAAAAGGCTGAGTAACTTTCCAAGGTTTTTACCCAGGTACCTTGTATGGGGGTTGTAAAATAACACAATAAATTACCTGGGCAACTAGAAGTTCACGATTTTACACTAGTTTTTTCTTTGTTTCGCTCTGAAGTAGATTTTGCTAATTTTCAATCTAGAATTGACCAAATTGTTCTATAATACAGTCCTGTTCCTCATCTTCAACTCTTCTGGTGGCTTCTATGTACATTGTGAATGGCCCGAGCGCTGATTCTATGGGTTTCTGTGGTTTTCGATAGACTTCTCTTTCTCCGGGCTTCCATGGATGGTTTTTTTTATTACTGCTGACTAAAGGGGCACATTTCACCCATCACCCATATGTACGTTATGTACATAGTAGTTATGTAGTATGGATGTCTATATAGAAATAATATCATCTTTGCTACAAAATGATCGTTGATTTAGCAATGTATTGGTTTAATAGACAATGTATTATATACGTATATAGTACTACTACATAGTACAACAGTATATATTGTATGTATCCTGTATACTCCGTACAAATCCCTGTAAATGTACCAGTAAAACTCGCGCAGAAATTTTGAACCCTTGCCACTAACAGCCACCATACTCCAGCCACATATCTCTTATCGATAAGCCAAGAAGAGAGGGGGAAAAAAAAGCTCTTCGTGGTCCACTTGGTTCAATCGTCATAGAGGGGTTCGGAACTCTCCGATTATACCCTGTACGGAGTAGATTTCCCGTGCTCCGTAGTTTTCTTATCTCCCTCTCTTTTTACTCCGTACTGCCCACATTAAGCTCAATTACCACACTACAAAATGGAACAAGATCCCGGATTCATTGCCGCCGTCGAAGAGGCGAAGCAGGGCCTCTCTGAGGGAGGTGTGCCAATTGGTGCTGCCCTGGTTTCAAAGGATGGAAAGATCCTTGGCCGTGGTCACAACATGCGCGTCCAGAAGGGAAGCGCTGTCTTGCATGTCAGTAAAGCGTGATATACTTCAATTGATATCAATCGTCGATTTATATCCATACCAACTATTATAGTTTTCATGAACTACCACTAACAACCTCTTTAAGGCTGAGATGTCTGCCCTCGAAAACTCCGGCCGTCTTCCTGCCTCTGCGTACGAGGGTGCCACTATGTACACCACCCTCTCCCCCTGTGACATGTGTACCGGTGCTTGTATCCTCTACAAGGTGAAGCGGGTTGTTATTGGTGAGAACAAGAGCTTCATGGGTGGCGAAGAGCTGCTCCTCAACCGTGGCAAGGAGGTTGTTGTCTTGGATAATGCCGAATGCAAGGAATTGATGGCCAACTTCATGAAGGAGAAGCCTGAGCTATGGTATGTTATGTTTGGTGCTTGGTCTATCGCAATGCGTAAAGCGGCTCTCGATCTGCTCGTAATTACATCGACAACTTTTGGCTGTTTCATGATCATCAAGACTAACTGCAGTGTCTGCTATACAGGAACGAGGATATCGCTGTCTAAATTTCATAAGGCCTGCATATATCATAGCCTTAAATACCCCGAGAATTGAAAAGATTCAGGCCCGAAAGATGTGCTTTTAGATCCAACGTAGTCTTCTGATCCGGGTCCTTTTTAGTATTCGATATTATACTGTCAAGCGGTGGATTTCTTCAAAGAAGAACTTGAGGTTCTCAGGGTCGACGAATGGAGTGACACCTGCGTTGATAGACAATTAGTTAAGTGATGTGCAGTCCCAAATTATAAGGTTTAACTTACCGTGGCCCAAGTTGCAGATCCATCCTTGCTTGCCCTTCTTGAATCCCTCAACCATAGGCTCAACTGTGGCAGTGATGGCCTTGGGGCCACCGTAGAGCATGCCAGGATCCGCATTGCCCTGGATAGTCACACGACCGTTGGCAATGCGCATGGCCTCACCAGCATCATGCAGCCAGTCCAAGCCGACAACATTGTAACCCGAATCGCAAAGGTCATCCAGAGCGTACCAGGCGCCCTTGGCGAAGACTGTCATAGGCACAGGCTCCAGGCCCATCTCCTGCAGCCGCTTGGGCAGGTTGGCAGAGATGTGGCGGAGATAAGGAAGCGAGAACGACTTGAACGAGGCGGGAGACAGCTCACCGGCCCACGAGTCAAAGACCTGCACGAGCTGTGCTCCGGCAGCGACCTGAAGGGCGAGATATTCCACACAAATCTCGGCAATCTTCTGCAGAAGAGCCTGTGCCTCGGTAGGGTACTTGTAGACCCATTTCTTAGACTGCACAAAGAGCTTGCTGCCACCGCCTTCGACCATGTAACACAGCAGCGTCCATGGTGCACCACAGAAGCCGATCAAGGGCACCCGACCCTTCAGCTTGAGTCGTGTGAGGGTAATAGCCTTATAGACGTAGTCCAGCTCTGCTTTCACATCCACATCCTTTGCCATCACCTTCTCGTACTGTCCGTCTGTGGGGGAGTCGAGCGGCTCGGGGAAATGAGGTCCCTTCTTGTCCAGCATCTCCACAACCATACCCATGGCCTGAGGAATGACTAGGATATCGGAGAAGATAATTGCAGCATCGATGAGGCCTTCATAACGCTCAATGGGCTGGAGGGTCAAGGTCGAGGCAATTTCAGGTGTACGGCAGCATTCGAAGAAGTCGCGACCGGCCTTTGCCTCATGGTATTCGGGGAGGTATCGGCCAGCTGTTGAAGAAAGAACGAGAAGGTCAATCAATTGTCCTTGAGGACGTGGTGTAAGAATAAGCCAAACTCACCCTGTCGCATAACCCATATCGGAGGACGCTCCACCTTCTCACCTGCGATTGTCAGCTCCGATTAAAATTAAATGCATAGATCAGGCATACCCCGTGCGGCCCTCAGCAGCAAGTCGTTTTTCAAAGGCTCAAATTGTTCCTGCATTGTGTGGGTGGTATATGCAAGTGGGATGAAGGACCTCGGGAGGGGAAGTGGGATTACAAGGTTCTCCGGGTACCGCGGCCAGCAATTGATCGGGAGTGGCAAAGCTTTATGCCGCGTTTTACCTTCACAACTTCGTTTTCTTCTCTTTTCACTATTTTTTGATAAGTTGGTAGTTTCTTGTGCATTGGTACATGGCTAGAATTGAGTTGTTGAATTGAATGGCATGTCTGTGTTTAGCTATTGGACATCACCAGTACATCATTGTCTCTTGTGAGACAACTTGTTTCTCCAGAGGTTGATCTATCCGACCTCATAAATTTATTAGGACTTCTTCCCAGGGACTCTTACGACCGATCAAGGATCCCACAGTTAGTATAATAGCCCTATAGTTGCCCATACCTAACTCAAAAGCCGTGTCCGGGGCCCCCAAGAGCTTAAAGATGCTCTAGCCTTATAACCACCATAGTTTTAACTAAGAAATTGAGGCTGGGGTTCGATTGGATGAACCATTCGCCGGAGATCCTCAGCAGATCTAGGCTGCCGCAATGAATTAAGAATGTGTCGGCTCCTGGGCCATCCTATCAAGGCACACTCTTCATACCAACGACAAAACTAATACTACATCTCGTGCAGCTTGACTTATAGCACCGAAATAAACGGGGGAAAATCCAATGGTTACGTGTATGATGCGAAAGTAAACGGTATAAATTGCGATAAGTCATTGGGGAAGGAAATAGTGCTTGTGGCGGTCGAGAAATCTGCCGATAGTTTGTTCAAAAATGATGCTCCTATAGGCTGAGGTCCGTTTACTTATGGGACTTGGAATAGGCATCTACCGATGAGTGCTGAGCTAAGTCGTTATACTGTACCTGATGTTGATTGTTGTGTTTGTGGAGTTGTCCCTAACAATGTTGAGATGATGATTTCCAGGAATATATATCTTGATCGGACTGATATGAATTTTGCCGCTATGCTTTTTGTTTCTTTGAACGAATTATAATGAAGACTGCTGCATTACACATGTACATATTTGGAACTCTAATTAATCATTTTGCTGTACATTCATCAAAAACATGCTTTTAGTCGTCGTAGGCGTCACCTCTCTTCCGCAGGTTGCTCAAATGGTACACTGAATCATTGAGCTCTTTCTGCTGTTTCTCCTCTACTGTCGTAGGGAGACTTGAAGTACCTTCGGAGTTGATTTTGGTGACCATTGGGTCTTCTACAGGAGCCCACTTCCCAGAACTGAGCCGGAAAGTTTCGAGAGGAGGCTGAGAGGACGACTTCCAGGCACTTGTCGAATCGGATTGCCGCAAGGTATCCACGGCAACAAGAATAGTGCCTCTTGAATCAATGCCAGTCACTTCAAGAACATTTCCTGACAGCTGGAGGGTATCTTGGTGAGTCATTGTGTTGTCGCTTCCGACAGTGTAGTAAATAAGTTGTGAAGACCTGCTCTTAATGTTAGGAGAAGTATAGATATCATCGATTGTCATTAGAACGTACCCTTCAAGCGCAACAAAGATAGCCTTCACAGGATCGACATTGTCTGCGGTAGGCGCAAGCGAAACATCCCAAATACCGCGCACTGTAGTCTCTCCTTCCGACCCAGGAAGCTGAACTTTCTGTAAGATCTGGTTCTCGAGCCAGTCCCACACAAGCAGATAGTTGTCGCCACCACCCGAAACAAGAACCTTGGGTTCGAACGAAGGGACGCAAAGACTGCTGACAAACGAAGTGTGGCCAAAGCAGAACTGTTCAATTACATGCGCTTGGGGAACACCACGGGAAACGCGGATATGCTCATCACGATCAGCAGTCAGAATGTAACTCCGCTTGCCAACGGCCGAGTCTGCAGGCCGGGTAACGGAGATCAAATCCGTTAACAACGAAACGTGACCGATAATGACTTGATGTTCGAAGTTAAGTACCACTCGTTCTGCTTGGCTGGTCCTCGACAGAGCTGCTTGTCGCATTTGTTGCTCCAATGATTCAAGGTTGCGTTTCGTGTGCACTGTGAGGTTTGTGGCAGATGGCTCATATGGTTTCACTGGAGCCTGCACTTTCACGTATTCTCCGCTGGGAATCAGAGGGAAAGTGTACACATCTCCGAATTTGTCACCCGACAAGATATTGTTCTCATCGGGAGTCAGAGTAAGCGCAGAAAGCTTCTTGGGCATTGTACTATAAATTATGAGTTTGGTGAGCTTGCAGATAAAAAAATTGCCACTTACCGAGCACTCAATTGCTTGAGTTTGCCTTCATTGTCCAAACTCAGGACCCGAACACATTTGTCCTCAGAGGTCATGATCACTACATATTTGCCGTGGGCAACAGTCAGAAGAGGAATGTTGGTCCAGGAGTTGGTAGCTTCTTTGTTCGAATCCTTAGATTTTGACTCAGATTTGGCATCTTTCTGTTCCTCAGAGCTCTCAGACAGTTTCCTTCGCTTTTCTGGGGGCCCTTGGCTTTCAGATGCGGGAGCTGCGTCGGAGCTTTGATCCTCCACATCAGCATCTACGGGTTGAGGCCATACATCCAGGCGCTGGCCACTGGACGCATCGTAAGAGTAGAGATTGCGACCAGCAGTGGCAACAAGGATATCTGATTGGCCTGCTGACTGCCTGTTGACATATCGCAGACACTGGAACGGGTGTTGGAGACTGGCCATGATGAAGTGCTTTGATACACAGAATGGGAATGACCAATGAACTCCCAAATGTAAAAATTGTTTTCTAATTGTAGTCAAATAGACAACAAATAACAATCAGAGCTCTAGAGGCCGTTCTGATCGATTTCTTGCCATGTCTGTCCATCATGAGCGGGTCTACTTTTTACGTCACGTGACCCACTAGCGAGCGCACCACCAAAATTGATTTTTCCAAAATTGGACAGCTCTTCCTTTCTTCTCCTTCATTAACCACAACAACAATAGACTTTCCCTTAAACAACCTATCTTCACTAAAATCAAGAAGAAATGGGGGGCAAGTCAGCAACCAAGTCTGCTTACTTCGAGAAGCTGCGTACTCTGTAAGCTTCCCCTCAATGGTTCCTGGCAATTGACTCGATTCAAAATTTCTAACAATTCCCGTTACAGTCTCAATGAGTACAGCACCATCTTCATCGTCGGAGTTGACAATGTCAGCTCCCAGCAGATGCACGAGATCCGTATCGCCCTCCGTGGCGAGGCCGTCGTCCTGATGGGTAAGAACACCATGGTTCGTCGTGCCCTTAAGGGTTTCGTCACTGAGAACCCCGAGTGGGAGCGTCTCCTCCCCCACGTCCGTGGCAACGTCGGTTTCATCTTCACCAACGGTGACCTGAAGTCCATCAAGGAGAGAATCCTTGCCAACCGTGTCGCTGCTCCCGCTCGTGCCGGTGCCGTCGCCCCCGATGATGTCTGGATTCCCGCTGGTAACACTGGTATGGAGCCCGGTAAGACCGCCTTCTTCCAGGCTCTCGGTGTCCCCACCAAGATTGCTCGTGGTACCATTGAAATTGTCTCCGACCTCAAGCTCGTTGAGGCTGGTAGCAAGGTCGGTGCCTCCGAGGCTACCCTCCTTAACCTGCTGAACATCTCTCCCTTCACCTACGGTATGACCATCGCCCAGGTCTACGAGAATGGTCAGTGCTTCGGCGCCGAGATTCTCGACATCACCGATGATCAGCTCCTGTCCGCCTTCTCCCAGGCCATTGCTACCATCACCGCTGTCTCTCTGGCTGCCAACCTCCCCACCCTTCCCTCCGTCTTCCACTCCCTTGTCAACGGATACAAGAAGGTTCTCGCCGCTGCCATCGCCACCGACTACAGCTGGGCCGAGATTGAGGATCTCAAGGACCGCATCGCCAACCCCGATGCGTACGCCTCTGCTGCTCCTGTCGCTGCCGCCGCTGCCACCTCCGGTGGTGACGCCCCTGCCGCTGCTGCTCCCGCTGAGGAGGAGGAGGAGTCCGATGAGGACATGGGCTTCGGTCTCTTCGACTAAGCGCTTCCTCAACGGGATGCAAATGCCATGTATTAGATTTACTTGAACCAGCGCTTGAAATAGCGACTGGGAATGAAACATCATGCCTTGGCAATGGATTTCCTTTGGAAACCTAGGACTCGTATAATGGACGTAGCTACGCCCATTGTTCCTTTCCACAGAATTGGTGAGTTTTCAATTCTTTTCCTCTCTTTGTTCCTCCCCCCTGCACACCCCACCTCACATCACCCTGGCGGATGATTATAAATTTTTAACCCCGAGCATTTACGCCCCCCTCCGGGGCGCTCTGAAGATTAAAATAATGCAACAACAACACTCTAATTTTTTGATGACGCCATGCCTTTACCCTCACATATGCTTTTGACTTGGACTTTTGACTCTTCAATTTGCAAACAATTGCTAACTTGTGACAAGACTACAGATGCCCTTCATATGACCTGCGATAGTAGTGCTGATATGTTGTCGCCGTAGACAATTTTGTAGTTGGAGGCCGTCGGAAATCCTGTTCGCTATCTCTATTTGTGCAGCTGCCGTAATAGATGGTTGCTCAATGAAAAAATCGGTCTCCGAAATCTTTGAAACTGTTCGTAATGGTTACCTACTACGGATTTTAGTGGGAACTCTTGAAGTATTATTGGGCGGAACTTATTACTCTTCATCATACGTGCGGACCGAGGTCCCACTACACGGCACGTATAATAGATACGCACTACTACCACTAGTAGTGGTACAGTTTCGTGCTATTTCCACCTGTGTACGGAGGATGGACGATGATTGGTCTTACCACAACCTTGTTGCTGATTTGAGATTAGTAGCAGCGCAAACACACTGAACTTATAGGGCCCTCACAATCCTCCAATGCTAAGAGCAGCGGATAATTTGTGCGATTCCCCATGAAATGCAAAATATCCAAACTGCACCCTTGCTCTAGTATCCAGTAATGCAGTCATATAGACGAGTCCGGCAGACGACTTCAAATACGTCATATCTACATGCAGGCAGCTCGAATGTGGCGTTTTCTCATACCGCAGCCCATTCTGTACTGTCTTCTCCATCCCCGGTTCCTCTCATCAAGTTGTCCAAGAAAGCTAAGTCCAGATCCTGGAATGCATCATCCTCCATTCTAGCTGCCGCCCCAGGGTATTCAAACTGCCGCATGGGATCATCTGAGAGAACTCCCGAGATTAGCGGTGCAAAGAGAGCAGTTGCGTTATTGTAAGTTTTGTTGCTGCTAATTTTATTACGGAAATGGTTGTTATAGGAATCTGGAATTGATGTTGTAGAAGAGGTCGGCTGTGTTTGGGCTTGGGAACTCATGCTGTCAGCATGAGACTCGCCCCCAGCTGTAATGACCCCAAAATACGGGATATAAATGTGTTTGCCAGGGTTGGTCGGGTCGTCGGATTGTGTTTCTTCGATCTCGGACCCTTGTACGATTACGCTTTGGGCGCTTTCGAAGTCACCTTCGGCTGCCTTGGCTTCAATGGCGAGCAACCGGCTCAGCAACTGAGCGCTTCGTGCACTCAAGGTATCTGAGTTCAGGCGGTTGAGCTCCTCCATGTCTTCTTGTGCCTGCTCGATCATGGCACGGTCACCCAAATATTGGGCGGCGAGAAAATTGTCGACCTGCGAGCAACGGTGACTATACAGATGAGCCAGTAGCAGGGTCATGGCCGCCATAAGCGCAGTGAAGTCGATGGTACGACAGCTAAAAGCTACTTGAGATTCCAGCGGCGCAGCATGATGAAGCGGGATAAGATCTCTCGCGAGGCGTTGGCACAAGTAATTCGGGAGTAATTGAATTTGTGCTCAACAGAGTCGTGAAACATGTAGGGAAGGTGGAGCTGGCTGAGAAAGTTATAATGAAATAATTGTTCTGACAGTCGCCGCATTTCCCAGAACAAAGCCTGCGAGCCCTTCGTCTCGCCGCTGAGGTTCAGGATTAGCCACCATCGAGTTGGCAAGCTCCGGGCCGATCGCTGCAGCTCCTTATCGAGATTCCGCGTCCAGGCATAATCATAGCTGGCCGAGTCATGTTCGTTGCGCTCCAAAATTTGCGATGCAATGACGCAATGGATTTGCTCAAGCTGACCGCTGGCCGAATCCTTGAGCATCGAATCAGGTGCTATGCTTCGATCAGTGGCCCCTTGCGGCATACCGAGCATAAGACACATCTGTCGATCGTAGAAAACAATGCGGAACCACATCAAGTGTGGGTACGCCTTGGTCTCTGGGTTGAGAACCTTGTAGTGAACCCGAGCCCCTGACCGATGAAAGCCCATCGACTGCGCAATAGTCATGGCTCGCCGCGCAGTCATCCAGCTTTGCCGTAAATATCCACAATTGGCTTGATACAGGCACTCGAAAACTAAGCTTGTCTAAGGTTCATATAGCGATGGCTCTATCAACGTTAATGGGAAACGGCCTGCCCGTATTCGAAGTCTTCCTAGGAACCGGTGTTCGTATGTGGTGTGAAAATATAGCCTAAGTTGTGGTTTTTAAGACTTAAAACCACAAGGCTCTCTGCAAATGCAGCGTCAAATCTTCTATGGAAGACTTTCTTCTCGCACGGGATTTCATGGTCTCGTCGGACCCTCCATCTAGGCTCAAAGTCAGGATCGGGGTAAGATACATCTGGCTCAGGCTCGCACGCAGCCTCGGCCCAGCTCCTATTTGAGTATAGATGCTTGCCATTGATCAGGTGATATGAAGGGGACATGTTTTGGCGATAGGCAAATTCGCATAACCGAGCGAAGATGTCAACATCAATTTCTGACCAATCAATATGGCTCGTTTCTGCCTCGATCATTTCACCGTTTATGAGAGCATCCAGACTTTGAGAAAGCTCAACAAAGTAGCAGAATGACCGCAATACTATTAGATGATTGTCTAGGAAATTTAACCAAGTTTTCAAGAATGTAGATATATTGAATACCCGGATTTTACAAACAGGTACTAGCGCATTACTTAATCCACTATAGTAATAACTAGTTAACAAATTCCCTCCATATGAACTTCGTTTATTCGCCATTTCTCCTATACAGCCCAACCTAGGAAGGTCCACTTATATCAGAGCTGAGTCAACCAATTAAAATTCCTTGTTGGTCGATCCCTCTTAGAAGCTCGACCCACCTCTTAGTAGCGGCGAGTCCAGCCTTTCATCTCAGGGGTAGAAATTTGGATGCAAACCAGATATATACAAGAGTATTCGGCCGCTTATCCGGCCTTATGATATCCTTTTGGCAGTCTTTTTGATGATCTTCCTAGATATTCTTTTCAGATGCCTTCTTAGATGTCTTTTTCTCTAGGTATTTTCTTCCACTTCCCAGTTTTATAGGTAGATAGCAGAAAAAGCCGGTGGGAGGCTTACTTTGTAAAAGCGACTTTTCCATGTATGATGTATATGACCTTTGACAAAGTAGATAGTGTGTTAGGACCTGAATTCTACGAGGTTCTCGATCTAACGGGTTTTTAGCCTTATCGTTAGCTGGGGATGACTGCACTAACTTAATACAAATCCTCACGTTATTAGGGGGCCCACATATAGTTTGACCCACTTTACCTTATTTTAGAGAGTTTGATAAGTTATAACCTTACCCAAGGTATGCAGATGTATCTACACCTGGGCACTCACAGATGTATCATGGGTATCTTATGCATTGTACATTGTACACATATCTCAAGGTCATTTAGTCTTCTATAAGTCCTAATCTCAAGATACCATTTGGATACAAAGAAGGAAAAAAAGAAGTATCCAAACATTACCACGTGATACATTTCCTATTTCGGAAGCATATGTCCCTCCCTACAGAGATCTATACTAGTAGTACACTTTTCAACAATAGAGTAAATGTACCTAGTTTTATATTTAACGCAAGACATAGTTAGCAACGAGAGTTGGATCCAAACCATAACTACAATGTGTAGACTATATCTCGGAGACAAATATGAGATTATTATGTACAACACCTTTTATCTTCTTGTGCTGTACTTTATTTCTTGCATGTCTCTCTTCCTTGCTTGCCAATTTTCTGCATTCAGCCATCCGGTTCTCCCGACTCAAGAGAAAAAAAATTATAACCAAGTCCCCTCCTCGCAACACAAAACCACAAACAAGGATACCTGTGTACATAACAATCACTCTCTCACAATACTAACTCCCAACACTCCCCAACAAGCTGCTCTCCAAAAGCGCCATGCTCCTCAGAACTAACAAGCCGATAACCCTCCTTCGCATACAACTTCCTAGCCGAAACAAGAACATTCTGCGTCCAAAGCCGAATCTTTGCATACCCCGTCTCGCGCGCAAACCGCGTACACTGCTCGATCAAGGCGCGGCCAAGCCCAAGACCCCGCGCGCTGGGCTCAACAAGGAGGAGACGCAGCTTTGCCGTGTTGACGGCATCTCTGTCTCGAATAAGAACTATACAGCCCAAGAACTCGTTGTTGCGCTCGGCGATCCAGCACCGGTCTGTGGATGCGTCGTAGTTGTCGAGGAATTCTGCACCAATTTGGCTTACTAGCGCTTCCATTTTTGTACCCCAGCCATATTCTTGCTCGTATAGTGTTGCGTGTCGGTGAATTATCCAGCCTATATCCCCTGGTCGGTGGGCGCGGAGGGTGTATCCTGGGGGTTGGAGTTCTTGGGAATTTGGGGGATCCATTGTGGTTGCTTTGCTCGGTTGGGTTTGTTGTGCAACGAGGAAAGGCAGGGATTGTGGGTGACTAGGGAGTAAGTCAATATATATTTTATTGTGTAGAGCCCTTTCTTATCGGGACATGTCATTGGAAGGGCGTGGACCACAAGAGAATATTTTCGAAGAACTCTGACCCGCCTAGGGGATGGATTTGGATTTTGCAATGTGCAATGAAAATATATAGACGAATTATATCCAAGTTAACACGGATGTGGCATTCAATGCATTCAATCCAAGTGGTATACAACTGCAAAAAACATGAGGCCAAGACTGGATAATGAACTACACCTCCGGGCATGTAATGACCCGAAAAAACCAGCCAAAACGGCAAAGAACATTTCTACAATGGTGTATCCACGCTTCAGTCAAAATATAACCAGAAAGAAACAAAACATAACGAAAATAGGTAGAGAGGAGCTACGCCCCATCCTCAGTACTCCGCCCGAACCGGCCTCCAAAACCGCCGAGATCGCGGCGGAAGAATTTGCCAATGTTCTTTAGGTTCTCATTGAGATTTCCTGTGGCACTTTCTGTTGGTGTTTGCATGGGATTGGATTGTAGGGTAGAGCTGGCTAGGGAAGGGGACAAAGTGCCTGATGGACTGGTCACGCCAGATGTAGATGTAGTTGTCCCAGTAGCCCCAGTCACACCAGCACCGAGAGTGCTCAGACTGGGGTTTCCGAAGCGGTCGACCCCATCTTTTGCAGCGGACATGATGGCAGAGCCGAGCATGGAGGCATCAAAGCGGGAGGGCATAACTGCGGTGGCGCTTCCTAGACCCAGGCCTTGGGATACGGAGCTGGTGGTAGTGGCGGATGGCCCTTGGAGAGCGGCGAGGATTGGATTGCTCTGCTGGAGGCTAGATGCATAGCGATCTGATGCACGGTGAAGCTGGAATAGCTCCACAAGGTGATTTTGTTCTTGGCGACTGCGGATGCCTTTGAGATCGAGGATTTTGCGGAAGTTGTTGTTGTTGCAGTCAGCAATGTGGATAAGGTATGCTTGAACAAGAGCTTCCGGTGGTGACGGCCGGACCTGGAGGGTTTTGAGGAGAGTTTCGATTTTAAAGAAGCTGCTGTTCACACGCTTGACAAAGCCAGCGGGCGCGGGGGCGGGTAACAGGGACGAAAGGCCGCTCTTGAGAGCATAGGAATCGAGAAGCATCTATGTATTTGAGTTAGTAAGATATGCAATTACATCGCAGGGGGGTTATCATACCTGTTCTGCGCCGGTTTCTGAAACAGGCCTGCATTGGAAGACATTGCTAATGAACTGGCTAGACATGAACTCCACAAGATGATCGGAGAAGGCACGCGCATATTGCTGTTTATGCAACAATTGTAAAATTCCAGTTGCCTTCTCCTTCGTCTGGGAGAGCATCTCGCTAACGTACGAGCTCTGATCACTGACTGCCTCAATTTTAGCCCAGGGCGTATTGCGCATTTCACGCCAGGAAGGCTCAAGATCGACTTCGACTTGGCGTACAAGACCTCGTACAGCAGCGGATGCAATGCCCATGAAAGAGTCTGCCTGACTTTGCAGATCCACGGATTGCTTCAGGTTCTCATCCAGTCTACCCCTGATTTTCTCTTCCAACTGGGTGCAAGTCGTGTAGCAGTAATCAGCAGTGTTCAAAACTGAGATGTAATCTTCGACCGAGGGCACCCTAGATGGCGTGTGAACCGTTGGTCGTTCACTTATATAGTTCAGAAGGACTTGCTGGGCATATTGGTCCAAATATTTGGCGAACACCTTGGCCAGCTCCACCAGACTGCCGCCCGTTGAGAGCTTGGCACACTGTTGTAAAGCATGCCGATAGAAAGTGAAAAGCTCAGTCGAGGATGAAATCACAATGTGCGAGTTGAACTCCTCCTCGTCCGGTATTTGGAGGGGCTGTTGGCGGTACTTCGGTATCAGGGCCGCAAGTTGCTTGTCTTGAGCCTCGACCCAGACACTGAGGTATGGCTCGAAGGCCTCGGAAATTGACTGGTTGAATACAGGCGGTTCAGCAGAGGCAAAGGTATCAATAGATGTACGCGACGAAGGGGCGAAGCGGCGCTCAAGAGAATGTTCGAAATCAAGCGTCTCTTGCAAGCACGAGAGGAGCAAATTGACATCGATTGTCTGTCCGCGGCGTACAGACCGGGACAAAATACCCTTGAAGTCCTCTCGTGTACCCTCGCAGAAGACATTGGCCAAAACCTCATTTACCCTCCACGAAGCCGGGAAGATGGCCGCATTCTCTTCGTCATATATCTTCAATATGCGTCGGAACCAGGAATACCGGCGGGAGATGTTGTCCAATGACCCAGCCTCCTCGTTGTTCCGGAAGACCTGCCGGTACTCACGGAGCTGTGTATTGCAATACCAAGTCACGATTCGGGACCGTGCGTGTTCACCTAGAGCATCTGCGACTAGACATGACTCCGCAAGCATCGCGCGTTTCGGACCTACCTCCCCCTTAGCGAAAGCCAGCTCGAAGTCTTCGCAGACCTGTTCTTGGAGATCTCGTTGTATGTCTGCGACATTCCGGCTGAGCATTGCGATTTGGTCAATTGATCGGTATGACTTGAAATGGGCCATGAGCTGAATGACAGCTTGGAGTAGCTGTGCACATTCTCCATATTGCCGCGTCCGACTGAGAGCTTGGAGTTGGTCATACGCCGTAGTCAGCATCTGTAGACGCTTAAGCGCTGTCATCGATAATGTGAGGTTCTTCTTCGCGTTGTCTAATTGCTTGATGTCGGCTGTCATGTCGGTGATTGACTGCTCGGTCTTCAATGCGCGCTCACGCACATCATCGATCTTCTTAAACAGCTCCGAGAGGTCAGCTTTAGCTGCCTGAATTCGTTCCACGCTATCGGCATTGGAGATGACCTGCTCCTCCACCAGCAGACCGATGTCATCATCTAGCTCATCTTCGCATTCGTTCAGGGCGTCGGAGATCTGAGAAACGGAGGAGAGGGTGGATGGATGGGAGAAAACGGCATTCAAGTGTTCAATCGGATCGTAGTCCACTGGATGTACCTCCTATGTTAGCCTATACAGCGAACACGAGAGATCAATTGTTCCGCACCCGCATCCAAGGCGTCGAGGCTTGGTTCCTTGTCTGGCGACATGTGGCCGGTGGTTGTGGCAGTGATCGTCATTCCATCAGCTTGCCAGAATCATCCTGCCCTTGGTCCCAACTTGCTTTTTGTGAGGCCAATGCGGATTTCGTGGAAGGGAGAAGTGAATGGGGGTTGATTGCGGCCCGCATGGCTTTAGCGCGCCAGCTTGGCATCTTCCGCAACTACCGCAATCCTAACAGGGTGTGTGTCTTTAGGCACTTACAGACAACTCTTGAGATTCTCAATTCACTTTACTACATATATTCTGACAGGAAAATTGTGATAGAGGGTTCATTTGATTCTTGATTTTTCAGGGGTTTCATAAAGTTGCTGGCCCAGTGACCCATATCCAGATCTGGAAGCTATCAAACCAGTGCCATTCGCCCAGCCATGCAAGTAAAAAAAAATTATTGGTCACATCATATGCATTATTCTTCCACATGGCCACTCCCAAGATAAAACTGACTAGCTAACAACAATGGAATTGGGAGTGGACATGGAAGTTTTCAGTGAAACCACAGAGTAGTGAAAGGGCAAGTTGCTCACGCCGGAGCAAGAAAAGCGGTGGGAGGAAGTGCGTTGGTCGCCTATTGTAATCTCGTTAGTGATCATTCCGTGGCAAATTAAGGAACCATCCTTGGAACTAGCTTACCTTGAGTTGCTCGAAGTTCTTCCAAGCAAGCTCGACATTCCAGCCGTTGCCCGCGAGGGCCATCTCTGAGTATTCGAAAGTCATACCCGACTTTTCACTCATCTGAATGACCATCTGCTCCTGCTGAAGCTGGGCGTCGGATTTTCCAGGTCGGGGCAAGCCATATCCTTCAGCAACATTGCCACCTGGGGCAGCAGCTGCGGGGGGTGCGGGAGATGGAGTGAGAACAGGACCGGGTACTGCGACCTGGGGGATCTGTGAAAGTGCCTGGATCTCAGGGGACCATGCCTCATGTCCACCGTAAGCGCGTAGGGAGAAAACCTCGCTGATGACTCGGATGCCACCGGGGGTGTTACCGGGGCCAATGATGAAAGTTCGATCGAAACTTCGGAGCTCAATCTTGCCACCAACGCTCTCCTCAAGTTGTCCATGAACCATGAGGGAGAGACCACCAACGCCAGTGGGGCTTTGTCCAGTAGGGTCGGGTAGATGGGGGACTGGGTGGCATTCAATGAGCCATTGCTCTGCTTTTGCGATAAGATCAGGGTGGCGAGTAGGCGGGAGCGAATTGAAAACTTCACGGATTTTCTCAACGCCCTTGAAGGAACGCGACATCCGTGCGGAAAGGTGGCTGATCTTGTCGAGATTTCGACTCTTTCTGATGTATTCACCCCAACCTGCTGTCTCAGTTTGACCGGCCCGAGTAGCGGTGGTGTTGACATTCAGCGAGAAAGTAGATTCGTCATCGTAAACGCTGCTGACAAGGCTGTTGCGATCGTTGTCATAGCCAGGGAAGAAAGCACGAACGAAGTTCTCGCCGACTTGTGATTCGTCAATGAAGTGAGGGGGCAAGATGGGGATCGGTGTCTTCTTCTGAGCCGCGACCTCTTCCGGAGTTCGCACTTGGACATTGTTCAAAGTTTGCAGCTTGGGATACCACTTGAGCATAGTGTCCTTGAAGGTTGGGTCGGAACTGATTTCGTTTCCAGTCAGGTCAAGGAAAATCAGGTTGCGGAATTTCCACCGCCATCCAATCATCGCCTGAGAATTTTTGAGGTTATTGTCCGAGAGGTCCAGATATTGAATATCGGGGAAAGATTGCGCCAGGGTTGTCACAGGGTTGATATTGCTGAGTTTGTTACCCGCCAGACTGACACTTTCGACGGCTTCAAGTCGCTCAGCTGTAGTCTTGAAGCCCATTTCCCAGACCTTCATGAGAGCAGGGAAGAACTTGGACTTAGTAGAGGCAGTGTTGAGGAATTCCACGGAATCCATATCGGGGTCATCCAACATCTTCGACAAGTCAAGTAACTTCGTGGCAGGGAAGAAGCGTTTGCCGAGGATAGTAGTCATCCTAGTCTTGATATCGGTGGTCGAGTTAGGGCCGGTGTCCGCTGCGGCCAGCTCATTCTCGAGTGCGGTGGCGGCTGTGTATGCTTCAACAGTAACATGAGCTCCGGCGAAGACATTATTGTTGATGCGAAGCATGTGACCCGCCAGATCAGGTCGAACGAATGCGATAAGAGTGTCACCTTCAGTGCGCGACTAATTTGAAAGTTAGAAAGGTGCGAAGGGACCTTGAAATCCACGGTCACCCAAAGGGGAAGAAACCAAAAAGCCCAAAATGTGTCGATCGTCGTTTTGCAGGAGGACCGTCCTCGAAAACGAGAGGACACTGAAGCGAGGGACGTCGAGGATCGATATTGGTGACCGCCATTGTAAACGAGGAACATACCTTTGTAATCTTTGCGCGGGGTCCGGATTTCATGAAAGAATTCATGCGTCGTTCGAGGAATGCAATGAGGCTCTCGACGCCGCCATCACGGTTGCTTGCCGCCTTACTTGATTTCCATCCTCGCACACTAAACGGTTCCAGATCGCTGCTGGGTTTTTTGCCGCGTGGGAAGTTTGTTGGCTCGTCGAGGCTGTAAATTGCTCTCTCGAGCACATCATCCATCTTCTTACGAGCATGGGCCCGGCTGCTGGCTCCTGCAGCTCGGCCACCTGCACCTGCACCGGCCAGTCGACCACCTAGGCCAGATTTCTCAGCACGGTTTCTCTTTGCACGAGCACCGCTTGCATCCATGTCCATGTCACCATCCCGGTCGGTGCGAGTAGGACCCCGCTTGCGAATTCCCCCGCGATCATTGCCGCCGCCGCGACGAGACTTCATGCTCTTCATGGCGATTGGAGAAGAAATTTGAGAGGTGGGAGGGGTATCGGAGGCTCTTGTAAAGGGAGATAAGTTGAAAGAAAGCTGAAACTGCTAATGTGAAGATAGCAGCGCGCTTTGCGCCTCAGACTAGGCAGAAATAAGTTGTTCGCATGTGAGGAAATCGCAGTGGAAATGTGACTCGGGCGGGTGGGAGGTAAAGAAAAAGCAAACTGAAAAGATTGGAGAAGAGGAAAGAGGCTGCAGACTATGTTGAGCAGCTGCAAGACAACAAGAAAGTGACAGTGAGGCCAAAGAACAATAGGACCGTGAATAGTAAAGTGAATCTAAAAGAAAAAGTGACGATTGGCACGTGATGAGGCGGCATTGTCTAGTACCAGTCCCGATTAGGCGATGACTCATCTCTTTGTTCCGCGCAGACCAATCACACGCTGTCGTCTGTCCTCACGGGGTACTCCTCATACATCGGCCCTGCAAGTATGCTTGGATGATTCAAATTGGCCTTGCTCTTGTCTCTGTTGTCAGGTGCCTGGAAGACTTAGTCGCATTGGGTTTGAATTGACTCATTGGAACTCTATTGTTAGTATGGATACCTTCCCTATTGTCTTTACTCTATTGTGTTTGTTTGGTCTATTCACTTGAACGGGGTCTCCCTCGTTCAATAGATTGCGCGCGTCCAATGACCACAATGGCTGACCTATTCGCCCTCTCTTTGTCTCATAGGCATTTAATACACTGCCACTGTTGACGAACCCTCGCCTGGCCTTTGCGCTTCACCCTATGGTCGTCAATTGACCGGCGATATGCCCGCAAAGTCGCGATTCACGAGGCTAGATGCCTTCGCCAAGACCGTTGAAGATGCCCGCATTCGCACGAACTCCGGAGGTGTCATTACAATCGCTTCGCTCTTGATTGTTATGTGGCTGGTATGGGGAGAATGGGCCGACTACCGACGAGTTGTGGTGCTGCCAGAGCTTGTCGTCGATAAATCGCGAGGTATGAATAGAGTTTGGGCTCGATCGGATCCACGAGGGACCTGAAAAAGATAAAGAGCATAGGACAAGGTCGCTAACAACTCAATTTTGTTGTGCAGGAGAGCGGATGGAAATTCATTTGAACATGACCTTCCCTCGGCTGCCATGTGAGCTCTTGACCTTGGATGTGATGGATGTCTCTGGTGAACAGCAGGTCGGCGTTGCCCATGGCGTGAACAAGGTCCGCCTGAGCCCACACACTGAAGGCGGCAAGGTGATTGATGTCCAGTCTTTGGACCTGTAAGTGCCAGTCCTTCCACCTAAAATCCTGATCACAACCTCATTATCGTCCCTTTCCAGACACTCCCCATCCGAGGCTGCGAAGCATCTGGCTCCTGACTACTGTGGTGAATGTGGTGGTGCAACGCCTCCCCCCAATTCTATCAAACCCGGATGTTGTACTACTTGTGAGGAAGTGCGCGAGGCCTACGCCGAGAAGCAATGGGCCTTCGGCGACGGCAGCAACATTGAGCAGTGCAAGCGTGAAGGGTATGCTGAGAAGCTCGCCGAGCAGCGCCGCGAGGGATGCCGGATCGAGGGTGTATTGAAGGTCAACAAGGTGGTGGGCAACTTCCACATTGCACCAGGCCGCAGCTTCACCTCTGGCAACATGCACGTCCACGATCTGGACTCCTACATCGTGCCCAACGCGGGCCCAACGGACCAACACACGATGTCCCACTTGGTTCACGAGCTTCGCTTTGGGCCCCAGCTCCCCGCTGAGCTCGCAGGCCGCTGGGGGTGGACCGACCACCACCACACTAACCCGCTCGACGATACTAAGCAGGAGACTAACGAGCCCGCGTTCAACTTCATGTACTTCGTCAAGGTTGTCTCGACATCCTACTTGCCTCTGGGCTGGGATCCTCAGTTCTCGACCTCCATCCACAATGCCTACGACAAGGCGCCTCTTGGCTCCCTCGGCCTCGCCTACGGTGCTCAAGGTAGTATCGAGGCTCATCAGTACTCAGTTACTTCGCACAAGCGTCCTCTTTCTGGTGGAAATGACGCTGCGGAGGGCCACAAGGAGCGCGTGCATGCCGGTGGCGGTATTCCAGGCGTCTTCTTCAACTACGATATCTCTCCTATGAAGGTTATCAACCGTGAGGCTCGCCCGAAGTCTTTCACCAACTTCCTTACTGGTGTCTGTGCTATCATCGGTGGTACTCTGACCGTCGCTGCTGCTTTGGACCGCGGTCTGTATGAAGGCGCTATGCGCGTCAAGAAACTGCATTCGAGCTAGACGTCGATATCTAGCCAGATATAAGATATGAGTTAGTATTTACGGAAAATCTCTTTGGATGGGATGATCTACTATAGCATGAGGTAGATGCTTTTTTAGGGTGGTGAGATGAGGGGAAGCATCGTGGAAGCCGGGGAACCTGGCACTTGTGGCGTTCTTGGGATACCTTTATGAATGTTTTGCCATTGCGTTGTTTGGACTCAGATGTAACTATGCATCTATCAATAACATCGAATCTTTTGTGATTAAAAACACACATTTATAACTAAGATCTGATCGTATCTAAGTTTGTTCTGTACACAGAGAGGTTGATATTCACTGGCACGTGATATGAACCCACCTTCCCTTTCAGGAAGTTTATTTCCCCAGGTTCCCATAAATTCAAGACATTATCACCCAGTGGCTGAGTGGGTTCGCTCCGATTAAACACGCCGGTAACCCTAGCTGCTGGCATTTGATCTGCTCAGCCCACGGTCATTAAAATACATAAAAATATGTATTATTCTACTTATGCATTCCTAAGAGCACAGACTAGCATGGGAGTTATCGCCCCCTTCCTTTTTTTATTATCTATTACGGTACTATGTAGGTTTGTAGGTACGGCTGCATGATGTGTGGGAAATCTCTACCACGTCACCACATTGAGTTTGCAGGCTCAATGTATATTCCTAAAAGAAGTAGAAGGCATACTACAATCTAGTTAGAGGTATATAGATAGTACCCTACAAGCGGGTACATCCATAGATGCATACATGTATGTACCTAGGTACCCGTAGGCTAAGTATCCATGGGTATAGCGAGTAGTTTCTCCTAAGCCTAAATAAGAACTACCTTCTTTCGAGTCGGATGCCTTCTGTATACTTCTTTCTTCATCTCCGAAAGATCCTTTTGTCAAATCAACTCATTTTATATTTCTTCCACTCTGTGCTCTGCTTCTTTATCTGTCACCAGTCTCCAAGCCCGCTTATCTCGGTTGAAATTCCTCATTTTGCAGCAGAACTTGGCTCCTCGATTTCACATCCCACAATTATTGGATCTTTTTGAAGGAACCCAACTTTACGATTTTTGGACATAGTCTTCCGGCCCTATCCCTTGTTGAGCTATACTCGGTTACCTTTTCTGCTTGTCACCATGCAAGTCGTTCAGTCTATTCGCCAAGCTATCTTCTACTGCATCGGCAAAGGACAACAATTCTCATTGGATGGTCTCCCCGTGGATATTTTATCATCAATATCAGACCTCCTGTCCAACGAGGATATCTACTGTCTCTCATTATCCAATTCGCGACTTTTCACGGCACTCAAATGTCAAAGGAAGCAGCTCCAACAGCCTATAGGAGTTGATAAGCTACCACTCCTTCATAGAATTGGGCGTGATTTACCGAACCACTTCGTATGTTATTTTTGTCTTGTCCTGCACAAATATGATAGGTCTAGACAATACTCCGGATTATCGCACCCGCCATTTAGATGGTTTTTCGACGTTCCTTGTGTGAAGAAGGGGAAATCAAATCCATGTGAACTTGCTCTACAGGTACATGGGTATGCTTTTCATATTCGCTACAGTTTCTACTTCGTGCATCTTCAACTCGCCATGGGACGGTTCTACCACGGTCCCAAATTTGGTATAAATACCGAATCGCTATCATATACCGAAGTGATAGAATACGATGAGTCACTTAGATTGTTCTCAACTGAAGCACAAATATGTCCCGGCGGAGGAAACATATCGAAGTCATCCACACGCCCAGGTTTGTTAGCACGCCAAGGGCCACCGGTATCTCCAAATCCACCGATATACTCGGGAAAAACACCATACTCGGGAACAGCGACAGAGCTGTGGCAGCCAGGACACCCGGGAGGACCGACTCATTTGGAAGTTCCTAACCTATGCCTACGAATGCAAGCTATCATGTTAGTTGCTCGCAAGCAACTTCATCCATTTTTGCCTGATATATTGCTCGGCCCCTCTGGGCTTTTTCATATTTGCGCACATATGTTGGACTCGAAATTATCGAAGTTGATCAAGTGGATGGTCAAGTCCTATACTGACGGAAAGGAAGCAACAAATTGTCATATTGCCACGATTTGCAAAAGATGCAACACGGATTACGAGCTTCAACTTGTTGAATGCGGGCAAGATGGTATAACTCTAGTCGTCACGAGGTGGATCAACTTAGGCCCAGGTCTTAGCCCAGATGATCCCCAATGGAAAGTCCACACATTTCAGTCGCCAATACAGGAACCACTCTCGTTGGATACAAGAATACCATATCTAAGACCTCGTCGCTTATTTGAAACCTCTGTCTCAAAGAACTGGTCGGCGGAAGCTCTTTGTTCTTACAATCTTTCATTTCTACGAACTCGGAAATACAAAGCCTTAATGCAACAGAGCGATTTGTGCGAATCCATGTGGTCATTGGCCTCTCCTCAGGAGCACATCGAGCGTGTGACAGGTCCAATAAGCCAGTCCGGGCCGGTGGTGCTGCGGCGTCATAAGGAAAAACTCGAATGAACTCTGATTTCTCATCGCATCTCCCTTCCTCTGTTCTTTTCTGGCTGACAAAACAGCCCATTGTCTGTCTCGATTGCCCTACGACCGAGCCAACAGCTTTCTCCTACTCTATTTGTATACTTTTATTTGTGATTAAATCCCAAATAAGAGGCCGTCGGAGGTAAAAGATATGAAGCTAGTCTATCTAGCCTCAGTCCTCTAAAGAATAATGGGGCTTACAGCTCAAAATCGATGGGTTGGTTCCGAATTGGAATAACATAGTGCAAAGTGAGTTGGTAAGGATCCAAGTGTAAATCTAAAATGAGTCACTTTTAGAAGAAATTGCTCAAAGTCCATCGCTGAAACATTTACAAGCCCATTTTGGCAACCTTAAGATTCCTCAACTTGGTAGGTCTCACATTCTGTAGTTCAACTGCTACGGCGCTTAGTATCCTCCCCCTCTCGATCTCGGCCTTTGACCACTCCTTGCCTGGCAGGCGGCGGTGCCGCAAAATTCCCTCCCAGATCTCCGACTTCACCTGTTCCTCGACATCCACTTTGACCTTCTTCTCGAGGTCCGCCTTGATTGTCGAGATTCTTTTATGGAGAACCCTTTTAGCCTCTTGGAGGTCCGAGTGAGAATCCTCCAGCTTCTTCGGCCTTTGGTTAAGGTCTTTCCTTAGCTGCGGGAGATCACTTGTAACAAGCTGCTGTGGATGCAGTCCCCTCTCCAGCCTTTTCATTCTCTCCTCTAGGGAGTCCTTGTCCACGTCGCCATTGTATCATTTCAGGGCCTTGGACGAGATTTGCCTTCAAGGCCGTATACGGGAGCCACCCATAACTAAAGTCATTTGGTTAGTTAAAACTTCTTCTATCCACAGGGGCGCTACACCCAGGCCACTCCATATGTGCTATGTTTGTTTTATTGGGTGCCAGGGCATGCTCGTATGAGAGTTCAATGTACTCGACCTCATCAGAGACAGGTGCCTCGTTCAATCTCGATAGCTCTCATGCAGGATATGGTGTGCTTGTCGGGTGCTGATAGTTCGCAATGGAATCCCACTTACCAGGACACAGACCAGGAGGAAAAGAAAGTGGTAGTTAAGCTTCATGGTGAAAGCGTTGTGATTCCGCTGGGAGACTTGGTGAAGAATGTGGTGCGAACGTGGTGAGAACGTAGAGGGGAGGCAGTGAGAACGTAGGCAACGTAGAGGGGGGAAGCGCAGAGGGAGAAAATGGATAACTACCTCGAGGAGGCAGGGGCAGAGGAGGCAGGGGCAGAGATGCCTGGAGCTAACACTCAATCTTAATTTTACCTCACGTTGCCCTCACATTACTATCACGTTGCCCTCACATTACTTTCACATTTCCTTCATGTATAAGAAGGCGCACTTCTACATGAATGAGCTGAGCTTCAGATCAGATAGCAGTGTAAACCTTCCGTCTTTCTTGGCCTCTCAAATTTCTTGGCCTTAAGTTAAATAGAAGGTCTTTAAATTCCATATACTTCTATGTTCCTGATCTTTTGGGTAATTTCCAACGTTGCTACCGGCTTCTATTGGATCTCGCGCCTTCCTTCTTCCGGGGATTCCCTAGAGTCGCGGTACTCGTGAATAGTGCCATTCCCTTGGATCGAATGCTGAAAGGTAAGATCTCTACAGTGTAAGCACTTACTGAGCACTCACTAAGCACCAGTCATCCTACGTGACTGATCTGAGCCCGTGCTAACATCCACTTAGTGAGCCTGAGCCTAAGCACCCTCGTAAAAGCGGCGGCAGCTCAAATAGGAAAGCCCCACCCGTCAGGGAAACATATGATAAGAGGTATAGATACATATATACATAAATCTACCCATGGTAGTCATCTAACAAGTATACAAACAAATGCTGGATATCATACAACAACCCCAGGCACAACAACTATGCCCCAACCGAGCTCCTCACCTGACTAGCTCTCCTACTTTCAGTATGCCTCTCCCGATCAGCAGCCAGCTGCTGCGCGAATTTACTCTTGGCTCTGATCTCGGGACCCTTCCAGTAGAAGACATAAATCGGAATCAAGACCAAGAATCCCACACAGCCGAGTAGCGTACTCGCCCACTGGAGATGATACTTGTCCCCCATATTCTGGTACATGGGGACGGAGTACATGGTCGCGACACCAGCGAGGAAGTCTCGTGCGAAGCCATTACCACCTGTCGCAGAGGCAGAGTACGGCCCGTACGCCGCAACCATGTAGTCTATGGTGGCCATGTAGATTGCGTAGTTTGCCATTGCGATTAGACAGGCGAAGATACACGGCGCGATCCAGGGGATTGGTGGGCCCATTGATGTCCATGCGAAGCCTAGGAGGCCGATTGGTTCGAGGGGTGCGATGAAGAGGAGAAGGAGGAGACGACGCTCTGCGAGACGGCTTGCTGTGCCGTGTTTGCGCCGTGTTTGGATTTGGCGGTGGATGTCGGGCAGGAAGACGACGTAGGCTATTATGTAGCCGATGAGGATTGAGGCGAAGGTCATACCGACGGCTAGGACGCTGAAAGACCATTGTTCGAAGACTAGTGAGAATGACTCGGTGAAGACGAAGATCAAGGCATCGGAGAAACCGGAGAGAAGGGAGAGGCAGAGCACGATTGGTTCGCGGATGAACATCTCGAAGGGACGGATCCAGATCCGTAGTACGTCGTGGATGTCTAGACGTGGGGTTTTCAGTTCATTCGGTCCCCAGATGTCTTCTCCGTTCTTGCGGCGTCGTTTCGCTTCGCGGTCGATTAGGATCGTCGTGCGTGTTTCCGGCACGATGAAGAAGTGCATGAGTTGCGTTACGCCTCCGACGATCAATTGCATCCAGAATACCCACTCCCATGACAGCCATTCACCGATCATACCGCCGAAGAAAGGTCCGACCGTTGATCCGCCTACAGATGAGAGAACCACAAAGGCTACTGCGTAGCCTTGGTCGTCAGCTTCCCACATATCAGCTGTCATACCGAGGGTGACTGAGCCTCCGGCGGAACTGAGGCCGCCGAGGACACGGCATACGACGATTGTGCCGTAGTTGGGTGCGAGGGCGCAGGGGATTTGCCAGATGTTCACGAGGAATAGGGAGAGCTGCATGATGGGCCAGCGGCCGAATTCCTCACTCCATGGTGCCCAGAGCTCACATCCGAATGCGTATGCAACCAGGAACACACATTGTCCGACTCGCGCGGCTTGTTCGCTGATATGGAATTTTTCGGTCAGGCCAGGTACGGCATTGGCGTAGACTCCTGTGTTGAAGTTCATGGACATCTGAACGGCGAAGATGACGCTGAGAATCATCCATTTCTTCCATACTGGGAAGCAGAAGCCGAGCTTTTCGTAGCAGTCATCTTCTGTTAGCTCGAGCTTGCCGCCGGTATGTAATTTAGGTTTGTCTTCGCGGCTTGCTGTGTCGGAGTTCGAGGCGCGTTCGGCGTGGGTGTCGACACCCCGTTCTGTTTTGATCTTATCTGCTTGTGGGTTGGCTTCATTCTTGAAGTCTGATGCTTCCGGCTTCTCAGGGACTGGGGAGTCCATTGGGGCAGCCATCTGGCAAGCTGTATTGACTAAATTCTATTGTATAGATATATCGGCTCCACAATGGTACACAGAGAGAAACAAGAAAAGGCTTGTTCTATGCATGTAGAACAGTACAGAGTAGATGATATTAGGCTGGTTATAACATTTCGAGCAACAACAGCGACGCACTACCCCTTATATACCAGAAGACGGGCATGATCATTCGACATCGGATTTATGAACAGGAGTATGAACGACCCTCGAATATCCAATGATATTCACTGAAAAATGGGGGAAAACCTGTTCCCTTCCCTCCCATTGATCGTCCGGCTTACGGGCCGTCGGTAACCCGCGACTCCAATGACGTCACTTCACCCAAACGACGTCAAGTCTCAATGGATTCCTCCACGTTGATCTCTTATGTTCAATCATATCTATTCGTATATGCTTTTTGATATCCAATTCATAATAAAACTGGGGATTGGGTGGGGAAATGTTGTCATAAGAATATGTATGTATTCTCTTTGTGGTCCCATTGGTCCAAAATGTTCATCTATATTGTACAACATAACCACCTACATTCTTACTATTTACCCAATCATTTATCCAGCAGGAACAGTAGATATTCTATAAGAGAGTATACAAAATTATCCATTCTACTCCGCACGTGGTGTCCCACTAACATTGTTGGAAGATAACCCTAAGACGGAGGACTTCCAGTACATTCTGGAAAGGTACTAACTAGCACAAAGTACAGGGGGGTACGTCACATCAGACTATCCCTAGAGCCCCAGAGGGTCATGGCGCAGACTAAGCATAAGCCGTAAACCAATTGAGGAAGCTTGGTTATATTTGTTTTTAAACCAGTTTTTATAGATCAGGTAAGTTGTATGTAGATGTGTCTCACAACACTCGAATCTTGTTCCTGGTTGGCTGACTTTTGTGCTCACATCTCAGGATTACTATTATTGTATGCACTATCTATGTGTGGAGTGTGTATTCATTATCTAATATATCTAATGCAAGGCTCACATATATTGTAGTTCGTTCTGTGATGATCCATGGGGAAGTTATAGAGAAGAAACAGGACTTGGGTGCCAGATATTCCGATCGTTGCACACCTCGTAACACCCAGGTTGTCCGAACTTGAAGCAAACATCATCCTTGATTGAGTTTGGAATATATTTACAAAGTACTTTGTAGTCCATGTCGTATATGAGCTTTTCAACGGCCATCTTTTCATCGGATACTGCAACCATCCATACATACCATCTTCAAGTGCAACTAGCTGCCTACGATTTTTACCCTCTCATTGCTAATACATAATCCATGATTCTACTCGAGAAAAATCCAAGAAAAAGAAAATGTGTAAAGGTCATATAGAAAGCGCTTCAATGTTGGTTGGATATCCATGATCAGTCTATACCGCATACATACAGGCGCATATTTCCATGAGTCTGATCTACATGTTGAAACAGACATGTGAATAAAAAGAAGAGGGTAAAGGCAAGAACCCTGATATAATGATAGGGAAGACTCGCACGAAAAATCAGGGACGACCCCATCACGCCCACCTGGAACTCCGGCTGGATGCGTGATGCAAAATGAAGAAAGCAAGGAGAGATAAAGGAATGATAAAGAGTGATGTTAGAGAGTTCAAGGAGAAGGACAGCGTGTGCAAAGAAAAACGGGTTGGAAATCAGGGTCAAAGGTTGATAGCTATGCAGGAATGACGAGTTGAACATAATAAAAATGGACACTGCTAATGATAATATGCAGGGAATGAGAAGTTGGAAAGATAAAAAGGAAAGCCGAGGTAGTGAGTAGTGACAAAAAGATGAATGGGAGACAGATAGTCAACCCCGAGGGAAGAAACCAGTCTATTTAGCATGGCTGTAGTACCTTGGCTCTTGAACGTAGGCCTGGGGTTGTTGATGGTGAGGCGGTGTTTGAGGAGGCTGCGCAAGCTGTCCGTACCAGGACGATCGGCGGGGTTCATCGGGGCGGTTCGTCTGGTTTAGGGCATCCCATGTGTGGCTGGCACCCGGAATGTTGTACATGGACTCGTGGCGAACATGTTGAGACGGATACACAGATCCTGCCTGCTGAGGTGCGAACTGCGGTGCGAACGGCGGCATGAACTGCTGAGGCGCGTACTGTTGCTGATGCATCATAGGTTGCTGCATCATGTGTTGCTGACGGTGCGCGATGGCCTGTTGAACCGCATGGTTCGACATTCCCTCCCTCATTTCACGCTTTTCGCGCTCCCGAGCATCGATGTGCGAGACAAGACCCATAGGGTTTACCGGCGCTGGTGGTTTCCGGTTGTCATTTGACAAATTGAAAAATGAAGAGCCAGTCATGCGCGCAACGTGCTCCTGTTCCCGAGCGGAAAGATTGACTGAAGCATCGTTGTGTTTAAGCATACTCTGCGCACCGCGAGACGAAGGTCGATAGTTGGCATCCCGCTGATTGTTCATGGGTGAATTCGGACGGGCATACTGTGTCCAGTCGCCAGATACCGGGCGTGGCAATGACACGGGATTGGAAGGGGTGCGATTATGGAACTGCATCGGGGGACTAGGCGCCGCCCGTTGCTGAACGAACTGCTCGGGGGTGAGGCCACCTGGAGTAACAGGGCGAGCTGAAGCCATTCCCGGCTGCCACATCATGCTCCGTCGATATTCCTCCCGGCTGGAAGGGCGAGCATTAGCCTGATCGATTGCTTGAGTAGGGACCGAAAATTTGGTTCCCGATGAGTCATTGCGTTGATGCGTTGGGTTTCTCAGGGTGTCTGACGTGGTTGGGCGCCCAGTAGTAGGCATGTAGGTCATAGTTGGGCCGAAATCAACAATGGGAATATCTGGGTTCGAGGTCGGGGGCTTATCCATAGTATAATGAGCATCGCCAATGACATAATCCTTGACTTCTGGGACTCCCACGGTCTTCATGACACCCATTCTGGGTTTGGTAGACGCGACAGATTTCTTGCTGTAGACAGAATCGTGGGTGCTAGCATAATCAGGCGAAACCGTCGATGCATCATCATAAATGCTCTCGTCCTCATTTCCATTTCTTTTTCCAGTAGATGAGATTGGGGATGGGAGATGAGGGGCAATTTTATTCAATGCGTCTTCATCAAGGGTATGGCGAAGATCATCATAGCTCGGTTCGCTTGGTGACAGGGGCTCTACCCCGAAAAGGTTTTTTTGGGGCAGTGGCTTGCGTCGCACGGGTTTATTCGAGTCGGTTTGTATCTGTTGAGGGGAATACTGCTGGGGAGGCAACTTCTGTGGGCTGCCGCTAGTACTGGGAGTGTTTGGGCGGTGCTCCGGAACTGGGGGAGGTTGAAGCGGGAATGCAAGACCGACGCCCTCGTCACTTGATGAAGTTGCAAGAGAGTTTGCAGACACAATGGGGCCAGGATTATAGACTCTGTTGACGCTTCTGTCCTGGGGCTGTTGGTTGTTCGTAGTCTGTGCCTGGTGGCTTTTCCATGCAGCACCAGCAGCTGCCGCGCTCAGCCCCATTGTTCCGACCGCCGTGAGCTGGGAAAGTGTTGCGTGAGACATCCGGTTGTTTGCCAACCTCTGTTCCGATGAAGCCTCTGGCCGGTTAGTGGGCATCTCTTTGGGTCCATGCGAAAATTCAGGTGGGTTTGCAACAGGAGCTGGCGGGGTGAGTGGAGGGAGCTGCTCTTTAACGGGCGGGCCGTGGAAGTGGCCAATATTTGGGCCGCTTTCGGAGCTGGTGCTCTCAGCGATAGGGGCGACCCCTGGAACCGCACGGTGCATCAGATCCTGAGAAGATGAGTCAGGTGAGCTCTCAACTAAAGATCCATGGCCTAGCAGAGAGCCAGCGTTGAAGGCCCTAGTATCAGAAAGTCCGTGATTGTGATACACAACGGGTGAGCCCTCACTTTGGGGAACTTCATGGATAATAGCCTCAGTAGAATTGCTAAATTCAGACTTATTCTCGAAACCAGCAAACTGACGACGAGTAGTGTCCATGGGAGCATCGCCGGTTCGGCCAGACATCGAGCGATAGCGAGGTCTCGCGCTGTTAACACTATTAGTCCTGCTCCTGCCAGCTGAAAGTCGACGTTGTGTGGCCTCTTTGAGTTGGTTCCTCCACTGAGCTTCGCTCCATTCTTGGCTACCCGGGGTTTGAAGGAGGCTGGCAATGTCCAGCACATCGAGATAGCCGTAGCGTCGCTCCTTGGGGAAGGCAAACATTATGCTCTTAATGTGATTAGTGTCTGCTACCAGGCGAGTTGGACGACCATAGAGATTGAAAGTGTCGAATGTCGGGAAAAGGAAGCGCAGCATCATCTCAAATCCAGAAACCGCAGCATGCGGCTCAGGCATGACAAAAACAAGTCCCTCCGAGGAAGATTCAGGCGAATGGGTAGTAATCCGTCCTTCTAACTTCACCAGAGTGGATGCATCAATTAGAGCCTTAGACTGTGGATAGATCGCATATGCCGAGTAAACCTGGGTCACTGTTGCAATGGGAGTCACTTTTTTCGTCTTCTTCGTCTCGTAAAACTTAATGTTTCCGGTTACAGGAATTGACAAACGGTCATATGCCGATTTTTTGTACAGTTTCCGCGCTTTTTGGATGTCTTTTTCGTCTGGCGGCGAGATCACGAACCAGCACCGTCGCCACGGGGTTCCTGCTCCAAATCGCACACGCGCCCAATCTTGATACTTGAATTTGTTGGTTAACAGGATAGAACTGATTGCGTTCAGACTTTTCCCTTTCGCTGCAATCAAGGAACCGGTATAAGCTTCATACAAAGAAGTGTGTTCGAACATCGAGAGACGAATCGCCGCAGTCCATTGGGTCAACGAGTTGAAAGAATTGAAATGCAAGAGGTATCGATTTTTGCCTGCGGAAGAAACGCTGAGTACGTTCTTCAGTGGTTGTATAGCTCCATTTTGGATCGGAAGAGTCTCAAGCTGTGAGTAACTGATGAGTTTATGCTTGACAACTCATGAGTTTGGGGGGGGGGGGGGATAAGGCTTACCATCTTAATGGACGCATCGGCCAAATTAATAAAGGTCGCCGGAACCTCTTCTCCACCTGCTGCGTCCAGCGCAGCGCCATCCCATAGTGAAAGAACAGTTCCGACCAGCTGTGCATAGCATTCCACCCATTGCCGATCACCACAAGGCCGTCCGTCTGCCACGTGTTAGCCCGCCTTTCCCCGCAAGGCGCCAGTGGTGTAGATCACTTACGAGAATCCAGATCATTCAGTTTTAAAAAGTATCCTTCATGGTAGACCTTGTTCGTGTGTATATTGAGAAATGAAAATATTGGCGACAACTCCGGCGGTGTATCGCCCGCCTGCTGCAGGAGAGGCGGGTTGCATGAGACAATCATGGATGCCGGTCGCGAGCCAGTTCCGCCTCTAGGCCCAGAGCTCACGGGGGATAATCCGGTCGGAGGAGATGGTGTTGGTGTATCGGGGGGCGTGGCAACACCCCGTGGTGTATCGACCGGAGTTACGTTGGTTACTGGCGTAACGTTGCTCGACGACTTTCTGCTTTCTTTACCAACACCATTGTTTTTTGAACCCCCAAGGCTGGACATAAACGAGCGGACTAGTGAAACGCAAGGGAGAATCAATAACGAGCCCTAGTCCAATTCCTGGCATTACCCGAAAAGGATCGACTTACCACGCGAACGACCCATGACGTCGGAATGTGATGAAGAACCTCAGTAGTAGACTTTCAAGTATTACCCCTCACTGAGTTCAACTGTGAAACGTTGTTGAAAGTAGAGAGAGAGGCTGGGGTGTGGTGGAATTTAAAAGGAAACCGTCCGAGGCAGGTCGATTGCGCTGAACGAGAGACTGTCAAATAGCGGCTGCGTTTGGAACGAGTTCGGCGAAAAAAAGATCAATCCATAAAATTCACCTTTGTGTGAACCTGGAGGAATAAGAATGAAGAGAACGAGCGGTTGGGCGGAGTTTAGGGAAATCGAGCTTCTCTGCCAAGGAAGATGACGTTACAGGGTTGGATACGTCTTTGCTAATCGCCAGGATGTAGCCAAGATTCACGATCCTTTTTTTCAGAGACAAAAGAGAGAGAAGGAGGGAATAGGATTGAAGACTGGGGAAATAATAGGAGAAGTTCTGAAGAGAGATAGAAAGAGTACGGAGTACCGTGGGTCATTTGGTAAGTCCGGAGAGAGGCGACCTCAACACATTCCGCCAAAACTTATAAAGTACATATGTTATATCCTCTCGTGTGACACTTTTAAGCCAAGCCAATTTGTTTTTTTCTTTTTCTCTTCCTCTTCAGACCTTGGACAAAGACTGGCTTTTTTCCTTCTTTTCTTTCTTGTCTTTCTTTTCTTTCTTTTCTTTTTCACGGACCCTCCTTGGGTCATCAGTGGAGAGACAACCCGAACTATAAGTAGACTAGTAATATGCATTATGGGTAAATATAGCTAAATGTCTTATGTTGGAAAAAAACTAATCCTTACAGAGTACGGAATACAGAGTATGAGGGATGTTATGATCCCTCCCCTATATCTCGACCTAGATATCTCCTTTTTTTTTTCAATTTCCCCCTTTAAATTCTATGAGAATATCCGTGGCCAAGATTAATCCGCCACTGGATCTAAAAATGGGTTAGACCATGGATAGTCGTTGGAACATAACTTGGCAATTCTGTAGTTATTGCCACTTAAATCTGACTCTCACAGGACTCAACACGTTGCCTTTCTACGGATCCACAGATCATCTGCACTTGAACACGCGTATTCCCCTTTCACCGCCGGGGAACGCTGTGTGTGTCCATTACTTTATATTTCAACTCTACTAAATTTGGGTCTACTTTGTAGTACTCTCCGTATGTTGTAGTACTTTGTACAAAGTAATAGTCTTCCCTGTTTCTATTTACCCCACCAGGATTTGGGGCTCATGGACTTTTCACACACGGACCTTTTTACTCCTGCATTAGGGTAATCCAGCCATAATCTTTCCAAGGTTGCTCAGATAAGCTTAGAACAACCCACTTGTTTCATTTTCCTATGGTCATCTGGAGTATTCCAGTATTCCTCCATACAATGCCCAGGTATTATAGAACCGGTCGCAGTCTTGGCATACTTTGTAGATCAACTGGATCGATTTCCTTGCATGATCAACATAACCCATGGAGATCTCACTAAATGTGTCATAGGTACTCCGTACCTACTTTAAAAAAAAGTGTAGATCACCCATGTGGCAGAGATTCTTTATCGTTTTCCCGCTCTATACAATTTCTGTGGGGGTTAAGATTACTTGTCTATACCCTTTAGGGAATTAAACTTCTTTTTTATTCCAACTTTAATCTCCGACTTCATGCCCCTTCGACTTTCTTTATCAGATCTATATATGTAGTCGGATAATGCCTGGAGACCTTTCCTTTTCCGTTGCTCACCTCCTGTTTTTGATCACTGATTAAATCTGAGCACGTCCCTATGTACCCCAACTTCCAAGATCGCGGACCATTATATAATCAATATGATGTGCCCAGGTGCTCACTGGTCATCCCCTATTCACTCACTGATAATCATCTGAGCGCCCTGATTTGCTCACCGAATGCTCACTGCGTGTAGGGATAAGCGGCCTAGGTAAGAACGGATAAGAACTCAAAACGCTTTCCCACTATACCGATAGGAACCTAGGGTTATATTTTGGAGAGGAAGCTTAGCCGTCGACGAATACGGTGAGTGGTAGATGTCGAAAGTGGACAATATAACCCTCAAGCATGCATTTCGAGAAGTGTGTGACGTGATACTTGAAAACAGTCCTGATCTTGAGCAAGTGTACAACGATCAAGATCCCAAATTCTTCATTGAGAAAGGAGTCAAAATGGGTATCGCTTGACGTTTCGTAGAGGATATTGGAAAGTGGGTTAAGAACGTGAAGAGAGCGCTGTCTGTTTACGAGCCTCTTTAGTCTGTGTAGAATTTGGTTGGTGTATCCTGGCGTTATCTAGAGTCGTTTTCAATTACTACTCAATTAAATAATGTGGCTCCCTATTGTTACCGTACACCAGGATTCTCGCTCCAGCGAACTGATTGACTTTGAGAGCGACTCTTCGGGATATAAATGTTGACTCATGATTATTATAAAGGAGTAAAATAAATCAAAACGGCCCTTGCTTGAAACTCTCCCCCGAATGATATCTGTTACAAGAAAGCACGTGTAAACGCCATCAAACAATGTCAGAATATTCACACGCCTATGGAACCCTTAATAAAATTTTGTATTCGGTGGGAGTCCCTCCGCCTGGTCATCTCTCTGTATTCGTTAGTTAGTACACTAAATGCTTCCAACATAGATAGCAACGGAACCCATACCAGTGCTTCCGCAAATCCCTTCACAAGCGCAACTTCGTGGTCACAGTGGGCCAGTTGTTCAGGTCCAAAGTCGGTGAAGGTCGTTGCAACATCAAAGTCTATCCAGGCCAACCTATCGGGGTTTCCACGAACCAGGAGAAGGTTTTTGGGGTAAATGTCTTGGTGGTGAACACCCGCCCTGTGTATCTCCTGTATACCCTCGATTGCCTGGGGATAGAGCGCGTCCGAGTAGTTCACGCAGTTCAAACTCTCTGCATTCGGGAGATATTCTAGCAATATTGCTCTCGGCTTTAGCTTGTCTTGGGCGAAATGCTGTAAAGCAGGATGAAATGCTGCGGGATCCATTCGATCGATGTAGCCGTAGAATTTTGGCACGAAATCGCGCGCACAGACACCAGAAGTGAGAAGCTTCTTATAAGCATCTAATTCGCAGCGAAATCTGTTCAAATCACGTCCCTTTTCGGTATATCCAGGGTCGCCGTTGTCGTGGAAAAGCTTTAATGCATACTTTTGTCCATCCAGATCTACCTCGAATATTGCAGACGAATCAGAGCACGTAATCTGACTGATGATATGAATATTGGAGGGGTCCATGTTCGTTGAGGAAGCGCTTCTTAGGTGCATTATTGTCCCGTGGGAAGTCATATTTCCACCAAGGAGGTCGGAGCAGGTCAGATAACAAAAAGTGGACAGGTCTTGGTTAACGTATTTCACATGCGAGCTGCGCACACAAGCGAGCTGCGCAGTCGAAACACCATGTTAAAATCGATATATGCTACACTTATATCTCCACAACCAACCAGTTTTTTATTAATAGTAGTTTTCCGATAGCCATTGATAAGAATTTTTAGTAGTATATATCAATTTTGAGTGAGTTAAAAACCTGCATTATTATATTATCGAAAATTACATCTTTAAATCCTCTGAATGTATACATCTCAGTCATGAATTCCTTAGATTCCTCCGAACTCCTCAAAGGAGCAACATATTATATGAAAAGCACTAGGCTGTAAGGAAAAGTTCACAAATTCAAGCATTGTTGAGATATCTAGTTGTAATTTATCGCATTTACTATGGGTATCGGACTGCGCAGCTCGCTTGTGAAATATGTTAGGCATATATGTAGATTCCAAGATACATATGTATGTTACGTACATATATGTATGAGGTTATCTATAAAAAAATATGTGGAGCATTCATGCAATAGTGCGTTTAACAGTTTGCAGTCTGTGCATTTTTCCTACAAGACTATATAAAAAGATCCACATCCTCTATCTCTCTATATATACTGATACACACATGTATAGGAATCCAGGGCTCATGTTTTCTTCGATCAAAGTTCAAAGCTTGGTTAGTGCTTACTATTACGAGTCCTGTATCATTCCAATGGATTATTCTCCCGTTGATACGTGTGGATGCATGAGAAACAACCTAGAACCCTTCTATATGTATACTCTTTTCGGCTCACAATGTCCTTGAAAGGGATCGGGCACCGATTGTCTAAAAGAGAGAGCGTTACTTTCTAATATCCCTACTACTATCAAGTGTCTGCTAGCTAGGAGACACGAGCTCCTGCATATCGTACAATCGAGGGATGTAAGCAAAGAGAAAAGCTGAAACCCACTAATGAGAAAGAAATACGTCATTCTCAGTCGTACCAGAAAGCATTCGCACAACAGCCTCCATCCCGAAGATCCAACGTAGCTACTACCTCAGTCCGGCGACCAGTAAACCTCCAGATCTGTATGAGCCCTTTCTCGCTATCTGTAATAGCAACGAATTCATCGCTAGAAGTAGACGGCGCGACTGCATTAGCCATACCCCCTGACGTAGTCGTTGGAGTCAGAAATAACTGAGACAAGATGTCACCTGTCTCCGAAATTGAAAAGGCGCTGATGTATCCTGGGTAGCTTGAGCGATGAGATCGGGAGGTGGCCCAGATGTAGGAGTTGGAGTATGATAATCGAACTTCGTCTGACCAATATTCGCTATTTGGGTAACCTATAAAGGGGGGAAGTGCTCAAATTAGATTGTGAAAGAGAGCAATGAGAAACTCCATAGCGCAAAATTACCTGGAGGTATCAAAGGAAACGATTTGGCAGATGCAAGCGTTTTGTCTTTTGGGTCAATTCTGTAGAGGACGAGCTTGTTCGTCCCTTCGAAAACCACGTATGCAAACTTGCCTTTAGGATGAACGGTAATATGACGAGGATCGGAACCATAGTTCGGAGCAGCAATGCGATCCAGGAACTCAACTTGACCAGTATCGGAGTTAATTGAGTGTGCCCAAAGGGAATTTCCTGAATCGTCTGCAGAGTAGAGGACATCATGATTAGGACCAATTGTCAATCCATGAACCCCAGATCCTATCTGGTAATCAAAGGACTGAATGATGCGAGAAAGTGAGCCTTCATGGTCGACCGACATCACATTTCCACATGACCTGTTGCCGCCAAATGTCACCCCGTAGACTGTGTATGGAGATACGGGTAAACTTTGGACAAAGATGGCTTGAGAATCGATACCTGGGTAATTAAGGAGCTCCTTAGTATGTTGAACCAGCTGAGAGTCATGTTCAATACGCACAATTTCCTTCAAGGGGTATTGTCTTCCGGTGCTGAACTGTCTCAGAAGTCTCGATTGCATAGCTTGACCATGAGTTTACCGAGGTAGTGTACAGATTCTTCTTTTGGTGCTGTACATGGTATTGCTTACATTAGTTCTTATTCACAAGCAGGTAGACCTGAACAATAATTAAACTTACATCGAGAGTAATCCAGAAATGACTGTCTTGGGTCGTAATGTTGTTTAAAAGGGTGAGGGTCAAGCTCTGATCATCAAATCCCACAGCATAAAGATGGGGACTGCTGAAGGCACCCACAAATAAGTGGTGCAGTGTTGCAGTCACATGGCCGCTATAGCATAAAAGTGCGATCAAGAAACGCATGGTAAACGGATTGATTTCCAGAATATGCTAGACCAAGGATATATAAGACCGAAAAGCCTTCCTTTTATATATTCATTGGTTCTTCCAAAAGCATTCAAAAGAGTCATTGTCTGTGCCGAGTGCATCATGTCGCCAAGCTCTCCGACCCTGCCGTTATATCCGAAAGGCTTCAGACTTTTTGCCGTGGGGCGATTCGAATGAGCGAATCCCGGCTTCTAGGGAGTGTATCACAGAGCTCTAGAAGAGTCGGTATATCATTCGGGATGAGGACCCGTCGGACCTCGGAACAGATCTTCTGGACTAATACTGATAAAACACATGGGGACGAATTTATTGAAACTGATATCCGATTGATATACAAGTAGACGGTGGATCGAATATACGCTGAACGATGCCCCGAAGGGTGCTAATTGTATTTGGCCGCTCTCATAGTTGGACAGAATCTTCTGAGACCCTGCTATTGATTGTATCTGAGATTTAAAATACGTAGAATTCGCTTACGATGCATAGGGTCCAGAGCGTTGAAGCAACAATAGCAAGGTTGAAGTTCCCAGAAGCAAGGGTAAATAAGAAAACTCACCAAGATACTAAGATACTATTTAGAATACACAGATTTGAAGCTCTCGAACATATATCAATCAGATGATAGAAATTGTTTCAGAATGCGTCTGAAAAGATTAATAATAAAAGGCTCAAGTAAATGCATCTGAAGTATGAAAAAGAGTTCTGGCAACCTGAATGCGACCCTCGAGTACACTGATACTTTCAAGTGCTTCCTTGGCCAACCATATTTCACCAATTTGCTCTCTAGGCCCACAAGCCCAAATTCACCGATCGACAATCCTCCTTCCTTGAAGTTGATATTAAAGGGATATTAAGTGGATTGCATTCCCTTTTCTCTCGGTATTCTGTCCAATCACTCAGCTCTATTTAGAAAGCCACATTTGCTTCATGCTCTACTCCATACTTCCTATCTATAAGATTCAACTTGCCTATTTTTTTTCGGTCCAACTAGTAGTTGAGGCCCACTTAAGCATGCTATCTGTACAGCTGTACTTTGTACAGTTTATGAGCTATTCTAGGAGGGGAAAGATTTTCACCTATCAGAAATCCGTATATCCGGAACTAAACTCGAATTTGTCGTATCAAAAAGTATATAAGAGATGAAGAGTGTTATAGAAATAGGTTTACATCAACCTAGACTTTTTTTACTCTTCTACCACTCCCTCTGACTCTTCTACTTTTGACAATCCGCAAATATGGCATTGGGATTGCTTTTCCTATCTTTTGTATACTTTTGGACCTTTGTTGCCTGTACAAGTTTATACCTCTCCTTTGAATATTGACAATCACTGATATATGATTTACAGCTCACTCTTATCCGGCCCCTGATGCTGCCTCATTGGCTGCCCATCACCACGTGGCCAAAAAAAATGCGGTCATAAGGTTGGTGAGATGAAGGAGAGACGCCGCGCACTTCGTCGCCGAGACCTCTCCATCGATCCAAGTACCAAGGAAACCACCTACAAAATTCACGCTTCAGCCCCTAAATACGACTTCTTGAAGAACTTCACCAACATCCTTACTCCCGAAACTAGTAACGGGCCATACTTCTACCCTCAAAGCCAGACCCTACGCCAGGATATCCGTGAAGACCGACCCGGTGTGCCTTTGTCCTTGGAGATTGGTATAATTGACACTGACACATGCAAGCCATTGGAGAATGTCCTGGTCGATATCTGGGTGAGTAAAAGTGGATCGAATTACGCATTTTGGAAGCCTCAAAAGCTGAACTTCTGAATTCACATTAGCACTGCAACGCTACCGGTTCCTATAGCTCCTTTACTGGCCTTTCGCCCGACACACCTTTCTTGGAACTATATGCAAACAAAACTGATGGAAAGCCTATCGATATCCACGATGGACTCCCCGATCTTAGCGTATGTATCGATTTCCGGTATGAAGTCATTTAAACGTTCCGAGATAATCTAATTCTAGAGAACAGTGGCTCAAAACAGATAATTCGACCTGGCTCCGGGGCATGTGGCCTACCGACAAGCATGGTGTCACATCATTCACCACTATCTTCCCTGGATTCTATGTATGAATTATTGTGGTGTGAAATTGATATGATTTAAGAAGAAGCTAACCCTTTCTTTTTCTAGATGGAACGTGCCATCCACATCCATGCGCAGGTCCACACCAACTGGACTGTAGGATCGAACGGTACTATCATCCATGGACCGATTGTGAGCACTGGCCAGATCTTTATAGATGAGGCACTTGAGAAACAGATCATGGCCCTCGAGCCTTATGTTAACCACACTGAAATCGAGCGTGTCAAGAACGATGCCGACGGAATATACGCCACAGAGTCGAACAGTAAGTCCCCACCCCGCCTGTATGGCTGTAATGACTTCAAGCACAGAAACAAAGTCAGTGTAAAACCAAACTGAAAAAATGGGTTCCGCAGCTGGAGCAATGACTATTCTTGATACTGAGCCTCTGGATGGCGTCAATTATGAAAACGGTGTTTTCGGATACATCACCTTGGTATGTTTGATCGATCTTTGGGCTACTACGGCCATGTAGTGCTAACTAATTTCGCAGGGAATTCAAACCTCGCAGATCCGGAATGGGTCTACCATCGATGCCCGTAAGTGCTACGCTCTGGATTTTTTCTTGCTCTTTCCTATGATGGATTAGAGATTATTAACAATTCAATAGAACCTATCGTCAACTAAGCATTGACTAGGACTATGGTAATCCGAGCAACCACAGTCTTCACAGAAAAGAATATGGATAGGCTGGCTACCTTCTTTGGATAATATCTTGAGTTTCGGGCCTACTGTATTTGCATCTTCCTGGTACTACTGTGCCACATGGCCGAGATGGAGTTGCGATCGATGATAACATGGCTCGCGCTCAGATAGAGAATCTAAGGTTGGAAGGAGGTAGCGTGTATCAATGTTCGGTTGAAGTATGGGCCATATGAGATAGTCAATCTTCCAAGATTCGATACATGTCATGTACATTTAAACCCATCACTTCAATTACAAGAGCCTGCAGTGGGAAATACATAGCCGGGAAATCGGCACCGGTGGTCCGAGGTCTAGGGGGCTAGGTAGCCTACTTCTGTGACTGAGACAATCATCTATAATTCCATACTACCTCCATCGACTCCTGCTCTGTTCACGATGTGGAAACCAGTAGCTGTCCCTTTTCAGAACTCCCAGCCTGCACCTACTCTACCTACAACAGATGAAATCCGTGCTCGCACCAATGTTCTGTGGGAGACCATGGCCTCCAAGATTGTGGCGGTGAACGACGATATTGTTGCAAAATATGGAGGTTGTGTAAACGAGTGGGAAGGCCAGGCTTTGGTTTACCTTGAACGATACGTCCCAGAAGTTCCGGCCCCTCGACTTTACGCGATATACTATGATTCTAAACAACTTTTCCTGATTATACAACGCGTTCTTGGGGTACCGCTAAATTCTATTTGGCTATCTTTAGCGTATTGTGAGAAGGATAACATTATCGTGAAACTCTAACTAATATTCGACGCAATACGAAAGGTCAAGTGTCATCGCCCGAATTTTTCGGAGGCCTAGACGGGGGTGGTGTATATCACTACCTATTCTATAGCCAGTATAGCGATAAGAAATTCCTAGGGCCTTTCTCCGGCGAACCTACCTTTGTTGCTGGCCTTGTCGGTAATTATAGAGCTTTGGTCGAACGTAATAATCTGCCAGACTATAAGGCTGGCTTTTACGAAAAATACCTCGCTCGCGTCCTTCAAGGTCACCGGCCCACATTGACGCATAGAGACGTCCAGCAGAAGAATATTATGGTTGTAGAGAATATAAGTTACCTAGACGATCAAGGCGGGCGATCATTTGACATCGTACTGGTCGATTGGGAGAATTCCGGTTAGCTTCCTGACTTCTGGGAATTCTTTTGTGTACCTTATGCCCTTAATTTCGAGTGGGAAGAAGACTGGTCCTGGCGAGTCCAGGAGTTTGTTCAAGTATGGCCCGCCGAGATGGCCATAATGCAACTGATTGACAAGGATCTAGGCTGGTGAAGTATGTTGCTATGTTTAGAATTAAATCGATGTATTTTCTTAACCATTTAGAGAAAGACAACAAGATCAGTTATCGTACTAATTCTAAAACTACTTGCAAATTCTTCTCGCCATAGTTACTGTTACATGGTGATGTTCACGGGCACTCCGTCTCCACCATGTAGGGTCTTAGATGGATCAATCAGAGGGAAAGGAGCTTTACGATACTACTGCGAATGCCTTGACACTGGTACCGCCTGTATTCAAATTGAATTCTGAGCTTCTAAACTTGCTCCGAGTTCTACTAATATAGTTGTGCGCGGATAAGCGAGATCACAATACTCTCAGTACTCTACTTCCGAGGGTTGTATAGATCTAGTTCGAGTCCCGCGATTCATTGGAAGAGGTCGTGACATTACCTCACTTCTTTTATGCATGTCGCCCTCGGCGTGCTCTTCTACCTTTGTTATGGCATGTCGTCATACCTCTCGCTTTGTTTGACGGCTTTGGTCGAGTCCTGTGGCGTTGTTCTTTGTCTGTCATCGTTGCCTAGTCGTGGTACGAAGGTTTTTAAGGCAGTGTGTGCCCCTTCTTTTTAGGAGTATGTCCTCATGCTCTTCCTTCTGCTATATCCTTCAACGGTGGTATTTCCAACTGGGTTTCGGTGGCCGCGCCCGCTACTCCTGCTGAGGTATGGTGTATGCGGTGTGTCAACCCCATTGCGAACATCCCAAATGGCCTGTGTCAGAGCTCCGCGGCTAGTTTCAAGTGCCAGTACTGCCATCTACTGCACCAGACTTGTATCATAGTGGATCCTCGGTTGGATAACGAGGCGAATGCAGTCATTCCCCTTGCGACTCTTGCTGCTCGTCGTGCCGCCCTGACAGCGTTCAAGACCAGCATTAATACGCTGTCAAAACAGCACGACGAGCAGCAGGAGCCACAGCTGGAATGAGTGCATTTGACTCCTTATCCGGGGATCTACTATGATACAAGTCTGGTGCTGTAGATGGCAGTACTGGCACTTGAAACCTTTGAGCCTACTGATAGGATGCGATCATGTGGCCACAAACAGTCCAAGGCTGCTAGATAACGTATTTCACATGCGAGCTGCGCACACAAGCGAGCTGCGCAGTCCGATACCCATAGTAAATGCGATAAATTACAACTAGATATCTCAACAATGCTTGTCTTTGCGAACTTTTCCTTATAGTCTAATGCTTCTCATATAATATCTTGCTCCTTCTAGGAGTTTGGGGGAATTTAAGCAAGGTTAAGAAATTCATAACTGAGATATATAAATTTACAGGATTTAGAGACGTAATTTTCGATACCATAATAATACAGGTTTTTAATCCACTCGAAATTGATGTATACTACTAAAAATTCTTATCAATCTCTATCGGCAAACTACTGTTAATAAAAAACGTTTGGTTGTGGAGATATAAGTATAGCATACATCGATTTTACTATGGTGTTTCGACTGCGCAGCTCGCTTATATGCGCAGCTCGTATGTGAAATACGTTAGTTAGAAGGGCTATATTACATAAATGAAAATATTTGGACAATATTTTGAGATTACTAAACACACCCTAAACGACCCCGGCCCCTTGATCGGGGAATTCGCATCCGCAGCCTAAAATCGGCCCCGGGGTTAACTGCGACATGCGTAGGTACACATCAAAAACGCTAAATAATCATAATATCGTAGAAATGCCTTCCTTCACTGTTCCATCGTATGATAAGCATTTACAGGGTCAACAAATGCCATCTGATTATGGCTGGGTATCATAGAATCAATATCGCCGGCTGCGCTCACTGGGAGATCGTCTTGCATCAAATAATCAGAATCCAAGCCCGGCTGGGTAGGGAGATAGGATGAATCATTCGACTGCGAGCCAAAAGCAACATCCGAGGAGTGGTCACCTGCCGTGTAGGATTGTTGGTAGTAGGACTGGTCATCCCGATCATATCCAAGACCGTAAATACCCAATGAGTTGGAGTTGCCTCCAGGACCGGATTCATCGGTAAGCAGTGCGCGCTGCACGAAGAGATTCTGGACATCGTCTTCAGTGCAGTGGTGTTTGGTGGTCATGTGTACCCACAGATCGTAGTTGCGATGGAAACGGTGTGGACACGTCTCGTGGTAAAAGCAAGCGATCTGTCGTCCTGTTTCCTCGGCATAACCTTGGCCCGTGAGAGCGGAAAGAGTAGAAGCGGAATTTTGCTTCGGTTTTTTGCCTGTCTTTGCTTGGCGTTGTCTCCTATTTGGGAGCCCTAAGTGTGCAACGCGGATGTGATCTTCGAGTGACAGCTTGCTGCCATAGCGGTTGCCGCAACCCACGCCATCCCATCCCTCCAGCTTGTTCGAGTTTGAGAGATCTGTTTCGCCGCAGATGAACCGTCTTTCGCCTTCGTGTACTGTGCGAACATGGACAGCCAAGTTGCCTTGCTTGGTGAAGCTGCGCCCACAGTCGGGGAGGGTGCAGGGGAATATCTTTCGTTCTTCAAGAGTGACAGTGCCATGAGCTATGTCGATGTGGCGCCGCAGCCCTCGTGCTGTGGAAAAGGACATTGGACACTCGGGGCATTTGGGAGGGTGAACAATCCGAATGTGGTTTTGCAAACTGGCATATGTGGGAAATGATGAATCCTGGCTTCTAGCGTCGTCTGCCATATCCGATGATTGGGCTCCTGTGTTTTCGGCACATTCCGCGCAAGTGAATCGCTTCTCGGAATGGACTCTGCTCTGGTGAGTCCGTAGATTACCAGCCTTGTCAAAAGCCATCTTGCATTTCTCATTGGTAATCGGATCCACGTGAGGACATGGAAATGGCTTCTGGCCCAAGTGGACAACCGTGATATGTATCTGTAGCGTTGAATGCTTCCGGAATGACTCGTCGCAAGGTGGGTATTCGGTACAGCGATACTTGTCATTTCCACCATGCGTAGCAACATGTCGGCGAAGACGCGACCCGGTTACAAAGCTCTTCCCACAACCTGGGTAGTCGCAAACATATTCTCGAACACCTGTATGGGCACTCTTGACATGGTATTGAAGATGGGTAAGGCGTAAGAATGACTTGTCACAGCCCTCATAGTCACACTTGAAAATTCTCTCGTTGGTGTGTGAACGAATATGCTCTTGAAGTCGAGCCGGCCGATTAAAGGACTTGTCGCATCCCTCGAACGAGCAAGAGAAGGCTTTGAGCTCGGATGGCCATCGCTGCACTCGGGAAGAGGTGGTTGAGAACGGGGTCGCGGGAGAGTCATCCAAGTCTTCGCTCATTAAGCTTGGAGTACCCGGAGCCGAGTACTCGGCGTCGGAGTGAGTCTCCTCGTAGATCAGGTCTGTAGAATCGTCAGCAATTGGACCACTTTATCGGATGTAATCTAAGAATGTAGACTGACCAGAATTATCCAGGACATTCTGCTTCTGGTGTCGTTTGGGGGTTGTGAACCCCTCCAATGATGCCTTTCGCTTCATGGCCACCATGGAGAAGTCCTTAAAAAGGGACGATTGAGAAAGGAGAAGTATCTCAAGGCACGAGAAAGCCCGGGCGTGAATGTCGAACCCAATAATTTTATTTTTGCCAGAAAGGCGGTGACGGTCAACACAGAGGAAGTTTTTCCGCTCCCAGGATTTTTAGCATCGAATCCCACCTCGACCCCCGACCTGTCTCTCATACCTCTGGGTTTGTCATCGCTCGCTTCGGCCTACAATTACTTCGCTCCTTTACAGGTTTAACTGTCATTATGTCTGACTACGGCCACGACGACGACGTCGAAGAGACGTAAGCTACCTTCACCAGATTGCCCGGAGTCTAGGCGCAAAGGAGCTTTGCTTCTATTTTGCCCCCAGGCAGCTTCACAATGTGTTCGCATATCTTTATATAACCCAATTTTCTAACGATGTGGTGTGCGCAGCTTCGACTACGAGCCCGGCGAGGATGTGTTTGATGAGGAGCCGGAGGAACAAGATGGCCTCGAGGGCGAAGACGGGGTTGAGGGAGAAGATTTCCCCACCGCCAACGGCGAAAATGTCGTTGTCTCTGGTGATCCCAATGCCGGATACGCAGGAAAAGTAATGGAGCAGTCGCGCGAGAAGAAAGTGCCCAATGACCAGCGCACCACCACCCCGTACTTGACCAAGTACGAGCGCGCGCGTGTTCTCGGCACCCGTGCCCTGCAAATCAGGTACGTTGCTCTTAATACAGACGATTGCGCATGTTTTTTTTATAGCTTGGGCTTGCTGACTTTTGGCACAGTATGAACGCCCCGGTTCTTGTCGACCTCGAGGGTGAAACCGATCCCCTGCAGATTGCCATGAAGGAATTGAACCAGAAGAAGATCCCCCTGATCATTCGCCGATACCTCCCTGATGGATGGTAAGCAAAATTCTGCAAGACATGAGCTGCGGGCCATATCTAACAATGTTCGACTTTAGGTATGAGGATTGGACGTGTGAGGAGCTGTTGTAGTGGTCACAACGGTATCAACTGTTCTCCACTGAGGCTACTTTCCATCTTTTGCTTTTCTTTGGGTTTCAGCATAGCGTTTGGAGTTCTGGGATTCGAAGAACCCGTCGAAAAAAAGAGACTTGGATGTCCTTGATGAAACATGGACACCAGTAAGGCTTTGTACATGAATCTAGAACGGAAAAAAACATATCCAAAAATAATTTGACCTGTTTATTTATTTATTTTTGTCTTCCAGCATATACTTCATACATCCTTTGACTATACAGAAGAAGCAATTATAGCGAAGCCATTTGCGAATTCTCCGGATTTTAATAGCCAGCCCTATTTCAGAATTTTGATACGCTTCATATCTTTTTATGTATCTTTCAAGTCATCATATTGTTACAGATGCACTTGACATAATGAAGTATTTGGAGTACACAGGTCATATGTACACTTCCATATCCTGCATTGTAAGCATACTCCAATCATATTCTAGTAATAGAGGTAGATAGTCCTCCGAATGGAGATACCTTGCTGTTCATGCGGATTCAAACGCTTCTGACAAATGTGGTATATAAAAAGAGCCTCCTAAATGAGCAAAGCCTGAAATCTATCCAATGGAGGCATAGTTAATTCTCCACTCAACAATCCTCGAGAGTCATACAAACTATATATGGATGGAGAGTTCCATATTAGGTGCAATTACTAATGCAACTATGTTCTAGGCTCATCCTCTGGATAATAATCACGGAGATTCGGCGATTCATGGAAGTTGCATCTAGCAGCACACCTTATATCTCACTAGTGGTGACTAGGCCAGCCTCGGCACCTGCTGGGCAACCAATTTGCCGTCAAAAAGCATTGATATTGATGTTTTTGAAACTAACAAAGGGTAAAGCATGTTATTTCGATAAATTCAGATATACATTAAAGATATCCAGGTCAAAGTATAGTAATTCTACTATCCTATTCTAGAAAAGCCTTATTTTCTCGTATCAACCCAGAAGCCTCTAGGGCTTATATTATAATCACCGAATGACCGAGATCCCGGGCCCCGCTTAGTTGGGGGCTTATCAATGACTGGATGTTTGTATTTATTATTCCGTCTTGACCTGATAGTATCTGGATTTATACCATTGCACAGCGAAGACCTTTTGACTTCGCTCCTATATTTTACAGGCTCTCACCCGTCAGGGGCATCCATTTGACCAATATACGAAACAACATGGGGTCACTTAACTTGGATATAGAGCGAGAAGTGCTCGCTAATACTTCGGTCACTTGCAAAGAAAATGACATCTCCAATATATTAGACTCTCCGAAAGAAGAGCCCGAGTTGATATTCGATACGGGGCTACAGACATGGCTCCAAGCTTTAGGCTCATTCTTTCTCTTCTTCAATTCATGGTAAGAATATGTTCTTCGATATTAAAGTCCCATTACTAATTAGTTGAAAATAGGGGCATTATCAATACATGGGGTGCATATCAAACCTATTATGAGCGAGAATTGCTCTCCGGTACTTCATCATCTACCATTGCCTGGATTGGATCGCTACAGTCTTTCCTTCTGATGATGGTTGGAGTCATTACAGGTCCAATGTTTGACGCTGGTTATTTTCGACCCCTCATCATCTTCGCTACCTTCCTAATGCCCTTTGGCTTGATGATGACCAGCCTTGCCACACAATACTGGCAACTGATTCTTTCGCAGGGCCTTTGCATGGGACTCGCAGCAGGCTGCCTTTTTGTACCCTCCGTTGCCATCCTGCCACAGTACTTCCGCCGTAAGAGAGGCCTCGCCAACGGCTTGGCTGCCAGTGGCAGCAGTATCGGTGGTGTCGTCTACCCAATCATGCTCGATCAGTTGGAGAAGAAGGTCGGTTTTCCCTGGGCTACCCGAGCACTTGGGTTCGTCTGCTTCGGCACCATGTGCATTGCTATTAGCATCATGCGCTCGCGCTTCCAGCCAGAGGAGAAGCGCAAGCTGTACCAGCTATCTGCTTTCAAGGACCCGGCATTTACTATATTCGCCATTGCCATGTTTATAGGTTTCTTAGGTCTATACAACTTCTTGTTCTATGTGCAGTCATACGCAATAGACACAGGCATTGTAGACGCCAATCTAGGATTCTACCTACTCTCCATGCTAAATGCCGCCTCGACCTTCGGCCGCATTGCGCCCAACTTTCTCGCTGACCACGTTGGTCCTTTGAATATGCTCACACCAGCCGTGAGCATCACTGCCATCCTGGCCTTTGTCTGGATCCGGGTTCACACCCTACCTGGAATCATCATCCTTACCGTCTTGTACGGCTTCTTCTCGGGTGGATTTGTGTCTCTGCCGCCTGTGGTTATGGCAAGCATGACTTCCGACGTGCGCAACCTGGGTACACGGTTGGGAATGGTCTTTGCTATCACTTCCATAGGCCTGCTGATCGGTACCCCCATCGGCGGTGCAATCCTGTCCAATACAAACCAATTCCTCGGGGTTCAGCTTTTCACCGCTTGCTGTCTCACTGCAGCTGCAGTTCTTATGACCTCTGTGAGACTTCTGCGCTCGGGTCTTAAGTTTCATGTTAAGGCCTAAATCTCAGTCACTAGCTACTGAAATGTCTTACAAAATATACCTACCGCCACAGAGGTTTTCGGCCTTATTCCAGCTATTTCTTGATATCAAAATGTTGGGACAACGATACATACCATTAACTTCATCATTCGGTCACGATTCTTCATATCGCATTATCTCTCGGCAACTCATTTCTCTCCTATCCAGCCAGTGGGAAACACGGCACACTTCATATTATACTTAGACGGAAAATGGCAATAAAATAATAATCATGTGTCTGATTCTGTACAAGAAAATGTCCATACGAACTCCAGCCCTGTATAAGCCCTCCAAGCCATGAGAACCCCTCGAAGAAAAAGGCGCAAGAGAGAGATAGAAAATTTTGAATGTCATCAATGACTGCTCTGCTCCAATGAATACCATAAAAAAAAGGACGGTTTACATCACATCCTCCGGCCCAACAGGGAAGTTCTCACCGTTTTCTCGCACATGCTCGAGCTTCTTATCTCGACTGCACGGTTTGCGCATATCGAATGCATCTTCACCAGTCTCCGACATCCCCGACGGATCATCGCTGTAATAATTAACCACCCGCCGGAAAACGGAGTATCTGTAAATATATGTCAGCAATCAATTCGATATTCGCGCATCTATATCGATTCACATACCCCATTCCTTTGTACATTTCATATGCAACTTTATTTCCGGCGCGGACGTAGAGATCAACAAACCAAGCGTCGTTACTGTCGGACCCCCGCTCGAGCTGCTCAGTCAATCTGCGTGCAAATCCGAGGCGGCGCCAGGCCGGGGCGACGGTTAGGACAGTGATGTGTCCGTGCCATGGAGTGTAGTGCTCGGAGTGGCGCATTGCAGGGTGTTGCTCTTCGAGCTTGCCCATAACTGGGGGAACAGGTCAGATGTATTCATGGAATTTGAGGAAAATGTGCCAAGTTAGGGTTAGAGTTTAACTTACTGTAACCTACAATGCCAGCCTCATGGTCCTTCACGGTGCTGAACAATGAAGGCCATTTATTCAAGTAATTCAAGTAGAAACCGAGATCATAATTCTCAGTGAGGGGGTCAAGGTTGGTGAGATTAAGGTTGAGCAGGTCCAATGGGGACATGCGTTCAATAGAACTCATCTTGATATCGTGAACTTGGAAAGGATAATGTGGGGTTTGATACTCTTGTTCTTTTTTGCCGGGCGGTGACGAGTGTAAAGTCGGCGGTGAGGGTCGAAGTTGAGTTGTTGGTGTCGTACCCCTCCTGCATCCTGGTGGTGTAGTCACTCCTTTGTTGAGAAGCAGGTCTTTTGCACGTGTTGTTATATCAATTGACCCTGACTCGGTCTTTGTTTCGTGACTACCACGCTATACTACGACATTGACTCGGGCCGGAGCTATCGGAACATCCAATTGGGCGTCCTAATTAACAACTGTTCCTCGCCTGCAGCTGGACTACAACCGCTTGTTCCTTTTCTCTGGCGATATTGCCCTAATCAAGCTCCCCTATTTCCCCAATAAAGCTTCTATCAACCCAAGAGTCCCGTGTGGTTCACCCAACCGATCCAATGCCCCTCCCTCCGTCTCCCCTGAAACTCTCACACCGCTACCCGTCGGCCTCGGACGACTCACCCATCTCCCCTGGGGCTGGCGGGGATACTTTTGCATTTGCAGGCCCACTGTCACCGCGGACACCACGATTATCTGCACCTCCGTCTCCTGTCGCGTCCCATCACCACTCCCACACCATGAGTGGGTCCCACCGAGAATCTGGAGATTTTTCTGGCGCCACTGATGTAAGCGGAGGAGGACTGGGGAACCTGGCTGATGAGCTAGCTGATGCATGGGGAGAAGAGGAAGATGGATATGGATATGCGTCAGGCCAAGAAGCTAGCCGTGCGGGTTCACAGCAAATGGGTCACAGCGATGGAGAAGAGGTGTATATGCAATCAGCGCACAGTGTGCGCTCCCGGTCACCTTCTCTCTCACCAGAAAGAGATTCACTTCATCCATCAAGGAATCCGCACCGTGCAAATCATTTGCGGCAGCACCGCCGGCAGGAGTCGCAATACGATGGCTCGGATTATGGACCCGACTCGGATTTAGAGGAGACAGACATCTCCCCTGCGTTGGAGAGCCAGATGGCTGAGATTGAGAGTCTCGTTCGGCGGGGTATAGAGAATAATGGAAGTGAAAATGACCATGTCATTCAGCGGACGGTCGAATCTTTGAAAGATCTTGGTGGGCAGAGTGGGATTGAAAACAGTGCCATGAGGTAAGTTCATCTCCCAAGTATAATATACAATTCCACCAATCCCAATAACTAATCTCTAATCGCAGACTTATCACCGCTCATTCCTCAATCACATCACATCTCACGCACCAAACCCGCGCCCTCCAATCCCTCGTCCACCCACTCCTCTTCTCTCCATTCCCCCTCCTCTCCGACGACGCCATCGACTCTCTCATGCCCCTTATAGACGAAGGCTTATTGCCAAATCTCCCATATCCCTTCCCCGAACAGCACCAAGACTCCCAATCAACCCCTCAGTCCCCCGCACACAACCCGCTCGCCTCTCTCCAAGCCCTCATCTCGCAAACAGCCGAGATCACACATACACTTCGCGGCTTAAACGATACCCTCTACGAGTCGAGACAATTGACTTCTACGGCTTCCCGTCGGTTACGGTCTGCGCGAGAACTCGTCGCTGATATCCGGCGGGAAGATGAGAGCCGCGAAGAGGGATCGCGGTGGATCGAGCGCGGGGAGTGGGACCGCCGGCTCAAAGACCGAGAGGCTGGAAAGGTCTGCGGTGATGTTGTCAGTGGCTTTGAAGCGGTCTGTGGGGAATGGCGGGAGAAGCTGTTTGGGGCTAATGCTGAAGTGGCTGCGGCATAAGTTTGATGTTGATGTTCATGACTTGATCATTTTTGCGATTCTGTTTCCTCGGGTGAGGACTCTAGAACTTTAGACTGCTGTCTTTTTATTTTTTTTTATTCTTTTGCTCGATAGATATCCATATTGGTTTTGACTGGCCATCTTTCATTATGTTTTGGTCTTAATTGTTCATATTAAGAGCTTCCTAGGTTACATACATATAAGCTTGAAATCGTGATAATGATTGGTGGGCTCATTATTTCTCTTCGATTCTTGATCTCGAAATTCAATAAAAACGTAATCTGCATTCGATATGCATGCGTGTACATATGCAGCCTGTGCAGGGCCAATGCTGTGATCGAGGGTTAGCATTGGCGGAACTCCGCCATTGTGCATAGATAGAAATAAAAAGACCAAATGATCTACAAGAAAACCGAATTATAGTAGAAATCTAGGAAAAGATTATATCATATTCCGAGCGAGCTGAAACACAGAATCAGGGCCCCCATTAACAAGTTATGGGAGTGAACATGGGTGAATGATACACGAAATATGCAGAAAGGGTCATGAGAATAGCGCCAAAAAGAAGAGAGCTTGGATACACTTTTTAACTGGAAAGTCGTAGCTCGGTCGTTTACTGCTGCTGCTGCTTCCATTTAGGGACCCACTTGCCACCGGCGGCGGGCTTGGATTCCGAAGCGGGAGCAGGAGACTGAGAAGAAGATTCGCGGGGTTGACGGGGCGCCCAGCGCTCGGCGGGGGCCTCACGGGGCTCACGGGAAGGAGCCTCGCGGGGTTCACGGGGCTCGCGAGGAGCAGGGGGAGGGGGGCGACTCCAGCGCCAGCGGCGGCACCAGAGCGCATGTGAGGAGGAACGTATCCACCCTTGCGGAGAGGGGCGGGCTCTTCACGGACGGGTGCGCGGACGGGCTCACGGACGGGTTCACGGGTGATCTCACGAGTGGGCTCGGCGGGGGCACCACCGGCTTCCTTGAGGGCCTGACGTTCTCTCCAGGTGGTCGGGGGGCTCCAGTGCGTGGGGCGACATTGAGACGGGGCGCGGTTCGTTCGACAGGTGCTTCGAATCCACCCTTGCGGGCTGCACGGCGTGCTGCGGCTTCTTCCTCTCTCTGTTGCTGCTTGAGGGCAATCTCATCCAGTTTGCTATATATCAAGTTAGTATCAATGTTTGGAGTGAAACCAGAGTAAGGGAATACTGACGATCGCTCCTCATCGCGCTTAGCCTTCTCCTCAGCCAAGACACGGCGGCGCTCCTCTTCGCGGGCAGTGCGCTCTTGTTCCTCACGGGCAAGGCGCTCCTGCTCCTCGCGCATACGAGCCTCCTCTTCCTCGCGCTCCTGCTTCTCGCGGCGACGGCGTTCCTGTACCTCCTTGACACGCTGCTTTTTCTTAGCCTCGAACTCGCGCTCGGCGGCCTTGCGACGCTTCTCGAACTCCTCGTGGCGCTTCTCGGAAACCTCTCTGCGGAAGTTGCTGAATTGGGGAACCAGACGGCCCAGACGGTGCTTGAGGGCAACGGCCTCGGTGTGCTTCTCCTTAGACTCGCGCAGCTCCTCGGCAACCTGCTTCTCGTAAAGTTCCCTGTCGAGTCTCTTCTGCTCATCGTAATCGGCGGCAATGTGCTTCAGTTCCTCGCGACGGAAGGCACGCTCCAAGTGGTCGATACGCTTAGCAGTGGTACGGATACGGTCGTTAAGCTCGTTCTTCTCCTTCTCAAGCTGAGCCAGTTTCATAGCACGCAGGCGGTTGGCATCAAGCTCATCAAGATCGATCTCGCTGACGTCAATACCCTTAACACCAGTCTTGAGCTCCTCAAGCTGCTTCTTGAGCTCCTCCTGGCGAATGCGGTCCTGCTCGTCCTTAATACGCTTGAGCTCACGGTCACGCTGCTCATCAGCCAGACGCTGCTTCTCGGCATCCTGAAGCTGCTGGGCACGGACACGCTTGCGAGTCTCCTCCTCGCGCTGCTTGCGCTGCAAAGCATCGGTAGCGGCTTCCTTCTTCTTGTCGATAAGAACGCGACGGGTGAGGGTATCCTCGTGCTCCTGGGCGGCACCAGCAATGGCACGGGCCTGGGCAGTCTGCTTGGCCTGGAGGCGAGCCTGGTTGTAGGAGGGATCGACGTACATGCAGGTGACGTGGAGAGTCTTGGCGAGACGAGCGACCTGGAAACGGGCGATCTCGGCGGGAGTGTGCTGCAGGCGCTGGACGGAGCTAGAATCACTCTCAGCGGAGCCAGCACCGCTGCCGGCGTGCACAGCCTTAGAGGAAGAGAAGACATCAGAGTCGAAAGTCAGGACGCCGGAGATGTGGTCAACGCGAATAGCGAGGTCACCCTTCTTGCAACCGTTCATGATGAACTTCTCAATCATGGCGGGGGTGATCTGGAAGGGAGCGGGGAACTGGGCAAGCTCGTAGACGAACTTGAGCTCAACGGACTCGTAAACCTGGGACAGCTGCTGGAACAGACGGGTGAGAATGACCTGCTGCAAAGGCACAACGTACTTCTCCATCTCGGGGTCGGCACCAATCTGCTTCAGAATGGGGGTGATCTTCCGGCAAATGGACAGAGGGTGGAAGTCAACCTCGAGGATGTTGTACAGCTCGCGGATCTCGGGGCGCACACGGCGGAGCAGACCCTTGTTCAGAGCATCGCGGAAGAGCACAGTACGGGTGGGCGAGGTGGCCATGCCGAGAAGGTTAGTAAGACGAGTGTTCTTGTTCTTGCGAGCTTCATCCACATCGACCAGGGCGCCGCGGGAGCGGGAAGTGCTGATAACGGGGATGGACAGAGCGGAGAGAAGAACGAAGGAAGCAGCCTTGGTCATCTCGAGCTCGGTAACCGATGGGTTCTCCTTCTTGGAGCTCTGGCCGCTGGCCAGGGCCACAGAAGAAAGGCGGAGAAGGTTGTAGTAGCGGTTGTAAGCGGCGGCGTGGAAGAGGTAGTTCTCGCTGACGAGGAAAATGCGGGCGAGCTTCTCGTAGTAGTTGGCCATCATAATGTTCTTAGCGGGGCGCTTGCTGAGGTTCAATAGTGTGTGGATGTCCTCAATGCTGCGGAAAGCCTCCTGCCACAGCTCCAACTCAACGGCAACGTTCAACTGCTGGAAACGGGTGTCGAGGTGACGCTGCAGGGTATCGGCGTCGCTCAGGTTGATGGCGTGCATCTGCGAAGAGTACTTGGCGGCATTCTGGACGTGGTTGCGCAGAAGCTCACATAGGCGGCGGAACTCGGTCTTGCGGGCGTACTTCTGGCAGAACTTGAAGGCCTGCAGAGCAGTCGACTGGTACATGATCTCGAGACGGGCATTGTTCTTCAGAATCTCGAGGACGGTGCGGTAAGTCTCCCACAGGAACTTGAGCCAAGGAGTGACGATGGCGCGGTCAGTACGGTCGCGAGACTGCTCACCGGAGACAGTTGCGAGAAGGATGGTCTCGGGGGTCTCGATGGCCTCCAAATCCTCAATGTTGGAGGAAGGAGCGGCGGATTCGAGGGTCGACTGGATCTCGTCGGCCTTGGCCTGGGCCTCGGTGACCTTCTCCTCGGCGAGCTCGATGAACTTCTTGAGAACAATCTGCAGGTTGAAAAAAAAGACCTAGGTTAGTAACAAGTCACAGGAAAAAAAATTTCAATGACAATCATCAACACGAACCTCGATGGTGCCGACATTGGTGTTCTGAGCGATGTTCTTGTACTGGTAAAGACCATCCTTGGCAGCCTTGCCCTTGCGAAGGTCGACGGACAGCTCAACGAACAGGAGCATCACCGGCTCGAGGGAGGCGATGGGGCTGCTACGGGTGCGCTTGGAGGTGACATGTTCGTGAAGGACGGTCAAGGCGGCGGGAGCCTGGCCGACGGCGATGAGTTCCTGGGCCCTCTATATAAGATATAGTCATTAGCAACCGATCCATTTTGTATTCTCGCGACGACAGCGACGATGACGCTTACCTTGAGGACATTCTCAGGCTTAATATGCGGCGGAGGCGGCATGATGGGTGGATGCCCCTTGGGAAAGAATCAAAGGTGACTGATAAGAAATTAAAAATAAGAAGAAAAAAAGTTGGGTGAAGCCAGCGACACACACGGGCAGCTGGGTAGAATGCGATTAGACTGCCACGCGAATACCCGATAACGAGGGGAAGATTCACAATGTGCGTGTTGAGGCCAGAGCAAAAATTGGATCCCGCCAATGTTCCCACTTCGCGTTAAGCGATGAGGATCACGTGTGCTCAATGGCCTAAGGCAGAAAGAACATCAAGAAAAGTACATGGACTTATTCTACTTGTTCTACTGGTCTAACGAAGATATGTCATATTTTTTTTCTGACTATGCATTATGATTATGATATATTATTGGTTGACTCATATATCCTCGAATCATCTAACTAATATTATAATCTCAACTAATCTCATTCCGACCCCGATGTAGTTTTATAATAGTGAGAATCTTTTAGAGAATGGGAAGTACCGGGTACAAGTTGTGTATTGTCTCCACCCTATAAAACAATAGGTGTATACTCAACCCAGCCCAAGTACCCGGTACTTCCCCCCAATAATAATAATCCCTCTTTCCCCCAGTATAACATATACCAACGTAACGTGTAAGGAAAAAAAAAAAAAAGAAACCCACGGACCTGTCAGGGTCTCTTCTCAGGAAAATCCCCTCTAAACAGTCCTTTGTCCATTCTCTCTCTAATTAACACTCGACCCGACTCCTTCACCTTCATTTTTTCATTCTTTGTCTGGCGTCTTGGCCCCCCTGATTACCCGACCCCCTAACCTAATTCTTACGCCCTTGGGAACCTGCCGATCCAAAACCCCCTCTCCCCCCTTTCTCCATTCGCGCTTCTTTCACAGCTCAACCCGTCACGATGGCTCCCTACGAACTTCGATCTGGAGGTGATGTCAAGAATAAGAAGCAAAGTGTCGCCGACCTAAAATATCGTCGGTTGACCGAGCTCAATGCTCGTCTAAAGGAGGATCTGGACCGTCCACGAGTCAAGGTCTCCGAGGCAGCTCTCTCGTCCGTCCAACCTTCCTTTGTTGAAAACAAACATCTAACCCTTGGATAGTCTCATCAGTTACTGCAACAATACTCGCGACTTTATGGTTCCATCTGTATGGGGACAGGTATGCGACCGGGCATTTTTTTCCCCAGCTTCTCGCGCGCGCCAAAAACTAACTCCATCTTCCTAGGTCGACAAGCGCGAGGATCCCTATGCTCCTCAGCAACAGGGAGGTTGCTGCACCGTCATGTAATGCACTCACGACGGGAATTTTCTTCGCCATGACATCTCGCTCTCCTTTCTCTCTTTCTTCTACTTAATTCTGGACCTATTCACGACCCCCTTGGACTCGAACAAAACACTGTGATTGCTTCGCGCGGACAACTATGTCGGCCTGAAAGAATCGTCTGCTGGTCTTACACGAAACCTTCCACGCCTCCGGGGATCATACGAGTCCCGCTGTGTTTTTGTCGTCCTATTTTCGCTCCTCGGTCCCCTTTGTCCTCGGACTCTGCATACAATGCACTTGACGATGCACCTGTTGCACCTTACTACTTCTTCTCTGAATCGCACCATTCCCCCTTCTCGCTGTGTTTGTTTGGATTCGGCTTTCTCTTTTTCTCTTCTTTTCTTTTTTTTTTTCTCCTATGTATCCTTTTGCTACGGGTTATCTTCAAAAAGCCTCTATGTTCCATTCTGGGACTGAGAGTTGCCATTCATGTATCATAGATTTGCATGACCAATACCATACCGATCTAATTGAATTTGCGCTTTCGTAATTTCGGCCCCTAAGTCCGGCAATCATGGCTTGTGGCTTGCAATTTGCTTGGCTGGGATGGCCCGGTGGTCGGGGTCAGCCCTCGACCGAGTGTTTTGGCCTTACCCATATTGGGCAATTGGTAGGTCATGCTATCCAAGCACTACTAGTATTACTCTTATATATGTATAATATACAATCCAATACATGTAATATGCTATAAGATGAAATTTGATATGCGCAGAGTCAGCCCATCCCCGCTGACATCATCCATTCCCCCGGGATATCCCACTAAGCAGCTCTGGACCTCAACTTGAACACATCTCACCTATTCAGAAATACCGCCCAAATACATCCACCTGCATACATAAAAAGTACGCACTACCCTAACCCCGAACACTCCACCCACACGCCACCAAGTAAACCCTCCAATCGTACCAGTCGCAGCATCCAACCCCATCAGTATTCACCATGGCCGAAGCTACACCAGCCCCGTTACCGTTAATCGACTCCAAGTCCGAGGATAGTGAGAAAACAGCGCCCGTGGATGTCCATCTCCCCCGCATCTCAATTCAGTTCTGCACACAGTGCCGGTGGATGCTCCGCGCCGCATACGTACGTGACTATCTTTCTCTTCCTCTTCTTTTTCTCTTGGCCTATCATGTTAGATTAGTTTGGTTGTATTTTCTGAGTGATTTGGCATGTGATTGGTTGTTAAAATGGGTTTATACATACTCGATATCTACACTATGATATGTACATGTACATGTATCAAACTCGATATCAATTTTCGCCACCACTGTCAACATAACCATGACTATGACTTTCAACATACAAATACAGATACCACCAATACCAATACTAACTCAATCAACAGTTCGCCCAAGAACTCCTCTCAACGTTCAGCACAGACCTCGGCGAAGTTGCCCTCGTCCCCAAAACCGGCGGCGTGTTTACAGTGACGATATGGCACGGTACGATGAATGAAGGGGAGATCACGACGCAGGAGATTATTCTGTGGGATCGGAAGCGGGATGGGGGATTCCCTGGTATGTATTTTGTTTCCTTTCTTTTCTGTTTTATTATTTACTTGTGTCTATGTATGCATTCGTATACATGACATGGGATATTTATCTAGTTGAGCTATTTATCTAACCATTCCTTCCTCGCCTTAGAAGTCAAGGCGCTCAAGTCTCTCGTGCGGAATGTTATTGCTCCTGAGAGGGATTTGGGACATACGGATCGGGCGTTGAAGAAGCAGGAGGGTGAGCAGAAGAAGAAAGAGGAAGAGAAGAAGAGTACGGATAAGGCGGGTTGTGAGGATTGTCAGTAGAAGGATGTGCATATGTACATATTGAAATCTCATGTACATCCGGTTACTGTATGTAGAAGAATTGTTTGGATCGGGCTAGTATAAAGACTGGAATTGCATATATCACTTGGAATAGACCTGTTACAATTTGTTACAATCCTTGAGAGAGAAAAAAAAATCAAAAGTCTCACTGTACACATCACATTCATTATCGCGCAGAGCGGAAGAGTCTAACAAAAGAGTCCATGTAAAAAAAAAGAAAGAGAGAGAGAAAGACAAGACAAAAGATGATCAAGTACAAGGCAGAAAGAGAAAAGGCTATCCAAGGCACGTGAAGAGTCGATGAATGCCCACTCCTGCAAAAGAAAGAACGCCATTGGCCTATCACCGAATTCTAGGACAAGAGAAAACCGCCCGAAAGATGACACAAGAGCGGAGCAAACAAAAAAAGAGAGATGAAAGAAGGTGTAGGGTAAGGATGAAAGGAAACAGATATTCGTGGTCGTCGCACAGAAGTAGGTAGGCGAACCCAATGCAAATGATCAGATGATAAATGTAGGGGGCCACCAATGCCAGTATCCATATAGAGGAATACATGATGAAGCGTGACTCTCAGCCTCAAAAGGAGGAGAGAGGAAAGGATAAAACATACAAGTCATCTTGTTTTGATGCTGTAATTTGCCAAGAGAAGCTAAGGTTTGCATTTGCTTTCGTGTCCGAGACAAACTCGAAGCGTCCAGCAAAAGGTAAGAAGGTATCGTTATCGACTTCGTAGAGTCGTGACCAGGAGAGCCAATGCGGTGGGAAAAGAAAAATCCAAAGTCCGGCTTCTTCGACTGGTCGAGTCGTGAATTCATGGAACACCAGTGTGGTTTCAAGCCTCATTGCTAAATGAAATATTCATGAGACCATGGCAGCATTATACACAGCTGGTGATGGTTCAAGCCCAAAAAGCACCAACCAGGGTGGCAAGAATCAGGTCTCGCCGCGAACCTCGTGCGAATGGTTGCGACGCTTCCAAAAGGCAAGTCGAAGCCGACTCCTTCGCTTAGGAAGTCTGCGGGTACCATGAGAGTCATCCACTTGTGGGGGTTCGTTTTTGAGGCTCTCGCCAGTAGTCGTCGACTGGGCTGGGCTGCGGGTTCCACGGGCTCCCAGCCTGGAAAGGTCTTTGCTGGCGCCATCTTCTGATCGAGTTTTACCACGACCAAGGATAGAGCGACGACTGGGGCTAGAACCACCTGCGGGCTCTGATACACCTGACGGATACGCGTCCGCTGTACTGGGACGTGTGCTACTGTCGTCAGGTCCTCCGAGATCACTTTGCGCGGCACTGTCCCCGGAGACTCGCTTTTCGTCGCCACTATCCACAGCCAAAAAGCTCGAGGCATTAGTTGTAGGAGAGATTGGTGTCATGGTGTTGCTGTAGGTGCTTTGCGTCCGTGTGCAGCTATTGCGATTAGAGCCCGTTCGAGCAGAGGAGCTGTTGTGCGCATGATGGCGTTGAGAGCCGCGTTGAGAGCCATGTGAAAGGCCTTGGCGAGAGCTGCTTGGTCTCTCGACCCCACATGCATGGTCACGCCCCACTGCTGCTGATGAAGTCCCACCACCGAAGGCCGAGTTGGCATACAAAACCGCAGCTAGAACAGCCGGATCCTCGGTACCCGGACTTATTTCTGTAAGAGGGCTATGTAGCTGTGTCGAAACAGACTCACGGGCAGATTCCGGGATCCCAGGGATGGAGAAATCAGAAAGGTCCGGCATGGCACCAGAAGACTTCCGAGATGCAAATTCAGCCGCTGGCGCTAGGGCAGTTCCAGTAATTTCAATCTGTGGGCCTGGAGTGTCTGGCGACACAACCGGTTCAATAGTATTTTCGTTGTATTCAATAGAGCCTGAGCTCATGGGAGATTTGACTCTGTCCACTGTGCCATCTCCTGAAGCGAAGGGCAGCTTTTCAGAAGTTGCAGGGCTATGGGAGCGAGGCGAAATAGTGATCTCAGGCTGTTTCTCGACCTGAAGACCTTGCTTCTTCAGTTCCTCGTTAGAAAGTTCTTGCCAGTGTGCTTGGTTGCGAAGAATATGGTCTGTAGTGAACTGCAACTGCGGCAGAAGGTCGGAAATGCCTTCGAAGAGCGGCAGGGCTAATATTGACATGAATCCAATTTGGCTAGTAGCCAATTTGTAGGTGTTGCCTAATTCCGGTGGCCCGCCAAACAGAGCGGTCTCCATTCCAACCTCTCTTTCCATCTCACCCTGGTTGGCGAATTCCTCTTGCAGAATTTGCGTCCATTTCTTTGCAACACTCCACGGTCGAGCCACATTGCTGATGTCGGCACATTTGATCAATAATCCACAAATGAGGGTCTTGTACATTTCGACATCTTGCGGCTTCCAGCCATCAACAGATCGGTTATTTTCGTAAAACTTTTCTTGGAATGAGCCCATTCGCTGCATGAACTTCTGGTGCACACCCATATCTGTGGCAAGAATAGAGCTGATAAGGAGCTTTCGCAGCTGATTGTCTTTGAATGCCGCAGGCCAGTGTCGACGCAAAATCTGGGAAAAGGCGGCGCAGTGGAATGCCTCCAAGACGGAATTGTCGTTGTAGAGTTGAGCAAGAGGCGCGTTGAGTTTGACGAGGAAGAAATTGTTGACACCTGGGTGGCCAACGTCATGACCGATGGCTGAGATAAGGAGGGTAAGGACGTCGAATGGCGTGAGAAGGGAAGTGATGGGAGTTTCGGGGACAGGAACTTGGCCAATGGGTTCATATGGAGGCAAGGCACCGATGTGTAGCAGGAAACAAAAGACGGATTGTAGCACATCGATCGCGTGGCGGAAATTGTGGTAAAGCACGAAGGAGTTATAGGCGGCACGGCAGGCGAGAAGGAAGGTTTGCAATTCATCAGGGGTCAAGCGCCAAGTGTCCAGTCCTGGCATGGTGAAAGCATGCTGTATTATCTCAAAAGCGCAAAGAACCAGTTCGTCCTCGGTGAACTCATGGGCACAGAACTTCCAGCAACCTACCTGCTCTTTGATAAAAGAGATACGCGCAGGATCAATGTTAAGATCCTGCTCCTGGAATTCATCATGTATGACTTCTTCTGGGTTACAAATTCCTTTCATGAGCTTTGAAACCATGGCTTCTCTTAGATAAGAATATGGCTGCTCATCATGCACACCAACCCAAGAGAGCTTCCGTTGCTTTCTCCGCGCGAGAAATCGGGACATCTCTCTCTGTGCCGCTTTTCGGGTCCGGTAGGCATGAACCACGAGCCCTTGAATTCGTGAGCGATCTAGCGGAGTGGTCAAGACATCCACAGCACCGGCATCAAGACAGCGGGCAATCTGCTTGTGCTCCATCGTGAGAGGTCCTTGAGAATGTGGTTGACTAGTAGGGCCGGTAACAGCATTGTCGCTGGAGGCATCGGGAGTAGGAAGACGCAAAATAGCAACGGGGATGACCAAATTTGGCCCATCTTGTGCTTGAATATCGTTCGAGACACCTGATAGAAGTGACAGGCCCCGTGCTTCGTCGGACTGTGTTGAAAATGTGAAAGTACGGTGAATGGAACCCGGTGACGGAGGAGCATTGTCAGTCCACGAGCCGCGACTGGCTTTTCGACGAGCTAGGTTCGACTCTTCGCCGCTAAAGTCCACCTCGAAGAAGGCGAAAATTGGGTTACACTCGCTACCCGCCCGGTCGCTGAGCTCGGCCAGCTTTGTGGCAAAGGAGGAACCGTTGTGACAAAGATAGACTACAGAATCAAGAGTAATTAGTAAATCAATAAGCGCAGGCGCAGTCTGCAAAACCTACTTTGGTTGCACACTTGTAATAGCTGCTCCACATCGGCCTGCAGGGCCTCCGGCTCTTCGGGGGTTGCGAAGGAACCTGCGGACGATATCGTTAATTCATCGATGGAATTTCTGCGCACCCATCTCTCCGACCGCACTCGGTCATCGATGTAGAGGCCCGCGCAATCCAAGCGGTCCACCATGGTGTCAGGAGGTTGAGAAGGACCCCGATCGATCAGACTATGTCGCCGGAATCACAAGATCGACAAGAACTCAATCGGAGCAAAGAAAAAGAAAGGAGTCGGTCGGATCAGTCCTGATTCGCATATGGTTCGGATTACGAAGACCGAGACGTTCGGCTGATGGGGGGGGTTGAGTGATGGAAAGTCCGAGTGACGAGGAGCGGTTTTGAGAGGTGGGAAGGAAAAAAAAAACGAGCGGCGAGGTTGGGGAGGGTTTATGGAAGATCGGGAGAGATCCGAGTGAATCGGCACAAAGAAAGTCGGGAAAAGGAATGGCAGTCGGCAAGCAAGCTCTCAGTTCACCGAATCGAACAATGGAGTTGTTTCCTGCAGCGAGGCCGTCCGAGTCGCGTTGTGGACTGGAGGTTCCGAGACACCCCCAGAGTCTAGACTTGTCGCACTAGACAGACCAAGTGCGCAACCCACTTTTTCCACCCCGGGGTCGGATTCGGACGAACGATGGGATGAGAGCGACAGTTATCGAGGACGAAGGGGGTTCAATTGCCGTTGAAAGAACAGAAAGGGAGAAGTAGGAGATGTCAGTTCGACATGGCCGTGTTATGTGTGTAGCGTGTAGCGTGTAGCGGTGAGATCAACAAAGAAAAGAGAAAAGAAGAATCGAGTAAGAGAATATGTAAAGAGCAAAAAACACCCTGGAGGACAGTGGAGGGGCGAACACGGGGAAGGGGCTTCTTTCCTCCTTCCAGAAGGCCTTGGGGCGGGACGGGATGATCCTCAAGTAATCTTACTAGGTAGGGTTACAGGTCACAGCTGGTCACTGTACTTTTTGGTTATGTTTTGTATTAGTTTATTTACCATTATTATGTATATGTAGGCATTGAAAATAACTATCTTATATCTTTCTTTCCTTTTTTTTTCCTTCTATATATCATCTCTTTTCTAGCAGAGCCTCCAATCGTAACCAGTGGGCCCCAATGACGCCTCTCTCTTTTTTTTTTTTTTTTTTTTTTTTTCTAGAAGGTGAGGGTGTTAGTAAGCGCAGATTCTGTAACACGATACGAAGCACGGAGTACGGAGTACGCCCAGGCAAATCCTGGAGTGGCTATGCAGATTATACATAAGAAACCTTAGTGGTAGATACAGTGTACTCCGCACATAGTTGTGGGTGATATATGTGTATATACTATATACCTATACTATATAGGTATCTAGGTATATTATATATTCACCTTACCTATTAACCAGTATAATACAATTCTAACTAGTATCATTCTGTAAATACTAGATCTAAATACACAGTCACACTCTCTGCAGAAAAAAAAGAAAAAAAAAGAAAAGGTGGATAGGACGTTTGGGCCCATTTGGGGCCAAAATGCGACGGAAAACTAAATAATCCGAGGTGATCTCATCGAAGTCGAGTTCTCCACTTCCAAAGGATCACCTGCATTGACCTTTAACTTGACATTAATAGAGCATTAAGTACATATATAACAATATGTATGGAAATAGACACTTATATACCTCTGTAAATATACATATCTATATCCCAGATGACAATATCGGCGTAGATATATACCAGCTTACCCTAATTTCCCTATCACGGATCAATTGATGATCACTTCCATGTGATTGGGAGTGAACCCCGACCAATCACCGACACCAGACAGGGATAGTTGCATGCTACCTGGTAGGTAGCATTTTCAATTCTAGTTCTATGCACTCCGTACTTGCGCAATACTTGGCGTGCAGACTTCTGTCCGCAAATGGTCAAGGGTGGGGTCCTATACTTTGTGGATCTCTTGGCTATGACTAGCTATATATATATGTATGTACTCCGTCGAGTACTGACAATATGTATATCTACCTATAATCTCAGTACAGAATATATACTAAATATACTATGTATTATATCTTGTAATTTGCAACTATCTACTCAAAAACACAAATAATCTTCCCCTTAGTAGTGTTACTCTCAAGCAACTTATGCGCCTCCTCAATTCCCTCAAACGGAAATACCTTCTCCACAAAAACCTTGAAAGTCCGATCACAGAATCGTGGCAACGCATGCTCAACAAGCGTATCGCGCAATTTACGCTGGTACTCGAGATCCCGACTGCGCAGCGTGCTCCCCTCAACCCGCACACGCTTATACAGCAACGGCGCAATATTAACACCCTCAGGTAACTTAGTACCGCCCATAAGGCCCAGCAACACGACGCGGCCGTCACGCGCCGCAACGTCCAGATTACCCTGGAAATACGTCGCGCCGATAAAGTCGACGGTTAGATCGACTCCCGCGCCAGAAGTGGCAGCCTGGATCTCCGCGGCCCAGTCTTGGGTTTTGTAGTTGAATGCTTTTGTCACGCCTAGTTCTTTTTCTAGGAAGTCGATTTTCTCTTGCGAGCCTGCTGTCGCGTAGATGGCTTTTGCGCCGGCGTCTTTGGCTAGCTGGATTCCTGAGATTGAAACCGAGGATGCGCCTGCGTGCCAGAGGACGCTTTGGCCGGATTGGAATTCGCCGATTAGGAATAGTGCTTGCGAGGCTGTGATCCAGGTCTGTTGGGTGGTGGGTTAGCGATAGTTCGTTCTGTGAGAGGATATATATTTAAATGGCTGCAATTTCATTGCGAATGTGCGCACCTCCGGGACTCCAGCTGCCTCTTCCCATGAGAGTTCTTTCGGCTTGTGTACTAGCATGTGAGCCGAGACGCAGATGTACTCTGCGTAAGCACCGCCATAGGCAAGGCCAAACACTTCATCTCCGATCTTGAAGTCTTCGTGTCCGTCTGGCCCGAAGCTCTCGATCACGCCGGAGAACTCTACGCCCATGGTTGAGGGTGCTTGGGGTGGGAGTGGGTATAGACCCTCGCGCTGAAGCAGATCCATGCGGTTCAGTCCGAAGGCTCGGACCTTGATGATGGCTTGGCCTTCTGTGGCAGTAGGCTTGGCGATCTGATCGACGAAGAGGCTTGTTGCGGGGCCTTTGCCGCCTTTGATGCCTGGGGATTGTTAGTTTGGAGTTTTAACATTATGAGCGTTTGGAGGTGTGGAGGTAGAGGAGATAAGTCGTGAGAAGGGCAATAAACGGCATGTTGATATCGGCGTACGATCACCATCTATGTTTCCAACCTTGGAAATGATGTAGATGATACCAGGTGGGGGGAATGTTCTTCAACCCCGCGTTCACTTACCGATAGCTCGCATGGTGTCGCTCATCTTGAGTGATATGTACAGTGTTCAATGGGTGGATTTTTTTCAATGCAAATATTCGCAGAAGCTATCTTTTATACCTCCAGAAGCTAACAGCCAGTTATGTCGAGTTGACCTCATGGACATTTCGGGCCCCCCTCTCGGCATTTGTCAGCATTGCCAGGTTCCGAGACCTCGGGAGCTTAAGACAGGTTTAGAATGCATGCCGGACAACCGAGTGGGTAATCCGTAGATATAATGTAGTGTTGAATAATCAGAAAGAAGACATAGATCGTAGCAATGCTAATCAATTCATCTAGCTGGAAATAATGGGTAATGGTAATATCAATCATAAAGCGGCCAGTCCTACTCCATGCAATCCATGATTTTCGACCATATCAAGTTTCCCCCGCTCCATAGCAGACTCCACGGACTTTTCCCAAGTGCCGTAATTCAAGACGCCATAAAAGCAACAAACACATAAGAAAAGCAGAAACATAAAGTATGAAAGATGGTGGCTGACGGATGAATCAAACGGCTAAAGGCTCGGGATCTCCGTAGCTAGAAGGGAAAGGAAAAGAAAGAGAAAGAAAAAGCACACCAGAAAGAAAACCCAACCCTAGACACACTTTTTTGTTCATTGGGATGCCGTGGCATGCATATGCAGAAGCAGTAAAAGCAAATAGGAAAGGACATAGGTCACTATCATACAACTCGATTATGAGCACTCGTGCGGGGATATCGTTATGAGAGAAGGTTCTTCAGCGATGGGCTGGCGCTCGCTCCAGTCCCGGCCGCTGTGCCATTGACCCCGGAGTGTCGACTGCTTGGTGGTCCGCCCATCAGTGAAGGTGGTGTATCTTCCGGTCGAGTGGGAGGGGTGGCAGTGGGTCCGCGCGGGTCAATACGTGCCTGCGCCACTGGTGGTGAGTGGGATGGAGCTCCTACCACACGCTCAACAGAGTACACACGATGAGGCGGGCCGCCATTGAGAGCACTCAGGGAGGTCTGGGGTGAGCGGTTGATTGTCGTCGCCTGCACTATTGGAGGGGATGCAGACGCTGCATATGATCGCGGCGGTGGCTGCGAAAGATGTGGTGATGGTTGCGAGAGGTGCGGCGAACGGGCTGGCACAGGGCCATATGGGCTCTGATGGGTCGTATGGCCCTGATGGGCGGAATACGGCGGCGGCGGTCCTGAAGGCCCAGCGTTGGTATAGTGCTGAGGTGGTGGTCCTGCAGGATGGGGTGGCGGGTAGTTATTCATGTGATGGGGCGGTGGCTGTGTCGGAGGATAAGGAGACGGCGACATGCCGTTGCGATGAGCGATGTCGGGCGTGAGCCGTTGCTCGTATGGTCCAGTGTATCCTGGTCCTGGGAGTCCGCTGGGTGGGTGAGCGGGAGGCATTGACCGCCCAAGCACACCGCTAGGCGGAGGAGGATGCGGATGCGGGTGGGGATGGGGCAAAAAGGAATGTCCTGTATGGCCTGCATGGCTTGCATGACCCGCATGACCTGCATGACCGGGCATTCGTGAAGTGGGTATCATGGGGCGTTGGGCAGAGTAAGGCGAGGGCCGTTGGTCGGGCGTAGGCTCTGGCACAGGCGGAGGAGGGGGAGGAGGCGCTGGGTTCTTCAAGTGGCATTTATGACATTCGTATGCCAGGTCGCAAGGATCTCCATTGTGTTGGGGGAAGGCACCTTGAGGTGGTGGATGATGAGGGTGTCCTGAGCCATTGGCCATGGGAGGTCGTCGCCCAATGGCCCACCACCTAGGACTAAAGCCGGTGGCACAACGGACGCATTTGCGGT